CGCCATAGATACGCGATCATGGTAGAACATAGACAATCCAGAGACGACGTATAGGGTGCAAAGAGGATATCAAGAGGGTGTATGATAGGAATGTAAAGGGAAAGGTGAAGAGAGGAAGTATGAGAGTCCTTCTTCCAAACCGTATTTCTCTCCATACGTAGTAGCATCAACTCCCTATATTCATAGTCACGGTCTTGATTAACCTAATAGAAAACCCAAACACGATAGCTTAACGTATACCATAGATGTATCATCCTTACAACTACTCAAGGAAAATCCGAGAACATTAAACCGTCGGATATAGCATTTGGTGAGGGATAGGAAAACTTAACATCTCCCTATACTACTACCCACTATACCTACAACATAACTAAACGCCATACTTCGAAATGTGGGTTAATAGGGGATGAGATGTTCTTTCGTGCATTCAGCACGTGCTGTCATGAGAAAACAGAAAATTAAAAAATCTTCTCTTATTGAATGGAGTCACACAAGCAGTGAATAAAAAATATGGCTATATTTTAAGTTATTTAAATGTCAACGCAGAAAAAAAAGAAATATTTCATTTCCGATAAAAATTGATATTAAAATTTGTTTGTCTTACTTCTAATATCCTGTAACAAATTCTTGCGATTATTATTATTAATTATTAATATTATTTATATTTATTTTGCAGGATAAACTCGATAATAATAATAATTATTATTAGATAAATTAAAAGAATATTTTTAATCATTTAAATTTGTTAACTACTTCAAGACACGATCATTAGAATGAGAGAGAAAAATTATTGATTAGTTTGGAAAAAAAAGCATGTGTGCGGATCATAGAAGTTAGAAGTGAAACCTTTAATAAATCAAGTTTCAAGAGAATGAGATGAGCGCATAGTTACCAGAAACAGGATAATTTATTATATAATATTATTATAATATTATTTTATACTTCTTTTCCAATTATTTATTTGATAATTATAAAAATGCGCGCCCATAAGGATGCAACCCTCCAGACACACTTTGAAAATGTTGCTTACGAGCGCCATCTGTTGGGACGGAATTTTTTTTCTGCCCGAAAGATAGGCAACCCCTAATACATGCGTGTATAAACAGTTTGGACTGAAAAAAAAATTCCGTCCCAACAGATGGCACTCGCAAGCAACATTTTCAAGTGTGTCTGGAGGGTTGCATACCTACAGACGTAATATTTTTTATAAATAATGATACAAATTTAATTTTAATTTTTTAATTAATTAATGCATATTTTTAGAATAATATTTAATATCTTATATGAAAAGTAAATATTTAAAAATTGAAATTAATCAATGTTAGACACTTAATGATCGTCGTAAAAATAATAAAAGATTAGAAAGTTGTTCATAATTTTAATTGGAGAACGATCCATGACTTAAAATCATGTGTATGTTTATGTATATGTTCTCCAACGCATCGCATAAAAAGGAGACCGAGAATAGGAAAAACTATATAGCTATATTCTGTCTCATTCTCTCGTAGGTTCAATCCTATTTATTTGTCTCTTTTTCTCTTCTTAGTATCATGGCCGCTGCATCGCTGCAGTGTTTCATTTTTTCAAATCACCCCCATTCTAAAGAAGTTTTCACTTCAAAAAAAAAAAAAAAGAAAAAAAAAAAGAAACTTTGGGAATATTGAATTCAAATCTATATCGTATGTATATCACAAGTGTAAAATAGAATCTGGAGTTCACGACGATGACGATGGCTATGTCAAATAAATCATAGAACAACGTCGAAAAATGATATCCTGAATTTATCGCTACACGGATACACGTCCGAGAAGAAAATAATTTACGATATAGAGACGTCGACGCGTACTACTCGTCCACCCTCGAAACAGTTCTTTTAACTTATTGTCAGTATATCTGAAATTATTCCGCGGATAGACAAAAAAAAAAGAGACAGTTAAAGAGTAAGAATGAGGGATGAAATGAGAATTATATGTATGTGTACATATATATATATATATGTATAAGTACGTATATATATATAAAGAGAAAGAGAGGGTTAAACCGCTAGGACGAAACGCGAGCTTTCTCGCTCCGCGAGTATTATTATATTTCACCGGGGTCTCTTCTTTGACCTTTTTTCTCGCTTATGCCTTTGTTTTGCCACCTCACCATTGTTTCGAGACAATATACGGTGTAACTATAACGACTGCCTCGGGATAGGAGGACGACCAAGAGAGACGCGGTTACTTCTGAGAAATTATATAAGTTTTATTCTTTCCCTCTCTCTTAAAAAATATTCTCGTAACATGGTAGTCGTACTTTCTCCCTGCGAAAAGTATTCACATAAATTCTAGACTCCAAATTTTCTAAAAGAATAACTGAAAGAAATAAAACAGATTTAAACGTATAAAATAGTATGGTATACTAGTGTATGGGTCAGCTGAGACCTGCCATCTTACAAATTTCTACTGTTTTATTGATAGCAAAAAATATTTCGTATAAAAGTTTGTCGTTGTCGAGGAACAAGCTATGAAACGGAGAACATTGTTTTTGTTTGTACTAACTGCGTAAGAGATTGGAAGGTAGTTTCGTCATTTTTGTGAAAAATAAAACTATGCTTTTTTGAATCCCTACGATTGCAGCCCTTTTTAAACACATAACGGTTCCTACATCATAAATACAAGAAAAACGATCATGGTAAAATGTTCATTCGATAACTCAGTTCGCATAAATCTCAAAATTTGATCATATAATTAATACTTTTAATTAATTAACATTCATTTAAACAATATCTTTAATCCGTCATATATATTAAACTACATTAATTAGATTATTATACATTTGTTCAAACAATATATCCTGAAAAATGAACGGTAATTTTCATATATGTAATCTTAAATAAACAATATCTTTAAATTCGGAGTGGGGGTGTTGACGTCAATAATACCACAAGCTATATTGACTTTGGCATATGATTATTTAGTATTATTTTTTCGAACTCGACCTATAAACAACGAAACACTTTCTCTCCGTGTTCGTATACTTTAATATTTCATCATTTCAGGTAATTATTATTAATTTAAATAATATTCTCCATTCCTGTATTGTATTAAACTAACACTTAAATAATATTTCACATTTTTAAATATTACATCAGGTATAACAAACGATAATTGTAAAATAATTTGAATTCGATATCTTGGTTTGTATAAATCTGGAAATTATTATAAATTTGTTTCAATTGTGAAATAATAGTATCAGAATTTAAATAATAGACCAATTTTTAATTTATGGGTTCTTCTCAACAGTCTCCATGTGATAAGATAATGAGTCGATAATACTTACGATCTATCGAATTCTTCATGTCCTCGTTTATCTTTATTTATGTCTTTCTGTCTGTTCTCCTTCTTCTTTTCTTTCTTTTTAAGTTTATTAACGTATTACCGTACCAATGGCTGTGCCGCTCATTTTCCAAATTGATTAACTTCACAAAACAAAAAGTAGGGGATAAAATAAAATTACATTCATTATTATATCATTTATTACTCAAAGATCAGAAAATTTTGTTGTCATTTTATATAACATTAAGTATAATTATTAAGGAAATTTATTTTAAATCTAAAGAATAAAGCATCAATAAAGTGCTTCTATACTAATATTAAACAAAAAATATTTAAGCCGGAGTTAATCCACTTTGGCCCTGTGAACGGTTCATATATGTATACTCGCATTTTTACAAAGAAATAACGAGTAGAACGATGTGCTAAAGAAAAAAAAAAAAAAAAGAACAATTTTATTTAAGTACTTTCGCAGTCCCTTGTGACACATATGTATGTATATATATATCTATATATATACATAGTATTAAAGCAAACTCATATAATAAAGATTATCCGTTGAATCTTTAGCAAGGGATATACTCTTTGCAAGTAATATAGTCGGGGATGACTTTATTGCGAGATCCTTTTAGCCATTGTTTCTCTGTCACTTGTTAGCCTTCGGTCGCAACGTTATTACAAAATACGTGGTTTTTTTTTTTCAACCTCTCACCCCGCTTTCGATAAAAATGATATAAATATTTATTCATCTTTGTAGAATAAACTTTGAAGAACAAAAAAAGCTATTCGATGTATGTATATAATATATAAATATGTATGTAATAGATACATAAATATATATGAGGAATACTCTATTATTATTCGATTTCTTACACATTCGATCGGTATATAATCCTTTCAATATAAATAATCCTAGATGAGTTCGTTATTATCCAAAAGTCTGGGAATAATATCAACATAAAGCTTTGAAAAAGGGTTGGCACGGAAAATAACTATCGGACAAAATTGGCTCTGGTTACTCGGCGAACGTTGAACTGTTTGATATAAAATTCTGGCTCTGCTACGCAATTTTCGAAGAGTGCTGGAAACACTGGACTTCCCATTTGCATTTCTACACCCTTTCTCTTCTTCCTTCCCTCCCTTTTTCTCTCTCTCTCTCTCTCTCTCTCTCTCTCTCTCTCTCTCTTTCTCTCCTTTTACTTCTTTTTCTTCTTCTTCTTCTTCTTCTTCTTCTCTATCCTCCAATCCTACTTTTTCCGTCCACCCGACACCAACGCACTATATCTTCGAATTTCCGTTGAGATATCTTCACATCGCCGACTTTACTTGATCCACATCCTTATAGAAACCCTTTCTCATACCACCAAAATGTTTTCTTGCGGCTGAGTCCATCCAATTGAAAAGCTTCTTGGCCGAATCGTTTGTTAACGGAAGGATGAAAGTTTTGCGTACTACTATATTTTCTATTATGACTATACCCTTCAAACGTTTCATAAAATAAAACACATATGTTATATTTCGTTACTAGTATTTTAGCGTTTTATCAATTGTTATTTCATATTATTTACTTCTTACCAAATTCTGATTTATTTCGCGATCTATCTCTATATATTAAAGCTACATAATTATATTTATAGTTGAGGAAGAGATTCACGACATGGGTTTTATAGATAAACGTGAATATAATCGAAAAATTAAATTAATTTTATTAACATCGTAAATTACTTCCTTAAGGCCCGAATACCTGTATTAAGACACTTAAACTTGTGCTTGTGTGTTTAACGATAAATTAACTTAAAATTAGCAATAGTTCAATTCAGCTCGCAAACAAGGACGTTTTGTACGAAATGTTAACTGTCTAACATAACTATGATTTATATACAAAACCTAAATCTCGCGGTTTCATAAATTCCTTTAAGATATCATCCGTTATTTTACTTCTGGCTTCTTGATGTTTAGCAACGAGAGGTTGTAAGACTTCGATTAACTCTTTCTTGATTTCTCCTGATAGAATTTGTCCGCTGGTATAACCCTAGAAATATTGAATTTTATGATTATTTGTAAATCATAAAATAAAATGATTTAATGAAATTATTTATGATTACAAACTTACTTCTCTGATCTTCTTTAATTTTTCATCATCTTCTAAGAAAAATCGTAACCATTGATAGGAAACGTCTACTTCACAGTTTCCACCTAACCGCCTGTGTTCTTCTACAGTGGCTTGTCCGCCAGAAAATGCGTACTTATTAATTTTATTCTTAATTTGCTTAGGTGTATCCGTTAAAAATACTGCTGTGAGATTATCGCTTGCAGACATTTTTGTCTTAGAGCCTTGTAATGCTGGAAAGAAAGTGGAGTGTAACAGAGCGGGTTTTGGATATCCAATTTTAGGCGTTACATCTCTTGTCATTCGAAAATATGGATCTTGATCTATAGCACATGGTATTAAGCAAGCAACCTTTTTATCTTGAAAAATAAAAGGAAATGTTCCAGAGATTGCTGGCGCAGCCTGCGTCGGTGGGAATGCAATCTTTCCAATAGGATCACTGTCACCAAAACCAAAAATACCTTTCACTTGATTATACGTAACACATCGTTGTACCCTTATCATATTTTGATAAAATGCTGGGTTATTTCCAATGTGTTCTAAATTAGAAAAGATAAATGTTTTAGATAAATTAAAGCCGCAAGCAATAATATCTTTCGCATTATTATGTGCTAACTTAATAGCGCTTTCTATATCAATGTTTTTCCATATAGCTTTTTCATCATCCGTCAACTGAATCACCAAAGGAACATCGAAGACATCTTGTAACCACTTACAAAACATAAATGGTATCAAATGTCCTATATGCATAGAATCTGAACTAGGACCTCTACCCGTATAAAGATAAAATGGTTTTCCTTGTTCGTAAAGATTTAATATAGTATGCATATCACGATGAGAGAAAAATATTCCTCTTCTTAGAAAATGATGAGGCCTCTTTTGCGTTATCTTTTCAAATCTATTTATTAATTCATCGTCTATCTTGGAACTTCCGAATTTTTCTGAAATAATACAAATATTTGTAAATAAAATTGACAAAGTTTGAAAATTGTATAAAAGGATAATAGTAAAATTTAGTAACATCGAATAGCTAAACAAAATTGTAATAAAAAAATATGCAAAATTTCTTGTCATATTAAATGCATGATTCACTACCTACTTATTAATTTGTCATAATCAATTCCGGTGTCATTTTTGCTCGTAACATTCCAAGGTGTTACAACATCTTCTTCGTCGCCAGTTCCATTTATGGACAATGCTTCAATTTCTACAATTTCTGCAGTCATTGTCAATTAAAATAAATTAATACTTTACACGGTAAATGTATTTGAAATGCGGCATGTGCACAGATAACACGTTGTTAAAAAAGTACACTCAGCACAGCTGTCACACCACCAGTCACTTTTTTTTAGGTTATAGTTTTCACATAAAGAAAGTAAAATTCACAAATATTGGCATTATTTTTAATGAAATAATCTATTATTATATTAAATACAATATATTTAGCTTAAGAAGAACAATCAATAGAACATAACAATAATCATTACAATATAAAAATCCGAAAATTTAACCATCAATTGACTTCAGTAGTAAGTTCCAATACCGACTCAAGATGGCACTAGAAACTTGAATTACACATTTTATCGAAATATTATAAGGGTAAAAAATAATTGATCTATTATAAAATTAATTTTCACACATTACGTGTAATAATACAAAACAATAGAAATAATTTAATTGTACAATCGTAACAATTAATAATTATAATTATAAATAACAAAATAAATATTATTATTCTCATATATTATTACCCTTATAAATATTTGAATCAATAATTAAAATTGTCATTTAACCATTTAATTGATTACTTTTTTTGTTCTAATTCGCAAATATTTTTAAATTATGCAATAAGCATTCATTTTTTTTTTTTATTTTACAAACAATATTCTTAGACCTCACGATAGTACCCTTCCGGTAAAATAAGTAATATACCGTCGGTATATCTTTCAGTTATCTCGTTCTACGTGAGATACATTTAAGATGTAATTTTTTGTCACTTATATCTGACCTAAATTTAAATATCCTTTTTGAGGAGTTGATATTCAATGCAAATGACACCTGTCCCTTATATGTATATATATATATATAAGTTGCAAGAATTTCGGAACAATAGTAGGAAAACACAGCTTACAATTAATAGACGTATCATTACTCGATTCTATTCAAAATGTTGATATTTCTTTATATTTGTAGTATAATCACTATATACGATGCATTAGGTGAGCAACACTATATTTTATAATGCCAGTTAGTATTATCATTAAAAAAAACAATTTTTTTAATTTTTATTTCTTTAAAAAACAGCCGACTCGACAGCTCCTAAAATTGTCGGAGGTTTAACCGCAGAAGAAGGACAATATCCACATCAAGCTTCTCTTCGTTATAAAAAAAAACACTTCTGTGGAGGTTCGGTTTTAAATAAACGATGGATCCTTACAGCAGCTCATTGTCTTGCTGGGTAAGTTTACGTATTAAATATTCTTAATATTCATAAGGAAGTAATATTAGAATGAAAAATTCTTAGAGTGAACGATGCGACGTATTCTAATGATTAAATGTAAAAAAATATTTGTGTATTATAGACATTATACAATTTATAATTATGTCGTTAATTAAATGAAAACAGATTAGAAGCTAGCAATATAGCCGTTGTACTAGGAACTAATACCTTAGACAAAGGTGGTGACATGTATCAAGCAAATGTAACAATAGCACACGAGGAATATGATCCACGAAAAGTGAAAAATGATATTGGATTAATTAAACTCGATAAAGATATTGAATTTACTGAAAAAGTTAAACCAATTAATTTACCGATAGAAAATTATCAAAAAACTGACAGTTATGTTACATTGTCAGGTTGGGGTAGAACAAGTGTAAGTATATTTTATATTATATAATAATTTTATATTATATTAACTTTATTTTAAAGATGTATTTTTAAAAATATCATTTGTATGTACTGTATTACCGACACATTTCAGTATCCTGGAAATTCACCAAACGAACTTCAGCATATTAAATTAAAAGTAATCAATCAACAAAAGTGTGCCACAATGGTAATGATTACCAGAATTCCTGTTACAGACTCTAACATTTGTACTTTAAATCAATTCGGACAAGGTGCTTGTCATGTACGTTCTTTGTATTTATTTTTTATTTTGCTATTGAAAAAATGATTATAAGATATTTCAAATAATACTCGGTCGGTAATATACAGGGTGACTCTGGTGGTCCTCTTATCGACGGAGACGAACAAATCGGAATTGTTTCTTGGGGTATTCCATGTGCAAGAAATCTACCTGACGTTTTTACTCGTGTATTTAATTATCTAGATTGGATAAAAAATCATATTAAAGAAGAGGAAAATCAAGTATCTGAATAATATAACTATATACGACTTAATTAATAAATATAAATAAAATAAATTAATAAAAATGATTAAGTGAAGGAAAGTAAAAAATGAAAATAAAAATTATATTCAGTGTGTTTAAATATGTTCATCACTCCTAGTTTTATAATGCTTTATATCAACAATAAATTCCCCTAAGCTTTTAATTCTTGACCGAAACAAAACAATATAATTAGTATCAGAATAGTTTAATTAACACCCCTACCATTTAAAGCCACGAGCCGCTACTGCTAATAAGAGAAAAAGAGAAAAAGAGAGAGAAAGAGAAAGAAAGAGAAAGAGGAAATAACAAGTTTCGAAATTGACTACTAGGTAGTGCTTCAATCAGGAGAGATTTTTACTCCAGATTTTGTTTCCCTTTAAAACGTTAACTAAATTCCCTACGCACATTTACACGACAGCACTGGTTGTGTCTCGTGGCAATATCGTAACTGTTAACCAAAATGAACTTAACATTTAAATATTTATGTTTTTTCTGTATTTTCGCTTTTGCGAATGCCGGTGGACCAACTCTAGTATTGCTTGATAACCTTGCAATCAAAGAAACACATTCCATATTTTTCAGAACGTTACAAGGTATATAAACACTCATATTTTCTGTCACTGACAGTTATGATTAATCTTTTAATTACTTTATATCAGAAAGAAATTGAAGTAATATTTATAAAAAGAATCTTTATATTTACAATGAAATACACTTGTTCAATATTTTTATCTATGCATTTGTAATTACAGATGGTGGATATAGTTTAACATTTAAATTAGCTGATGATGCTAGTTTACAACTTTCAAAGTATGGAGAATATTTGTATCAGCACTTAATTATTTTCGCACCATCCATAGAAGAATTCGGTGGTGCTTTAAGCGTAGACGTTATTACAGACTTTATCGATGGAGGTGGAAATGTACTGGTTGCAGGATCCTCTCAGTCAGGAGATGCATTACGTGAACTGGCATCAGAATGTGGTTTCGAAATTGATGAAGAAGGAGCTTCTGTTATTGATCATATGAATTATGATGTTTCAGACAGTGGCTATCATACTATGATAGTAGCAAATCCGACCAACTTAATAGATGCTTCTGTTATCGTAGGAAGTAAAAATATTCCTCCATTATTATATGAAGGAACTGGATTAATAGCAGATGCTAACAATCCTTTACTACTACGTTTATTAACTGCAGCTAATTCTGCTTATTCTTATAATCCTTACAATCCAATCAAAGAATATCCTCATGCTGTTGGTAAAAATACTTTATTAATCGGAGCTTTGCAAGCTAGAAATAATGCTAGAGTATTATTCTCTGGTTCGCTCTTCTTCTTTAGCGATGAAGCATTTACCAAATCAGTTCAAAAAGTACAAGGTAAAATATCAACTTGTATCAATATACTCGCCAAAATATTTGTTCCAATGTAAAATAAAATTTTGTATATTTAGGTGATAAAAAATATGAAAAATCAGGAAATGAAGCAGTAGCTAAAGCTATGACTAAATGGGTCTTTAAAGAAAATGGAGTAATACGAGTTTCTGCTGTTCACCATCATAGAGTTGGAGAAATACAACCACCTCCAGCCTATACAGTAAAAGATGATGTTGTGTATTCCATTGATGTAGAAAAACTATCTGGTGATAAATGGGTTCCTTATGAAACTAACGACCTACAATTGGAATTTGTGCGAATTGATCCGTTCATTCGCATGACCATGAAGCCAACCGGCAAAGGGCACTATGAAGCAAGATTTAAGATTCCTGATGTATACGGAGTATATCAATTTAAAGTTGATTATACTCGCATGGGTTTGACACATTTATACAGTACGACTCAAGTGTCTGTTCGTCCTTTACAGCATACACAATATGAACGTTTTATTCCAAGTGCATTCCCATACTATGTCAGCGCTTTTTCAATGATGGGAGGTGTATTTCTATTTTCTTTAGTATTTTTGCATTATCGAGAAGATACAAAAACTAAGTCTGAGTAATTTAATTAATGAATAAATCGAAATCACAATGATAGAGAGACACTTTATAATATTACAACATAAAGTCAAATAAATTGTTATAGATATTTTTTACTGTATACAATTGTATTGTAAAAGAATTATCTTTTTTTACACCTACTATGTAAATTATAATATTTAATGTTATTAATATTGGAAAGTTTTGTGAGTTAAACTTGTAATGTTGTAAAATAGATCGTATGTACTAATGAAATGAACAAAGTTATTAAAGTAACATAAATTTTAATATATGGGCACTAATACGGTAAACCTCTTTTTTCTATGCAATGTGAAATAATTAAATTCATTATACTTGTATCACATTGATATTGTGAATAAAACAAAATGTCACTCAACTAATGCTTTTAGAATTACTGTCTTCAAAACAAAAAATATATATATATCATAATAATATTTTCCAAATATAAAGTAAGCTTGAATATATACATTATAAAACAAGGAATTATAAATAATTTAAACATTATTAAAAAAAAAAGTTAATAATAAGAAATACATATATTATTCTTTACCAATCAGAATAAAGTTTAAAAAAAGGCAACAAATATTTTTATAAAAATAATCATATTAAAAATTAAGTTTTTTTAAAATAGTGATATGCATGTGTGTGTGTGTGTGTATGAGTGTGTATTTAAAATATAAATATTTAATGATAAATATTAAATTTTATCGTTTAATTGATATTAACAAAATGTTCATTAACTTCAGCAGTACACTTGGAATGTTGACATATCTAAAGAGTATGATTGGTCAAATTGGCTGTTAAAAAAAAAAGAAGACAAAAGATCTTCGACAGAGTGTCGCGTGTACAATACTAGTACATATTTAATAGTATATTAATGAAATTATGCACATCAAGATCATTTTCTATAAATATTCTATAAATATTATTGTATGATTGTTTACAATATCGTAAATATTATATCAAATTATGATATAAATAGAGAAAGTGCAACAGAATTAAATTAGGAAAGAATAAAAATTTATTTTTTCTTTATTAATTACGTTATGTACTAAGTATAGTAATTTCTTTTTCCATACTCTCTTTATTAATAATTTGCGATAAGAAATAATTTCTTTCTACGATCATCTTAAAACTTTATAATGCAACCAGAAGAAAATAAACGTAAAGGAAGTTTTTTAGAGCATACAGATAGTCCTGAAAAATTAAGAAAAGTTGGTCAGACTAACAATAGATTTGTTGATAGTTTAATAGGACAATGGACAAAACATACCGGAATGCAAATTTCTTCAAAACAAGTAAGTATCATTTTAATATTTAAAGTTATTTTTATTATTATTATTATTATTATTATTAACGAATGAAATTTTCAGATTGAAGAGTACAGATCAAATATAGATACCGAACAAGTGAATAACCAAAATCTTAAAATACAAATTTTAGAAAAGAAATTACAAGAGGCGGAAGATAATATAATTACACTTTCTACCAATCTTGAGAATGAACTCAATGTTAAAGAAGAAATATCAGAAAAGTTAGATATATTAATATTTATTTCATTATTATATCAAATCGTTCATTTTTCAAATTGATTAACTGAAACAAAAGAAAGAGCATAAAAAAATTAATAAAGTTACATAAATTATTTCACTTGTTCTCAATTTTAATGTATTTTTCTTTTTTTTTTTTTTTCATAGATTAACTTCTACATGGGAATCTATAGATACAATAACAAACTATTGTAATTATATGTCTGAGACTATGAAAGCATTTCAAGAACATATAAATCATTTAACAGCTTCATATAACACCATAACAAATATGCAAAAAAAAACGGTAGAACGACAAGAACAACAAATACATGATATGAAAACGAAAGGTATGTTATTTAATCATGACAATGTATTTTACAATATGTATGCTCTTAATTAAATTATTAATTTATTTCCTACAAACGTAGATGCTGAACATCAGAAGTATATTGCCGAAGTAGAAGAAAACTTTATGAAGCAAGAAAAAAAGTAAATAGTGTTCTTTATGCATTATAAATATGTGTTAGTTAACATGAAAATTATTACATACAATAGTTATATATTTTCAAATATCTTACAGAATACAAGAATTGATCTCGGTAAAACAAATGTTGGAGGAACAAGCGAAAAGTTTCGAAGAAAAATTAAATTTTGAAAAAAATTATTTAATGAGTACTCATACAGAAGAGAAACTAAAATTAATCAATGTATATTTTCTCATATGTCACGAAATTAAATTAATGGTAATTCGAATGGTTTAATAATGTCCAATTTTTTTTTTCTTTTTTTTCTTTTTTTTAGGAACATGAAATTATTATAAAGGAAAGGGATCAATTACAATTATCGATAAAACAAATGGAAGAGAAAACAAAAAATACAATAGATTTAATAGCCGAAAAAGAAGCGACCATTACTAAATTGCAAAATAAAATGAATTCTTATATGTAAGTAATAATAAATATATAAGAAAATATTACATTAATTGAACATAATTTTTGTTTTATATTCTATTTTCTATATTTTAATCTTTCTATTTTATTATATTTTCTATTCAGTAATCAGATAACAGCACTGTCATCTAATAATACAGAATTAATTAAAAAACTCGAAAATGTAGAAAAAGAAAAAGAAAAAGAAATACAAGAAAAAGCAAACGAGGTATGTAATGAGAAATATGATACACAAATTTTTACATTATCGTCCATGATTGATTGCTGTGTTCTTTTTTTTTTTTTTTTAAATTTGAATATAGGTAAAACAACTTTCAGAAGTGATAAGTAAAAACAAAGAAAAAGAGAATGAATTAACTCAAAGTATTGAGCAAAAAGTAGAACAATGTAGATACTTTGAGAATAATTTATTAGATACGAAAAATAAATTAGAACAAGCAGGAAATACTATAAAACAGTTAAAAAATAATGAAAATGAAACTATTACAAAACTTCAGAAAGCAATAGATACATTACAAAAAGAAAAGGCAGAAATGTATTCGCAATATCAAACACAAATTCAGGTATTTCATTTACATTATTTAATATTATAAATATTCGCAGGCTACTTTTATAATTATTTTCTTTATATAGCATATAAAGCAATCTGAGAAAAAAATTCAAGAGAAGCAGGAAACTGCTTTGAAAGAGGAATTTAAAACTAATACTATAGAAATGGAGAAAACGATAGAACAATTAAAACAAGAAATTACAAAACTTAATGAAACACTCGAAGAAACTAAAGCTGAAAATAATAGCAATAAGTTAAAAAAAAGTGCCAGTAACATTTCCAAGAATAAAGAAAAAGCCGAGTCTGAATTAAAAAACAAGTACGCAAAGTATCAAAAGGAATTAATCTTAGCAGAGCAAAAATATAAAAATATGCTAGCTAAATGTGATAAGCAAAAAGAAATGCAAGTAGATATGTTGGAAATTCCACTAACAGTAAATTCTCTACCTCAAAAGAAAACAAAATTACAGAATGTAAGTACTTTTTAAATAAATAAAACCAATTGTAACATTATATTAAACCAAAGACAGATGAATAATTCTAATCAATATTGTCTTAAATAAAGGATAAAGAGGATCTTTTTAATGAATTGCAAAAATCATCTTCGCAACATGCACCAACACAAATGTCAAATGTTATAGCAACTCAAAACTCTATTGCGGTATATATTAAATACATTTTTATTTGTAAGAACATGATAACTTGTACTATAATATATATTTTTTTGCCATTTAGGAAACAGAAAATTCACTTAGTGAGAACAAGTTCTTTAAGCTAAGAAATACGCAAGTTCGACGTTACGGAAATCAAAAGAACAAATTTATTAGAACATAATATATATGTTAACGTACATTATCACATGCACAATCAAAGAGTAATATATGTTTTTTATATTTTTGTTATAATAATAGTATTGCACAAATTGTTTTGAAATAATGATAAAAAATATTCATGATTTTTATTTCGCATTTTACTCCAGTTATCGTAATTAATACTCTTTAGGATCAAAACAGTGATTAGGAGTAAAAATAAAATCAAATCATATTTGTAAATTTTTTGAATTAAATGTCAATCTTTATTAAAATACGTTTGAACATTTGTAGAATTTTTTATATAATACATATATAGTAAAAAATACGAGAAGTATTGTTTAATATATAAAATTTTGTTCTATGTTCAATAACAAATTATAATAGATAATAATATATTTTTTACAAGCAAGAGAAGAAAATATGTATAGATGTGTTTAGAGTATCTTTTATAAAAATGATTCTTTCTTTTGTGCACATATCAATTATTCGCTAGAATTTGTAAACTAATACTTACAAGTTTTATACAAATAATTAATCGTTCATCAACGTTGAAGAATTATCCCATTTCATGGACCTTTCTATAGCCATTTTCCATTTGGAATATCTGAGATCTCGTTCTAAACAAAATATAAGAAAGGTAACATATCATAGTTATAAAAATATTTCAATACTCATTAATAATAATAATAATAATAATAATAATGTATGTAATTCTTTACCATCTTCTCCTATCACAGGTGTAAATTTCGTAACTTGCGAGACATCTATATCATTAATATCAATTAAGCCAGTTCCAACACCTGCCAAGATGGCTGCACCTAATGCCGTTGTTTCTACCATATTAGGTCTTACTATAACATAGTTATATAAACGTGATATTTATTGAGCAAATTTTCATCAACAATTTTATTTACAATTAAATAAAATAAATTCGTATATACCAACGGTTATTCCAGTTAAATCTGCTTGAAGTTGCATCAATAAATTATTTACAGTCATTCCACCATCAACTTGAAGTGTTGTCAATTTCGTACCAGAATCTTTTGCCATAACTTCTAAAATATCTCTTGTTTGGAAACATACCGCTTCAAGAGCAGCTCTGACAATATGATAGTGTTGTGTATCTTCAGTAATACCACAGATAACTCTAAAAATAATAGTACAATTATTGTTATATAATTTATCAAATATTATTTAATTTAATTTATAAAAATATATACCCGCGTGCATCCTGTTGCCAATAAGGTGCATATAAACCAGAAAACGCAGGAACAAAATATACATCTCCGGAACATCTGACATTTTCTGCCATATCTTGTGACTGGGAAAAATTACTAAAGAGTTCTAAATTGTCTCTCAGCCAAGATAAAGCAGCTCCTGCTACTGCTACTGATCCTTCTAACGCATAAACTGCTGGCGATTTTCCTATTTTATAAGCAATTGTTGTTATCAAGCCATGAGTTGAGTCAACTTTCTGAAAACAATGAAAAATATTATAAATAGATAAACAATGTAAAAAATATTATTCATTATTATATAATTAATTTAAATAACATGTATACTTACTACATTTCCAGTATTATAAAGTAAAAAACAGCCAGTGCCATATGTAGCTTTTGCCTCTCCTGGTTTTAAACACAACTGACCTAACAAAGCTCCTTGCTGATCACCTACGCACTACAAAATATATAATAAATATTATATATAAATATATAATATAAATTATAAACAAATTTAGACAGGAATGTTTATATACTACTCACAAGGGAAGAGTCAAGTAAACAGAACATCATTTTTTTAAAATTCTACACAGTTGAGTTTTATGATTGTCCATACTGTGTTAGGCTTAAAATTTCAGCCCATCGTCGTTTACTAGGTTTAAAACTTTTTAGCCTACTCATGAATATTTTTTCTATAATTTCTTAATATTTATTTCGCCATCTATCAAAATGTATATAAAACTTTTCCCTTTATTTTCTTGAAAACGATCGAATATTAGGTCTTACTGCCTGTACAGTGTATGATCCTAATAAACTTCTACAACTGTGTAAAATTTTTTAAAAATTGGTGTCCCCCCTCTCTCTCTCTCTCTCTCTCTCTCTCTCTCTCTCTCTCTCTCTCTCTCTNCTCTCTCTCTCTCTCTCTCTCTCTCTCTCTCTCTCTCTCTACATGGTTGGGGTTCTTGTCAGTATTAAAGATCATATGTAACTTACACCTGCAATAGGTATACCAGCCAAAACTGAAGGATTTGAAATAGTACCATATACTTCAGCGCTTGACTTTATTTGTGGAAGGATATGTTGAGGTATTCCAAAGAAACGACATAATAAAGGATCCCATTTTAAAGTCTCTATATTCATTAACATTGTACGCGATGCATTAGATACGTCTGTCATATGTAATTGTCCCTTGGTAAGATTCTAAAAGATAGAAAATATATCAATCCAAGAACAAGACACTTAATAAATAAACATTCTCTTATAAAATAGTTAACTTACCCATATCAACCAAGTATCAATTGTTCCAAAAGCACATCTTTGTGCTTCAATAGCCTGCTTAACACGTGGTACATTATCGATTAACCATCGTATTTTTAATGCACTAAAGTAAGGAGACATTGGAAGACCGCAAAGAGGTTTTAAATAATTTTTATTCCTAGTTTTATTTGGAATACTTTCAAGTACGTCTTCCATCGTTGTTGTCGTTCTCATATCTAACCATACTGAAGAAAATAAAAAACAATATTAATTCAGTTCTATCTTAAATTAGATAATTGTATTAATTAATTATATTTAATACCAATTGCGTTATGCAAAGGTTCTCCTGTTTCTTTATCCCAAAGTAAAGTAGTTTCTCTTTGATTTGTAATACCAACTGCTTTGATATCTGATGGACTTATGCCAAACTCTTTTAATTTTTCGACTGTTTTTTTTATACATTGTATTACAGCTTGAAGGATCTCTTTTGGATCTTGTTCTACCCATCCTTCTTGAGGATACTTTTGTTTGATCTCAATTTGATGAGATGCCACTACTTTTTTAAGTACAATATCAAATACCTAACAAAAACAAAACAAAATATTTACATATATTCTTGAAAATTATTTTAATCAAATAATCACCTAACAAAAGTCATTTCTAAAATATACATTGAAAATAATAATAATAATAATAATAATACTTGTTATTCAGCAACATAATATTCTATTACACACGCCATTTAATTATTATCGTACGCACAAATAAATTATAAATAGATACAAATTTAATTTTGATAAATGTTTTGAAAATATTAGGAAATAACGACTTACCAAAAATCTAGCGCTACTCGTACCTTCATCAATTGCACCTATGAGAGTTGCAGAACGATTAATATTTTCAGGCATTATTCTTAATTGTCGTTCAACTTCCTTTTTCGATATTAAACTATTTTTTATTTTGGCCTATATATAACCTTGACTTATTTAATTACATAATAGCAACATGTGACTCAAGGCAAAATAAATTCATTGGGCAGTAATAATTATTTGTAATTTAAAGGGCGCTAAATTCTAAATAATGAAATATAATTTATTATCAAAATTTGTCAAGCACACACACGACACACGACATACACATGCATATATACATATATACATTTATATGCATGTATATATATATATATTTTATCAATGCATCAAGCTATTACTACACTTCATATGTATATGTAATCATGCATTAAAAACATACGTGAATAAAATAATTAAAAAATTTATCGACCCGTCATATATAATTAAATGGGTAAAATTATTAGAACATATGTCAGTCGTAAAATATCAGACATGATAATAATATTTAACTATTTCTTTGGATTTCTTTTATTTCTATATCTTTTTTCTGTTTGTTCAATGTGTGCGATGTTAAATCCTAATCCTACAGATGATATATAAAAAAAATTTTTCCACTTGAACACGTCGATAAGTTATCGACGACCTACTTATTATTTTTTTTCCTCCAGAGGTCGCTAAGTGACATTTTTAATGATCCTTTAACTATGTTACCATGATATAATATATGCATATATTTTATCTGTTCTATTAGTAACTATAAATAAGAAAAATAATTAAAGAAACAAAATTAAATTAAAAGTTGATAAAAGTATATATATATATATATATATATATATATATAATTATCACTCATAGACGATTATTGATTTATAATAGAACAGAATTACTTATTTGACTTACAGGTTGTTTCTGTTTTCGAATTACGTAGTTTCGAAGAAGCTATTAAATATAAATTAAAATAATTTCATCTTTACAACGAGAATGAACTCTAAGATAAATATGACGATAAAATGATGATTATTTTTCTTCTCTTTTTTGTTTTATTATTTCTCATGATAACGAAATATATCGTATAATAGCACTTAAAAGAAAAAAAAAAATTGTCTGCTCTTTTTTGTTGTTTTATTTTTGTGTTTTTGCTATGAACAAGATCTGCAATTCCCCACTTCTCTTTCTGTTTCCTTCTCTTTCCCATTGGGATATTGAAAACTAACAACTCGAAGAAGATATTCAAACGTGTTCCTATATAAGAAGACGTTTATTCGCCTGGAGAGTGGATTTGACGTCTGAATTGTAAGGAGTAAAGATATTCCTAAGAGAAAAGACGAATTATAATTGTGTATAAAATCGAGATTGAATTTATCCTATTTAATAATTCATATCTCATCATTTAAATAACAAAATGTCTAAACAATTTTATCAATTCATTGGAATTTTTGTGTGTTTCTTAACATTTACCGGCATTTATGGTAAGTCTTCCTTTAATCTGATTTACTATAATGATTTAGAAAAATAAGAAGTGTTCACGTTAATTACACATTTTATACAAATTTACATACTCTAATTGTTTATTCAAAAACTTATGTTGAATAATTTGTTAAATATTCTTTTAACATTTAAACTTTCATTAGACTTCGATGTTCCGACTTCCGGTTTGATTTATAGATAACTAACTATATCATTTTGAAATCTGTATAAGATCAGTACGTTTTTGTAATAATTTTTTCATATATTATAATTTGTTATAATTTTGTTCGTAAATATTGATGTTCTTATTCAAAGATATTAATATTTTTTTAAGATAAACTTAACTTTATTATATAATTGTTTTATCAATTATGGGAAAATCCAATGTGACTTTAGATACATATGCGAATCATCATGTAACGTTTTAAAAAGAATCGCTCAGTGTTAACGTCAGTTTTAAAACATGCGGTTTTACATTAACCTTGAGTGTTTAATACTAACATGTAACATATAATATATCTTTTTAACCGGATATTGAATGACACAGTTTTAATATTTATTTTAAAAATCATTTATCCTTTTTATAGATCAATCGTATTTGATTAATTTCTTTGGAAATATTTGAAAATTGAACACGATGATATAGATCGTTAATCATCGATATATTTCTAATTATAAAAATATTGAAATAAATTTATATGTATTATATTTATATCTGGTTTTTTTTTTCAATATTTTTGAAAAATAATTTACTCCATTTTTAATATGAAATAAATTAAACTTGATAAAAAATACAGGTCTAGGGGAAGGACATTCAAACTAGGCTAGTAATCTTATTCGTGATATAAAAATAGAAATAAAAATAATTAAAATTAAAAATTAAAAACAAAATAAATTATACAGAATTTTCTTGTACCGAAATAAAGTTTAAATCATTGGTTTACAACATTATTAGATTTTAATAATATATCAAATATTAGTATAATCAAACACATCAAATTGAATAAAGAAATTCTTCAATGTCTCTTACTTATAATTTTTCTTATTTAAAATAAAAGGGTAAAGGAATAGTTTTTTAACCAAATGGTGAATGAGTCATCATAACTAATCCAAATTTGAATTATTTGAGTAGACTCGCAAAGTTAACGGTCCGACTCTATGTAAGTTAATGATAATTATTTTTATAATAAATTTATAAACGTATATTCAGTAATTAATAAATGTATAACATATTATGAAATAATGTTCGAGAGTATAATAAAGTCAAATTTTTCTTACACGAAAAATCAAATAAAAATATCCATAACAAAAATTTCTGTAGTTATAATGACGTAATCATATTGTACAGCATATTCATATCTCGTTCTTCTTTTTACTTTCCTGATACCCGTCGTCATTCACGAAATTGGTTATAGTGAACAAACAAAAGTAATTGTAAATCCTGGAGAAAAGAGCACTTCGTTTAAATAATTTAACACTCTACGTAAATACGTATACGTATGTAAATATGTATAGCGATGATTCGTCATGGGTTTTTTTCTTTATCACATACAGACACCCACGCATAGTTTATCGGTACAACTTTACATTAGCATAATTCATAAGGTTTTTTATAATCAGGACATGTAAGAATAACATTGAGTGTCTGTATGCATATTTCTTCTTTTTCTATTTCTTTCTCTGCGATATCACGTTCAAAGATGTTTTTATGATAATTACTGCAAATCTAAATGATCAACAAGTTGCATTAATTCGAAAGAAAAAAGTTGAAAATGTTAATAACATAATGATAATTAAAATCATGGATAAATCATTAATGATATCATTATGATTAAGAATATTACGATAAATCATGTGATTATAAATAAAAATATATTAAGAAATAAATCTGATAAAAATCTTATAGAAGTTCGATGAACTATGATCGATCCTATTTTTATCATACGTATAATCCTTCAAATTATTTATTTTCAAGGATACGATACGATCTTCACCTTGTCACAACTACCAAGAATCTCGTTTTACCAGATCCCTTTCTTTTTTGATAGCCTTGTGCACTTATCTATATATATATATAATGACTCGTCCTGGAGAATTCTTAATGGAATTCAAATTTTTTCGAGAAAAACCAAAAAAATAACAATTCTTGTACCGGTTTTGAGATTAGAAAACAAGAATATATCAGACGTAGATTTTTCAGAAATGTTATGAGAAAGTTATTTTGGAAGATTACAAACCAGTTTAACCAGATTCGGTCTTCAGATTTTATTGAATACCACTTTTTCATTGTATTTTTTTGATACTTCGAATCAATGCATAAAAAAAAAAAAGAAGAAGAAGAAGAAGAAGGAATCAATGCTAATAAATAGTCGACACACGATTAATTTGTTATCTTTTTCAAAGTTCAAGGCTATTTTTGCAATGCATTTAAACAATATATTATTTGGATAACTTTATATTTTGGAGTCACCTTATATAGTAAAGAATAAAAAACGAACCTCAGAAAAAAAAAAGATTTATACATGACTTTTTTTCAGCACAAAATCCGATAGAGGTTTCAAAGGTATGTTTAGGATGCATTTGTGAAGCTGTATCAGGATGCAAGACGACACTCGGTTGCAACGGCGACGTATGCGGCCCTTTTCGCATAACTCATGCTTATTGGGTTGACGCTGGTAAACCAACGCTAAACAACGAAGCGAATACCAATGAAGGTGGTCAGTAAATATTTTATAATACATGTTTTATATACGTATATAAGTATACATGTTTCAATCCATGTTATTGTCAACTTTTTCTGTGCATAACTTCTTTTTTATATGCAGCATATCCAAATTGTGTTAACGATGCATTCTGTGCTGGAAACGCAGTGGAAAGTTACATGAAAAAGTTTGGTCGAGTAAGTTATACAAATAATTTTTTATATTTATTGAAGTGAAAGCTTCTTTAGAATTGGTGTGATTTAAAAAAATAAAACGCGGTGATGTAGTGGGAAAAGGAAACGGACGATGTAGTGGGGTAAAGAATTCAATTTTTATCATTATTTATAAAAATATTTAATTTGCAAACACTTTTTAAAGTATTTTGTTATTTACTTTCTTTGTAATTATTATAAAAATTCGCGCCTGTATGAATGCAACCCTCCAGACACACTTTGAAAATGTTGCTTGCGAGCGTCACCTGTCGGGACGGAAATTTGTTTTGCTCGAAAGATAGGCAACCCATCATACATATATGTATAAACAGTTTTGACTACAAAAAAAATTCCGTCCCAGTAGATGGCGCTCGCAGACAACATTTTCAAAGTGTATCTGAAGGGTTGCATACGAACAGGCGCGCATTTTTATAATAAAATTAATAATTAAATAAATAATTACAAATTAAAAGTACAAATAATATTATATAATAAATTATCCTCGAAACTTGTTTATTTGAAGGTTTCACTTCTAACTTGTGTGATCTATACAGATGATATTTTTTATTTTATATCAAAAATTGATATGTTACTAATAAAAATTTTTGTTTACTCATTTTATAGGATTGCAATGGAGATGGCATAGTTAATTGCGACGATTATATTCGTATACATCGTTATGGTAAAAACGGTTGCATGAATCAATTAGATAGTAAATTGGAATATGTTTACAAAACTTGCATACAAATGTTCAATTAATATTTTATGCCAATCAATTAGAAAAATCTTCTACTGATATTATTTTACATTTAATTCGTCGCAAGAACCATTTCATGATGTAAAAGCTTTGACTTCATTATTTCTATGACAATTTTAATTATTTACACTTATGCTAATTATTATGATTATTTATAAATATCCTTAAAATAATATTTTACAAGAGCGATTAAGCAGTGCCTTGTCAACTTGTTGCGCTCGTTGTTTTATAAGTGTACACTCTACTTCCATTAATTTACATGATTCAATATTACGAATAAGAAAATGATTTATAAAGAGTCTAAGACTTTCTCTAAAAGTTTGTAATAAAGTAGATGAAGATATCCTTTCAAATACTTCTAGACAGTCTTCTTCATTCTTGGTAAGGAGAATACCAATCATAATTTGCCTCACAAGTTTCATCGTTTGTTTATCCAATTCAGCAAAATTTAAAACCTATAATAATGTTTTTTTTTTGTTATTATTTTATTATTATAATTATGTACTAAATACATTAAAACTAATACAAGTAATCAACATTACCTTTAAAATTGAAATAGATAAAGATTTTTGAATAAATAAGTGAATTAAAAATTTGGCCAAGTTCGTTAATTGTTTTGCATTGTAATTATCTAGTATTTTAAATTTGTCCCACAACATGTATTGTATCGTCAACTAAAATATATAACATTAATAATAACAACAACAAAAAAATATATATATATATAATGTTTAACATGTATAAATGAAACTTTAAATACTTATTTTTATATATACCTGATATTTCCTGTCATAAACACAGAATCTTTCTGCTAATATAGCATAATAAGGATTAAATTTCTTTTCTTGTAAACAACAGTCCATTAAAACATATATTATTTCTCTTTCCTGTTGATTTTTTAAATCAAGGCGAGAAAGTTTTTCATAAGCATCTAAGTAATCCTCCGCTGTCATTAATATACAGAAAATATTTCTTCTAATATCCGTATTCATTCTTTGTTTTCGCGCCAATTCAAGAATATTTTTATTGAACATTTCTTTATTCCCTTCTGAAACCTTTTTTCCTTCCTCTAAATTTGTATTACCAGACCATGCACATCCTACTATCCACCATTTTCCTTTTTCGTCAGCTACATAAATAAAAATTTTGATAAGCAAGATCAAATGTGCAATATTATAAATAAAAATAACTTTAATTACCTTTTAATAAATCTTCTAAAGAAATATTTAACTTCACTATACTTTTACTTTTGTGTATGAAACTCTTCATAAGTTTTTTTAAATGCTCTGTATGAGATGGATCATATTGTGGTATTTTGCTTACATTATTATTTTTTATCGCCATTAAGACGTCTAACATAAATTTCACTCGTGTACTGTAAGAATAATATTTAAATACAATTCTTAAAAAATACAAATTAAAACAGCATATAAAAGAATACTAACTTTTCAGATTTAGTATTACTTGCTATTTTTTGCAAATTTAATATAAGTTCCTTTAATGCAAGTGGATCGTCCTTCCGTAATGGAAAACCTGCCGTTTTCAAAATGAGTAATATTAACTCAATTTCTTTTTCCTCAAATTTAGATGAAATCTTGTTTAATATTTGATAAAGAAGTTGATGACTATAAACCTGCATTGAATATATTATAAATAAATATCTCTTTAAGAATCAATAAAAATTGGAATAAAATATATTTGTGTAATTTATCTTACCTTAAAATTATATAAATGCGACAACAATAATATTAAGTTATCTAATCTTTTATCTTCTACAGTATGTGGTGCACTTAACATTTCATCAAACTTTTTAACAAATGTTAATAAAAAATGAGCACCGACTTCAGTCCCAACATTTGCATGTAGAATTGTAATTAACATCATATGCTCACAAATCAAACGATCTGGAGTTAATATTGGTGAAATCAATGCTTGCATTATTAATTCGGATAAAATAGTATTCATATCATTACGACTATTACACATATATAACTCATCCACCTGAAATATTTAATATCAATGTTAATGACATAGTAAATAACATAACAACTAGTAAAGATTACAAAATCATTATAAAATTAATTATTCATTTACCTGTTTAGCAATAAACTGCATATTGCTTTCTGCTAATCTATTTAAAAGACCCTTCAGTTGTTTTTTCAGTCTAGATCGTTTTTCATCGTCATCCTGTTTAATTTCCAACGGTTTCCTTTGTACAGCAGATGATACATTATTCACAATATTACCTTTTTTATCTCTCGTACGACCATAAATATCTTCCCATAAACTATCATTGCCAGGAGACTCTTCAGAAATATCTGTTTCAATATCATCTGTACCTCCATCTGTACCTCCATCTGACAATGAATCTGCTTCGTCCTCTTCGTTACTTTCCTCTGCTGAATCTAACATTTCATCCTGCTTTCTTTTCTTCGATTTTTCTTTTGTTTTCTTTGCTTTAGCTCCTATTGATAATAATGTAATATATATACTGTTATGTCTAATTGTAAGTACAAAGTAGTACTTACTATGTATATAATAAATTAAGTACAACTAATGTGTAAGTACAAACAGATTGATTGATAAAGTTCTATCATTTTTAAGAAAAACTATTTTAAATATAAAAATTTAGGTAACAATTGTTATAAACATTTAAAAATATTTTTTAAGTGGTCAATCATTTTGACTTGTAAACGGCTCAATTTGTAATCAAAAATATTGATTTTTACCATGCTGTTTATTATCAGAACCATCCTTTGCATTACGGTTTGTAATATCTTCTGTATTATCTTCATTATTAATAAACATTGCAATATCTTCTTCAAGATCTTCGTCTCCTTCGTCTTTTAATAATTGTTCTTCCATATCGACTATTTGTTTCCTATTATCATTATCACAGAAATCCAAAACATCTATCAAAATATGTTAAGAAGTATCAAATACAAAAATAAAATATCTTATAAAAAAATGGTTTATACAAAAAAACAACAATTTTAACAAAGGATACAATCTAAACCATCATTAACAAAAGACTTAGGTAATGTATTGTTTTTTCGTTTATTTAATTTTAATCGTTTTTCTAATTGTTTAATCACTTTATCTTCGATCTCATTCGCATTCCTCAATTTTGATTTTATTTCCTTTTCCTTTTCCTTTTCTTTCCTCTTCTTCTTCTTGTTTTGCTTTTTTAATTTCTCACTAACATTGTGATTATTATTATGTTGTGTTATTTTATCATCAATTTCTTGAGACTTTGATACTTTTTCTTTAATACTATCAGAATTCATGACAAGTTTATTAGAAATTTGCTTTTTATTTTGATAATATATTGCCATTTTTGCTTTTTTTTCTTGTCTCTTTTCTTTACGTATCTGTTTACGTGTTTTCTCAATAGGTTTCTTCTTTTTCATATTTGTGTTTCCAAATATTGAGTTCTTTCGTTTTACAGAAACCATCTTTCTAAATTAAATATTTGCTATCAAATTTGTTTAAGTAATTGATATAACTTTAATTCTTAATTATAATTAATTTTTACGCATAACCTTTCAATACCGATTGTGAAATTACAAACGCACGAACTACACGTGTAGTTGATGAAATCACATACCAAATAAGCTATTTCAGCAAGTTTCAAATGATCGACGTAGTTATTATTGTGAAATCTCACGTGACTAACTTTCTTTCATTCTTGGCTATAATTGGTGGACATTTCTACTTAGAGCCAATCAAAATGACGCACTACATAAATATATCACATTAAAATATCATGAAAATAACGATGTACTGCTATTATTACAAAACATTTCGAAAGTTATCTACAATATTAATTAAATTAATATAATTCTTTGAGTTTTTTTTCTCAATATATGTCCTTTTAAACAATATACGAATTATAGCAACATTTAATAACTTTTTTTAAATTTCCAATTCAATAGCGTTTTTCTTTACAAATTTGGACTCTATTTTCATGTTATCAATTAATTATCAATAGAATAATTACTCAATCAGTATATATAAAAAGATATATTGTATTCAAATATCAAATTTAATTGCTAAATAATATTAATTTATTTTTATATTTGTAATATTGATTTAGATATATTCATTGATTCGCAGTTAGTTTGGTACCATTTGGCACTGTGCACTGTGCACAATCGTACCTTGACAAGAGTTGAAAGGGGTCAAGTAATACCTTGAACATACGCAACGAAAGATTGAGGGAGTTTGGTAAAGCAATGATGATATCTTAGCATAATCGTAGGTAAGAAGTTTGTAAAATGACATTATTATTATTTTCATACATGTAGGATTGCCTTATTTTTTACTTTATTGTAGCTATATATGTCAATTATTCTAATTTAATTTCTTATATAGTTTTGCTCATTTAAGTTATTTTACAAGCTTCTGCTTACATAAAATATAATCTTTATTTATATTATATAACAAAATTTGACTAACACAGGCAATTCAAGTTAAAATGTTGAGACATTCAGTAGTGAGAGCCACAGGCCTCTCATGTGGTAGATTGGGGATTCATACATCTCCTAAATTACAGCAAGAATTAGTAGAGCTTTTCATAGATGATAAACCTGTACAAGTTCCGCCAGGAACAACAGTTCTGCAGGTAAACTTTTTGAAATGAAAACTTCTTTAAAATAGTTTATTGTTCTATCTTATGATTTGTTTTTTAATTAGATGTTACATAAATGGTAACGATAAATTATGATTACATTTACAGGCAGCTGCAACTGTTGGAGTAGAAATTCCTAGATTTTGTTATCATGAGCGTCTTGCTGTAGCTGGAAACTGTAGAATGTGTTTAGTCGAAATAGAAAAACAAGTTAAAGTAAGCCGATATTATATATACATTTATATAAAATTGTATACATAAAGTAAAAAGTATAAAATCAATCTCATATTTTATTTAGCCAGTCGCAGCTTGTGCCATGCCCGTTATGAAAGGATGGCGTGTAAAGACTAATTCTGATTTAACTCGAAAAGCACGAGAAGGTGTAATGGAATTCTTGTTAGTTAATCATCCTTTGGATTGTCCAATTTGTGACCAGGGTGGCGAATGCGATTTGCAAGATCAGAGCATGGCTTTTGGCAGTGACAGGAGTAGATTCATCGATATTAATTTCTCTGGGAAAAGAGCAGTACAAGATAAAGAAATAGGTCCTCTGATTAAGACAGTAATGACAAGATGTATTCATTGTACAAGATGTATTAGATTTGCTTCCGAAGTTGCTGGCATTGATGATTTAGGAACAACAGGTCGTGGAAATGATATGGAGGTTTGCATAAAAACGTATAACTCCAAAAAATGTGATCTACAATATTAATAATATTGAAGAATAGAAAAAACATTATGTCAATTAAAATACAGGTAGGAACATATGTTGAGAAAATGTTTTTATCAGAACTATCTGGAAACATCATTGATTTGTGCCCTGTTGGAGCTTTAACAAACAAACCATATGCCTTTGTTGCTCGTCCCTGGGAAACACGCCGAACTGACAGTGTTGATGTCCATGATGCAGTTGGCAGTAATATAGTTATTTCTCATAGAACTGGAGAAGTTCTAAGGATTTTACCAAGAGTAAATGAGGTAATACAAAATTTCATATATTTCTGTCATATGATAACTATAAATTATATTTTTTTTTTATACTATCTTACGTTTATTTGATAGGAAATAAATGAAGAATGGTTATCTGATAAGTCTCGTTTTGCCTGCGATGGGTTAAAATCTCAAAGACTTATAACACCCATGATGAAAGTTAATGGAAAACTAGAAAATGTCGGTTGGGAAGATGCACTTGTTGCAGGTAATTATTATAATTTTTATATTCTACAAAATCTATTTTACAGTTTTATTGTCGAATTATTTTTTCTATATTTTAGCTGCACAGGAAATAATTTCTGCATCCAATAAATGTGCTGCGATTGCTGGTAAACTGGCAGATGCAGAAGCCCTTGTAGTTTTGAAAGATTTTATAAACAAATTAGGAAGTGAATCGTTAGCAACGGAACAGAGTTTTCCAAAAGATGGTGCTGGTATTGATTTAAGAAGCAACTATCTTTTGAATAATACTATAGCGAAAATCGAAGATGCAGACGTTGTTGTATTGATTGGCACAAATCCAAGATATGAAGCACCATTAGTGAATACTCGTCTTAGAAAAGGATATATTCGTGGTGAACAAAACATTGCATTAATAGGCCCTGATGTAGACTTAACGTATGATCATGAGGTATTTAAAAATTAAAATATACTATTTGTATAAATATATATATATACACATTCCAAATAAATATTTGTTAAATAAATTGTAAAATATATTTCAGCATCTAGGAGATTCGCTAGATGTAATAACTCAATTAAAGAATGGTACTCATAAATTTTGCTCAACTCTAAAGAATGCCAAAAAGCCGCTCATTATCTTAGGTGCCGAATTGTTAACTCGAAAAGATGGAGCTAAAATTCTTGCAGAAGTACAAGCCATAGCCAAAAATTTGGAAAATACTTCCAAAGTAATAACTTCCTAATAAATTATCCAATTATACGATTATAGTAAAAGTGAATTATAACTTTATAATTGTTCTTTATTTTAAGATCAACGAGGAATGGAAAGTATTAAACTTGCTTCATACAAATGCATCTCAAGTAGCAGCATTAGATATTGGCTATAGTTCAACTGTAGAAGAAATTAAGAAAGAACAACCAAAAGTATTATTCCTCTTAGGAGCAGATGACGCAAAAATTACTAAGGAAGATTTTCCTAATACCTTCATTATTTATATAGGTATGTCCATTTCAATATCAATTGATAGCATTAAAGTTTATAACTGAAAACTCGAAGATATATTATTAACATTGCTATTGTAAATATAGGAAGTCATGGCGATCAAGGAGCAACCATTTCAGATATTGTACTACCTGGTGCAGCATATACTGAAAAAAATGCTAGTTATGTTAACACAGAAGGACGTGCACAACAAACTTGTGCAGCTATTACACCTCCTGGTATGGCCCGTTCAGATTGGAAAATTATTCGTGCTCTTTCTGAGGTAATTATGTGATTATATATACTTGTAAAAATACAAGTGATTCTGTGATTTGATATATTTTTTATTGTTTGTAATTTCATATAAAAAATTAATATCTTTATTCACTTTGTATAGATATGTAGTATGACTTTACCTTATGACGACTTAAACGATATACGATTGAGATTAGAGGACGTTTCACCACATTTAGTCAGATATGGTGATTTTGAACCAGCTAATTTCTTCACAGAAGCATTAGAATTATCCAAGGTGTGTATGAATAGATTTAATTACTAAATTTTGATTAAATGTGTATAAAATATATAAATAATTTCAAATACTTTCATTTTAATACTAATGCAGGAAACAAAAGGTTCATTCCTACCAGATCCAATAAATATAAAACAAAAATCATTGGATCAATTTTTCATGACTGATGCTATATCTCGTGCTTCCCCAACTATGGCTAAGTGCGTTCAAGCAGTTATAAAACAGCGTCAGAGTGAAGTATAAAGTGTAGCATTGTTATGTATATAAGTAAAGTTGTATAATAATAGAGAAATAATAACAATTTAAAATTGTTTTTGTTTCTCTCTTATCGAAGCATGGCTTTAACACTTTCAAAAATATGCATTTTATAATAGTGCACAGATTAAATTATTCAACAGCTGGATACAAATTCACATATGTCTGTAGTCATTGAATCCTACAAGGATAAATAAATATGATAAACAAATAGAACATATCGTACAATTACCTTTTTTATGATTAAAATGTGCAGTTATTTATTTTTAGATAAAGATTCCATTTTTATTTATAAGACAAAATGACATTTTTTTTTTTGGAATAAAATAAATATGAACAATCATTTAGATTTGGATAAGATACAGTTTAATAATAATAATCTTATTAACAATCTTACCTAATATTTGTTTCCATAATAATAATACTTCAATTACTTGATTCTGGTAAATCATCAGTATCAAGATCTGCAGAACTTTCATCTGAATCGATCTACAAATAAATTATTCATTCATTTTCAAATAGATATTAGAGATTATAAAAATAAACGTATAATTTAAATTACATATAACAAATTTTGACGAATATAGATAAAAGTAATACCTTCTCTCCTAAAGTAATAAGCTTTTCTTTATAAAGTGTTATCTTACTATCCTGATCTGCTAAAAGTACGAGAAGATCTTCCTGATCTTTCTTTAATTTTTCAAGCTCCTCTGTCTTTTCTTTTAGTTTCTCCTCAAGATTATTAGATTCTTTTTTATTTATATCCCTTTGTTTATATTCTTCTATTATAAGAGTATGCTTAGCTAAATTTGTTTCCAATTCTGTCACTATTTCTTTACATTTATCAAGTTCTTTTTTTGAAGAACATGAATTATTTAGACAAGGTACAGCTTGTTTCCCATCACTTAAATTTGTTTGTGCAACACGGAGGAGTAAATTTTGATCTTTTAAATAACTAACAGTAGCTTTAAGTTCGTTTACATGGGACTAAATATAATAACAATTAAAATTTATAAATATATTTTAAAAATCGGCAATATATCTAATTATTTATTATTTATACTTACTTCTAATTCTTGTTTCTCTTTCATGAGTGTATCAACGGTTTGATTTAATTTTTGCACTTGTATATCCTGCTCTCTGATAAGATCTTTGTACTGTGTTACTAGAGTACAATCAGCTGGCGCCAATACTGACATTTGATTTTTTTGTTGTACGCTACTCATATCTAATATCGATTTAACCACTGCCCCTAATTTATTACAAATCAGAAATGATTTTAAATTAAATAAAAATGTTAAAATTTTAATTTACAATGAGATAAATAATAAAATACCTTCTAAAGTTTTTATTAATCTACAAAATTCATAATCTAGTAAAAGTTCTGATGGATTTTTTGCTGCAGGTTGAGGATGTTTAAGTGCACGAGAATAAACTTCGTGTCTCGATATACCACCAATAATATCCTGAAATCTTTCTAGGCCAATTCTATTTTCTATTAAATTACATAATTTTTCCTAAAAATAATAATAAATATTTCAGTAATAGAAGTGAAATGTTGGACATATTTAATATCATTAAATCATTATACCTTTGTATATGCTTGTACATTGTCGTCATTAAAATGCACACACAAACCAATTAAAAGGGCACACATACTTTGAAATAAAGTCTCCAGTAAATCTTCATTATTTTCTTGCGATGATAAAAGAGTTGTTAAATATGTAATGGAAGAATCAATATTTAAGAAGGCCTTCACTGCGGCAGTACAATTAGCAGTCCATCTGCAGAGTAGCATTACTAGTCCTAATTTAGATTGAGTTTTGTTTTCTTGTTGCAATAACAAAATGCACTGTTGCATCAAAGTAACTGGTGGTTTGCCGATATTAGTAGCAAGAAGGACTCTCAAAAGTTCTTCCTTTTGAATATTATTATTAATCAATGCATGAGATAATGCTATTGCAGAAAACCAATTTGAAAGTGGATCTGGAGAAAATAATCCTCCGCACAGCAACTGTCCTACCAACAGGTTTTGAAACTATCTTTTATCTCTTAGTAATTACCTTCAAAAGAACTAAAAGATGTTTAAAAGAAAAATTTATCTAACGAACTATTCAATTTTAAACAGAATTTCAAATTATATTTAAGATATATAGTACATTCTTAATGAAATATAAAAATTAATAATATTAATATCCAGCAAACCTGTTGTTAAAGAAGGTACTTCATTGCCTTGAGGTAATAAAGTTTGAATTAGTTGAGTTTGTCCTATTTCATTTTTATAAAGGAAACATTGGAAACAGTATAATACAGAGCACCTTAGAAGGAATGGTTGTTTCTCATTTACCATAGACATTAATAAAACAACAATTGCCGGCCTGTAATAAGATAATTTTATCTTTTTTAAGAACAATTCTTTTGCATATATAATTATTACCTTGGAGGTGTACTAGGGGCCATAACACTTGATAAATATTCTTGATTAACAGCATTTCCTCTAATAACCTCTGCTACAGCATTTATCATTTCAGTTAACACATCGGCTGGTACTCCACTAGCCATTAATATATTACATAAGGCTTGTAATAACCCACAAGCTTTCATATTTTTCTGACAAGCTGCTAACGCCTTTAAATATGTCCAAAGATGAAAATGTACTACTATATTTATAATACTATATCGCTATCTTTGCATTATTTTTAAATACCTGAGCTGGACAGCTAGGTGCTACTAAAGCACGAACAACCTGTATCATACAATGAACATTTGATACTTTCTGTGGGCTCCAACCTATCAGATTATCATCCATTTCTGTTTGCATTTGGAACATGGGTGTTAATCTCTGAATATAACTACCTATTATATTTTCATACAAAAAAATTATTCTTCCTTATCTTTGCATATTCCATTAAATATTATAGAATATACAATTACCTTCTTTAAAAAAAGTCTGATTGCTTATGTTTCCTCTAAGAAGATTTAACATCAGTAATAAACAATCTTCCACAACTATACCACCTTCAGCTCCACCTTCTTGCATGATAACATCAAAAATACGATCAAATGCATTCTCAAAAGCCACGATTTTTTGAATGTTCGCATTGCCTTTTGTTAATTGTATTAGTAACAATAATACCTAAATACAGGTTGTATTGTTTATAAATTATTTATAATATGCTTTATATAATATAAATATTTACAAATGTTAGATGTAATAAGTGCTTAATAAATATATACATACATCATTCCTTATAACTTCTCTACTATCACAAAGAAGATCCATTAGCTTAGAAACTCCCATTGGACTAACCAAAATGATTTCTTGAATTTCTTTAGGTCTATTAGCTAATAAATGCGTAAGTAATTTCAATGCTGGCCATCTAACTCTGAAATCGAATTCTTCTAAAAATGTTAGAACCAAACTAACACTGTCCGTCTGTTTAATAAATATTTCCGTGAATTGTTCACCTATTTTACTTTTTGGTCCATGTTTATTGACTAAAAAGACAAACATACAGTTTATGATACTATAATAAATGATTACAATAAGATCATATTTTGGCTTACCTTCCTCGCTAAATGTTTCAGGATGTGTTATATTACAAAGGGTATCCAACGCTAAACCAATGATTTCACAATCAGTTCTATCCATTTCTAAGACTTGCCTTAAAGTATCCATTCCTTGGGCACCGACCTCTACACGATAAGTGCGAGATAAAGCTTTAAGTGCACGACATGCATCTCTTCTGTCATCGAGTAATGTAGATGACTGAAGTCTGTCCACCAACTTTTCCACCTGTACATCAATCATATGTTAATTACAATTGAAACAGCTTTTTATACGATATATAAATATTGTCGAAGCAAACATGTACATATTGATTGTAAATGTAATGATTGAATTTATTGAAAAAAAATTTCTATAAAAAACTTGTTGCTCTAATAAAGCAATTATAAGGTTACCCGGTATAAATATATATTTATTATGTACCGTTTCAGCTCCTGATGGCTGATTTCCAGTCGGTGTAGCACCCAGAACAGATTTTAAACTACTTTTAAAGTACTCCATCTCGATGAGAATTTATTTTTTTAAATATTCTATGTTACTACATGTCACGCTAAGTAATCATCACAAATTGGCATCTTGCACTAGTAAGTAATAAGTCTTCCATACGACGCAAGGTATATGATTAGTATGTCGATATCACAGATCTACGTGGAGTACTCCACGTGTAACTATAGCAAATTGCAAGAACATTTATTCCCCTAAATAAAAATATTTACTTCTTTGGTAGAATATTAGTTGGTAATAAAATTTTCTCCAATTTTTTTTCTCTCTCTCTCTTTTTCAACATAATTACTAATATATTTTTTTAATATCTTTTAATTTTAATTCAATTATCAATCCCAATTGCTTTTTTTTATTTCTTTATTTCTAGTTTCTTTAGAATGGAAGAGTAAACGATGAAGTGAGACAGAAAAAGTTTTTTTTACCCGTTATGCGCAATTTTCTGCGCATGTGATTGATCAAATATGAAAATGATTATACAATTGTTGTAAAGGTAAGACACAACAAAAAACACAATTTACTCATCTTCATCAAAAAATTATAATAAATTTAAATAATTGAATAGACAAATAGTCTTAAATTTTTAGAAATATATTAAATTAATAAATTCCTTAGTGCTTTATTCTCCAAATAATGTATTTTAGTGCGTAAATTAACCTTACCGCCTTTATTCATTGAAAGACTTGTCGCGTATGCGCATAATGAACAAAAAATGATATATAATCAGTACTCTACTGTTTTCCCCGTTTTCCTGATCCAACTGGCCACAATATATTAAATATATAATCAATAACTAAAATATTATAGCAAAATATAGCAATATTTATTATTGAAGTTATATTATTACAAAGTAGGGGTACCAAAATTTTAAATCGGACGCATGAATATGGCGCCGACTAAAAAACATTAGAATATATGCAATGGAGCAATAATACTATTTAAATATCAACGAAATAAGAAGCAGAATTTGTTTTCTGCTTATTTTTTTGCCTTTTGAACTGACTTAACTTGCATTAAATTCCTCAAGCAACCACAAATATATTGCTGTTGAATTTTGCATCGTCTTGAATCATGTTTCAAATGTTCCCGCTAAAATATCCTGCGACAGAAAATTGAACAAACTGCGCAGATCTAGTTACATGTATTTAACTATACACACCTCACTGTAGAAACTAGACTAACTTGTAAAGATTCGTTGGGCTTATTAGTATAAGAATAATATAATATTATAAATTTAACCAAAAAATATGTTGGATATATATATTTGAATAACAAAAATTGTTTATATATAATTATTAAATAGATTTTATTCATTAATACAATATAAAACTACCGAATAAAATAAAAAATGGGTTTATTAACTGATCCTAGAGCAGGCACAGGAAAATTAATCAAATTTTTCTTGAAACGGGAAAAACAGTTGTGTTTTTTGCTTTATATTGGTGGAATTATATGTACAATGATTCTAGCAGTACCAGCATTTAACGATCGTAAAAATATTTTTTAAATTTAAATCATAAATGAATAATCTGTCAACGATTATGATAGTTAATTCATATTGTTTATTTTTTTCAGATACTTATTTCTCGGAGAATGCTTTATTGCCTGGATTAGTAACAAAAGAGAGCAATTTAGATCAAACGTCAAAACAATTTTATTATGAATTGTTAAATGAAATGAAAAGATATCCAGATAGTATGCCTTATGCATGGTTGTCAGCCAAATTTAATCAACTTCATCTTGACACTTTCGTCCATAATTTTTCGCTGATATATCCGTTTAAAGAACAAAAAGTAAAGAAATTAAGTATCTATATAATGTAAAATATTCATGCAATTTCAAATTATTATTCACTATTCAAAATTAATAATAAAGTTTTCAGTTTACAGGACAAAATATTTATGGAATAGTTAGAGCCCCCAAAGCAGCAAGTACTGAATCAATTGTTGTTAGTGTACCTTTCCGGCCTATTAATAGCATTTATTTAAGTACAGCACCTTCTGTTGCATTGCTATTGGCATTTGCGAAGTTTTGCAGAAGTATAATCTTTATAAATCAATATAATTAGTAATAACGACATTATAAAAAACTTATATTATGAATTTCCTTTTAGAACAAAAGTATTGGGCTAAAGATATTATTTTTCTGGTAACTGAATATGAACAATTAGGTATGCAGGCATGGCTAGATGCATATCATGGTGTTACAAGTGGTCAAGAAGGTATTTTACTATCTGGTGACTTACCTGGCCATGCTGGTTCTATTCAAGCTGCCATTAATTTAGAATTACATGCAATGAGAATTTCATCTATAGATGTTAAGGTATAGTTTTTCAAACATTCTTTATATTCAATATTTATTTCTAATGTCTATTATATTGAAAAAGGTTGAGGGATTAAATGGACAACTACCAAACTTAGATCTTTTCAATCTTGCTCAAAATATGATTGCTAAAGAAGACATTCAAAAAACATTCCAACGCAGACTTGATAGTAATGATAAAAATACGTTGAAAAAATGGTGGTATCAATTTAATACATTAATGACAATGGTAGCTACTCAAGCTACTGGAACACCAACTGGAAATCATGGATTGTTTCACAGGTATAGTATTTAGTAAAAGTGTTAGCATTCTTGAATAATATATATATATATAATTTATATATTTTATAGATTTGGTATAGAAGCTGTTACTTTAGAAGGATTTGAAAAAACCGGTAAAAGTTCAGTAAGTTTTTATCAAGTTGGACGTGTGGTAGAGAGTATGGTACGCTCGCTAAATAATTTATTAGAACGTTTTCACCAATCATACTTTTTTTATCTTTTACCTTCAACAGATAGATATGTTTCAATAAGTAAGTTAATAGAGTATTTTATAAGCTCACTTAATAAACTCACTAGTTTATATAAATTCTATATAAATTTTTGTAGGTTTATATATGCGTCCTTTAGTACTAATTGTTGCTAGTCTTTTTATAAAAGCATTTTCTATGTGGCAAAAACTTCAAGCTCCAGTACCACAAAATGATGATAAAAACAACATACAAGTTAAAAATGCTAAGGTTCACATTTTTTATGAAATACTACGTATTATTATAGTATGAATATATTTTTTAATTAAATATACTTTATAGGTAAAAATATTCGACATTGGGAGTATTGCTTCAGAAATACTATGGGCACATACATTTGGGGTATGTTTGCTTTTATCTCCACAAATGTTTACTTCAATCGGTAGACAAATGGGGAACAATTTGCGTACAGAAGATTCTATATATATTGGTAATGCTATGGCTACAATTTTAACGTTACTATGGCCTTTGACTGCAAGAAGGTAAAATAAATACTAGAATTTAATGAACAATAATTTTACATTAATAAATATGTTCTCTTTCAGAGAAGTGAAATATGAAAATATTTTATTGGTTTGCGTAATTGCGTCAGTGGAATTAGCTACAACTCTTATATGCGTTGCAATGTGTAATTTTTCATTAGCATTATTAGCAGCATCTGTGTATGTGCCAGCTGCTTTATTTAGTAAACCAAGGCAAGGGTCCACTTCAAGGTAAGTTTTACAGAATATAATTATATAAAAATAATAATTATATATGTAATTATATTAACGCTATAATAACGATTATGTGTATATCATTTTGTTCTAGATTCAGAATTTTGTTGTATATATTATGGATTTTACTTCATCCATTTGTTGCGTCGTCTATTGTTATTTTAGGCTATACTTATGTAAACTTTTCAGAACAACCTTTGCTATCTCTTATATTTAGTGGATATCGTGCCACTAAACAAGCATTTGTATTCAGTATTATTGATTCTATGATTTATGGAAATTGGTTTTATAATGTAACCATGACTGTAATGCTTCCTATTTGGTTACTATTTTGGAATATTATATGTCTTAAAAGCACATCATAATAAATTTCTAAGTAAACTCTTACAATCAATAACGTTTTAAAATTTGTGACTTTAATGATAATGAAATAATTATTCCATATACTGTTTTCTTTATTTCATATTTATAAATACATATTTATTTTATTCTTTTGTTATATTGTTTATTATCTGGATATTTTGTATCCAAAAAATGATTAAGGAAATAAAATATTTGAATAATTCTTTAACGTTATAAATAAATTGTTTAGTAAATTATTATGATTGCCAATAAATTTACATAGAACGTCTTATTTTTGTTATCTTTCTAATCGTACTGTTTTTAAGCATGGTTTACCATATCTCTTTTCAGCCTCTTGAAGAAAAGCATTTTCCATTTGCCTTACAATTTCATTAAAAAATAAATTAGACAATTGCGAATGAATGATTGATTTAAATTGAAACGATAAAGAAAAATCTATTACACATGTATTTGCATTATTTTTTAAGCCTGGATTAAAAATCCATAAAGTTTTCAAATGATCAAATAATATGCCGTCAGTACAATCTGCTTTAACAAGACAAGAAGGTACCATTGATACTTCAGAAGTATAGCTTTCAGTAAGTGGAGGAAATCCTATAATTAGATTAGCTTTAAGAAAATTTTCTTTTCTATAAATAATATCTGACTTTTTACAAAAAGGTATAAATTTCTTATAATTCCCTACATCTGCTACCACAGTGTAAATTTGTTCCATTGAAAACCTAAAAAAAGAATGTATTTTTCTAATCAATTTTTAATATTTAGTTTTTATTTGAATGTCAAATATCAATTTATTCTCATAAGATTTCATATAAAAAAAAACCATTTCAAGCAATTATCTAGATTTCTTTATGTTTAAACATATTGGAGAAAAAGTAAACATATTTTTTGATTTAGAAATTAAACTAAATTAATTATCTTAATTCTAATATATAAAAGAAGAATCTCTTCTATTTTTATTTCCTTTACAACATGTTTAAGTTTAAACAAAATCAAATTAGTTCTTAAAAGAAGTTACAAATATTTCGTATTTATGATGTAAAATTAAATGTTAAATAACTGTTAAATTAAAAATGAGAGAAAATATGTATATGCAACAAATGGAAAATGCTCAATATCAAACAAAATGTATATATTATGTATACTATATAATTATACATACAGAATAATAAAAATAAAAAAAAATAACATATGTACTTACCCGACAAGTTTTCGGCCTTCATATTCTTTCAATTTGCCAGACTGCTGTGTCATATTTTTAAAGTTGATTTTAATGTAATTATGTCTACATTGTAAAATACGTTGTTCTAGTGGTAAAATATTCCTGAAATAACCATCACAAATTTAATTATATTATATGACAGACTTCATTTTTTTTATTTCAGGTTATTAGAAATGTTTTTTATTTCAAGTTATTACAAATGTTAAGGGAGATTTTCTTCTTTCTTTGAATAAAATCTTTTTTAATTATAAATTAGAAAAATTAGAAAAAATAAATAAATATATAAAGAACATGTCAATAATATTAGTCTTTTGTTATAAAGTAAATTTTTTTTGTTAATAAATCTGTTACAATAAATTATAATAAAAATAATACATATTTCATATAAACTACTGTTACCTAACCTATACTTAAAATAAACATTAGCGATTATCAATAGTAATAATAACGTAATATTGTTACCTATACATATTAAAAAAGATAATTATTTTCTCTATTTTTCTAATCCACAATAAGATAACACAAGACAAAAAACGTGTTCACAAAATTTCACCATAAACTTTGATTTTACACTAAATTTTAACATCGTTTTTTTTTTCTCTTTTCTTCTTTTTCGCTCTTTTTCTTAACAATACATAAGTTATAACTTTTTCAACACTTTCATCTTTATATTTCAAAGATATAATACCATTCTAACAAAAAATAACTTATTAAACTATGTATATGAACAAAGTGTAACATACTATTGAAGCATGTATCTCACGTGTATTATAAGTATATATATATATATATATATATATCACTCTTTATATAAGAAAAAGTAAGAGAAGAGGGAGAAGGATGATATTAATTGTAATACTTATAAAATTTAAATTACATTTATTATTTAATACAAATAATATTAATTAATAAAATAATAATAATTATTATATTTATATTAGAAAAAAATAAATAAACAATTTTATTAGCGTTGATTTTTTAATTAGAATAGGTGACACGAATTTATATTCTTTTATTCTTACATTCTTCTCTAAAAATATAAAAACATATTATTCACATAGTTTTATTATAGTTTTTTACGTGGACTTTATTTTATTAATATTAAAATGTTTACATTAAAAATCTTTCGATAATGTGTCGTATTTGTGTATATATATGTATACCATAAATAAAAATTTTACGTTGAAACGCAGTTACGTTGGTACCTCCGCACGTGCATCAGTTACATAATGAATAAACGTCTTGGATAAATTCTTTTTGTGGAAAATGGCAGGTATTATTCCACAAAGTTGTAAAAATGCATTCCGACAAGTAAGTGTTTTGTGCAGTTATGATTATTATGCATTTTTCATTTATTAAATATAATTATTCATATAAAAAATGATATATACCCATAATCGAAATACGTTTTTACGAATACTTTAGTATTTGTAATTTGTAACGATACTTGTTTAGAAATGTCAAATAATTTGCTGAAGTATTTGATTTATAATGTTAAATTGATATCATCAAATATGTTGTTTATAATATTTGTTCAAAGTTCATACGTTAAAATATAAATATGTTACAAATTATATAATTACAAGTACATACAAATAATTCAAATTATAGGTACGAGCACTACATGTATCAGCTGGTCAACATGCTGAAGCTAGGTTAAAAACTTTTTCTGTCTATCGTTGGAATCCAGATAAACCTGATGAAAAACCTTTTATGCAAGATTATAAAATAGATTTAAATAGGTATACATGTTGTTATTTATAAAAGTATTAATATGATAGAATAAATCATTATTTTGTTTGGTTATTATTATTTATTGGTATTTATTTTAGTTGTGGTCCTATGGTACTTGATGCCTTAATCAAAATTAAAAATGAAATAGACCCATCTTTAACTTTCCGCCGTTCTTGTCGTGAAGGCATTTGTGGATCATGTGCTATGAATATTGGTGGAACTAACACGCTTGCATGTATCAGGTATTCATTATTCATTTAACAATATTATATTTAAAAAATAATATTTTTTATAAATAAAAATAATTTACAGTAAAATTGATGACAACCTGAGTGTTCCTAGTAAGATTTATCCATTACCTCACATGTATATTGTTAAAGATCTTGTGCCAGATCTTAATAATTTTTATGATCAATATCGAAGTATACAACCATGGCTTCAACGTAATGATGCTAAAGAGACAGGTAGTCAGCAGTATTTACAAAGCGTTGAAGACCGTAAAAAGTTGGTAAGTATTGTTAAATGTGATTTAAAATGTTATATTATTTATAAAAAAAATTTGTACATAATATATTATTTATTTGTATTATGTTGTGTAGGATGGTCTCTATGAGTGCATTCTCTGTGCTTGCTGCAGTACTTCCTGTCCATCATATTGGTGGAATGGTGATAAATATTTAGGGCCTGCTGTTCTTATGCAAGTAAGCATTTATAAAACTTTAGTATTTTTAAATATTATATAATTTTATTACATGATTGCAAAATTATATTATACACATTAATAATTTTATTATATAAACATAAATACACAGATAATCTCTTATTTGTTTCAGGCATATAGATGGATTATTGATTCAAGAGATACTCAGACAAAAGAACGTCTTGAAAAATTAATGGATCCATATTCTGTTTATCGTTGTCACACAATTATGAATTGCACCCGTACTTGTCCAAAGGTTGAGTATTATAAAAAGATTATTATTATTATTATTATTATTTATTAGATAAATTTATAAAATAATTTTATTAAAAATAATTTCTTTTTTTAGGGACTTAATCCTGGAAGAGCAATAGCAGAAATTAAAAAATTATTAGCAAATGTTGCGGAGAAACCTAAGCCAGGACTAGACACTACAGCTTTGCATAATTAGAAGGATAAGAAAAATATTTCACAGCTCATTTTAATGTGTACGTAATTATTTAATAGTTTAATTTTATTCAAATGATGCTGTTAAAATTAATAGTAAACCCTTTTTAATAGAGTAATAAAGTAAAGATTAAGCCAGTTTATTTTGAAGATATTAATTCGTATAACACTTATATTTGTTTATGTGCTTATAAATTAAATGTATATTTCATTTATGTTTCAAATATCAGTTGACATCCATAGTACTTAGAATAATTTTATTATTAGGTGTTATGGTTTTATTATGTACTCCTAATATAATCTTATTTTGTTCATTTATTTATTTATTTTCAACCTTCGTATAATATATTACTGACAGATTTTATAAATTTATAGTATTACATTAATTTATAGCATTAGAAATTAAAATTCAATTTTCTATAAGATATGCATAAAATCTGATATGTTAACCATTGAAATCTATTTAAAGAGAGAGAGAGAGAGTAAATCACAATTATTATTTTCATTGTCGGTTTATGGCTGTGCAGCCATTCTAATTCTGGCTGCCTTGCGAGATCGATTATGAACTTCCGCTGTCCGTAAAGTTATGCCAAATATATCTTCATGATAACGGTTTTCGTCCTGTAATTAAGATATAATTAATACATATGAATAACACACATATACAGTTTATATAGTCATTTAAACTAATTTCTATTTATTATTTAAACATGATTTTTACTCTTAATGACAGCATATATGCTTGAACTTCTTCATCCGTCATTTGACCATGAGTTTGAATAATTTGTTTTAATGTCTGGTAAACATCTTCAGCCATTGTACAATCTCCACAAACATAAAAATGTCCTTGCTGATGCATCAATATGTCATAAATATAAGCTGATTCAGCTTGAATTAAATCTTGTACATATGTCTGCAAGAATAGAAAATAATTATTAAATTCAATATTTCCATTTTTCTTATAGATATAAATTTAACAAATTTAGAACAATTTACTTTTTGTAAACCAGATTCACGAGACAATGCTAAGAAAACTTTATCCAAAACACCAGCATCTACCATCTTTTTCTTTTCTTGTGCATAAAGATCTAAACATCTTTGACGGCAGCCAAAAAATAACCACATTTTTCCAAATTCTTCATCTGTAAATTTCCATTTAAATATTACTATTATATCACGTTTCATATTTTACAATGAACAATATATTGCCAAATCATACTTCGTTGTTTCTTTATTTGTGCACAACGATGATGCCAAAATCCACGAAATGGTGCAATCCCAGTGCCAGGTCCAACAAGTATCATGGGTGCCTTGGTATTATTTGGCATATAAAAGTTAGGCGCGCTAAATATAATAAAAAATGATTTATCAAGTATATTTTGAGATTAACTGTGAATATTGTTCTATTTACCTTCGTACAAATACATAAAGGGGTTCTCCATATAATACATCACGTAAATAATTAGAACAAACACCGTAATGAATTGGACCAGATCCATCTGAAAAGAATATTCAATTATTTTCTCTATTAATAAAAAGATATGATTTTTTTCAATTTGTAAAATCAACCTTCTGTTTTGTATTGTACGACTGCTACTGTAAGATGCATTTCTCCTTTATGTACAAGCGGAGATGAAGAAATGCTATAAAATCTTGGTTGCAATGGTGTAAGATGTAAAATAAGTAAGGGAGCAAAAGGTTTCACAGACGGAAATTCTTCCAATACTTCTAATAAATTAGGGAATTTCCAGTGTCTCCAATCTTCATAAGTTGCAGAATCCTAGTAGAATGATGATGCATTTTTATGAATGAAAATTTCTTAAAAATAACAAATTATACGTTCTGTTAGAAAATTGAGTACATACAGTAGCTAAAAGATTAAGCCGCGATTGCTCTTGCGCATTTTTAGCTATGGATGCGAAATATCTTAAAAGATTTGGTGTTGGAGGTGTAGTGACATCCAGAAATCGTGTTAATAGTACTCTCAAGGAATTAGATAAATACTTATCATGTGGTACCCAAGTTTTCACAATTCCTGCATTAAATAAAATGACATAAATAAATTCTATTACATTATAATTCACTTAATTTCTTTCATAAATTAATAATTTTAAACTAAACCATGAGGTGTATGAGACTGTTTTTGCATCTGCAATTCAATGGATGTATCTGGATCGAATGGCGTTTCTAATCGTTGTAAGATTCCTTCAACAATTTCTGTTCTATTACAAGCAAATACTCCCAAATGATCACCAGGTTTATAGGACATTTCTTCATTCGTTGTATACTTAAGTTCTAAAAGTAATGTTGCTCTACTGCAAATTAAACATAAAAACAAGTTTATCTTAAACATGATAATTACACGTGATATCAATTTATTTTGAATTTTAAATTACTTTGATTCCTCTCCATTCAAGTTAGTCTTTCGTAACATAGTACAAACAGTAACATCTCTATTGTGGCATTTGCTTAATGCTAAAAATTATTTGAAAATGTATTAATAATAATTTATCATAATAATTTTCGATATATTATTTGTAAAAAAGTACCTCTTGCAATTGGTTGTGGTTCAGCTTCTATAAATCGTACTGTTGTAGGTGTCAATGCTTCAGATCCTAATGATAGAGCAACTTCTAACAATGTATCATTATCATCCAAACAAAATGTTTCACATGTGACCTATATTTTATAAGTATGTTTTATGCCTTTAAAAGAACAACACAAAATTTTAAATAATCTTTCAAAGTGTGTACCATGAACGTATCAGCCGCCCATTTTCGAAAAGCTTGTTCTTGACCACACAATTCATCACCTTGCGCAAGACGCATCAAACGTTCTCCACCTAATTCATCTAATAAATTGTCAACATATCGACCAAATGCACAAAAATTTGGATATGCAGATGAACCTAAAGCAAATACAGCAAATCTGTAAAAAATATTTTTATTTCTATATGAAGGTAAAATATATTATAATAAAGTATTTTAGATTGATAAACATGCACATTAAGTACCTGACATTGCTGAGAGGTCCAAATGTATATTCTGTATGTAAATCTGTTGTTGAACCACGTAGCGAATCTAATTTGTTCAACTCTTTAATACTATCTGTTTTCGTTTGACTATTTGCCTTTATAAAAGACTTTGATGCTGCTAAACTAAACATAAAAGCTGCGAATAATCTTTATATTAAATGCAGAAAAAAATGTGTGTAAAAATATGTTTGTGCGTGTATGTACTCTGTGTATACACACATAAAAATCTTTTTTTTTTTTGTATATTTAATATTCATTCATGCAATTACCTTATTTTATTCTCTCCATTCACATAAGCTTCGTTCATTTTCATAGCATATAGATTTTGAGCAAATGCCTGAAAGATATTTTAGCGCGTTAAAATATTTTCACATCTGAAAAATTTTAGGTAAATTTGAGTACCTCTCCACTTTCTGGAGGATCACCATTTCCAAAAGTAGATGTTATAACTAAGAGTAATGCTTCGTGTTCAATATTACTGATATCATATTTTGCCATAGAAGTGACCTAAACAATTTAATTAATTAGATTTTAACATAGAAATTAATCCATCTTAAATATATATAGATATATATGTAGCATAATATTGTACTTGAGAATGAAAAGCGTGACCCAATAACTCGCCAAATTTTTCAGCATACATTTGTGAAGTTCCAGTTTCTGTTGCATACAATACTGTTGCCTTTATTCTTCGAGATAATGCTCTCCCAAATAATTTTGATGTAAATTTAACAGCTCTACAATTAATTTCATTTTAATATTTGTTTCATATATACAAATAAAAATGTTTATCCCGTTATTTTTTGGCTTACCTTGCAATTTGTTTAAAATGAAACTTCTTTCTTGGCTTTTTTGATGCGGATGTTTTATCTCTACCTTTTTTCCAAACGTGTGTTTTCCATGCTGGATCCTAGTATTATAATTTATATCATTATATATATATTAATTTTATTATTGATATTGTTAAAATGAATATTCAATAATAATCAATAAAAACCTGTGCATCATAAGAAGGTTTTAGATGATAGAGTGCCATTTCTTGATGAAAGACGGGAGTAGCAGAACCTGATATTGGTGGTACTATCCATAACCAATCTGCAGGACAGCCATTTCTTAAACGCATTTCGTTTTCATAGTGTTTCATAAAAGATTCAGAAGCGGTATGATGATCAACAATAGTAACATTTTTCATCTAAAAATATTATCTTAATTATTAGTTTCAGTTCTGTAATATTTATTATCAATATAAGTATTAAATTCACTACCTGAAAACTATGTAGTACAGCAACATTAGCTTCAATCATAGCTTTGTCTTTCCACAATGAAGTGGATGTCCTAGTATCAAGTCCCATGTGAGTAGCAATTATCTAGTAAAATATTTATTATATATTAATATAAAAAATATATAGATTTAATTGAAAATAATATGATATATTAAGATATAGATGAATACTTCTAATAAATTATATCGTTGAACATCACATAGATCTCTTGCACCAATCTCTGTGCTCATATACCATCCATTAAATGGAGCTGCAGTAAATTCTAATCCTCCACAGTCAAAAACCATACTTGATACAGCAGGGACAGCAAACCATTTGAGATTTAATTTTTCAAACCATTGATATCTGTAAACAGTAATTTAAAAAAATTCTTTTTTTTTTTATCAAGACATTAATAGAAATCATACTTACGTTGGATGACTAAGAGGTACCTCAAGGACAAGTTCGGAAGGTATATCAAAATAATCAGGATCATGACCATTAGCTGATAAAACTAAAGGTAATATATCAAATCGTGTGCGTTCACCTTTCCACCCTAATTTCATACAAAGCTGAACAAAATATTCATTACTAGAAGGAACTTTTTATTTATGTATAATAAAAAAAGTATTAATTTATTATTAAAGCTAATCCTTACTTCTGTAAATTCAACATTTGCTGGATCACCAGTAATTGTACCATCTGGATTCTTATAACCAGCATACCCAATTAATTGCTGATTCCATACTCTATAATCGTGTTTTCCATCTGTTCGTTGAGGGAATATAGTTATTGCAGATCTATAATAAAAGTTTAATAATATTTTAATAAAAATGCATTTTTTTAATAAATAAATATGTATATTAATCATTATATAACAAAATTTTAAAAAGTATAAAAAATATAAAATCAATTTACCTTATGTTTCCTTTGTTTGTACTGTATTTAATATGATTACATAGAGCTTCGAACATACTACTGGTTGTTGTAACATAGCGACAATCAAAAACCTGCGAATAATAGCATTATTTTAATAAATAATAATAAATATCACACACAGGATATAAAAACAATAATGGATAAAAATAAACCTGTAACTTGGACCATTGTATACGGCCGATACAACGGGCTGCATTACGCCATGCTAATTTTGCTCCAAAGACGAGTTCTGTTTCTGTTAATTGATAAGTACCAGTAATAGCAACTTCTTTTTGTATACTTTCCCAGCGTAAACGATGTGCATCTCCGCCGAGTCTACGAAATAATAACGAATTTATTTAATATTTCTTATTGAAAACATATAACAATATTTTTATTTAAAACCTTCTAATAGAAGCGAAATATTGCTCAAGAAAGTTTTTCGCATGAACGAGTATTTCTTCTTTAGGTCGTGGTTCTATTCCATGATTAGGTAAGGCCATTATGCTTCCAAGACAAACTTGGTCAGAACATAGTGTTCTCTAAAAAAAAAGAAAAAAAAAAGAAAAAGAAATTAACAATAAATAATATATATGTATACATCATTGTTAAATTAAATTAATTATCAATATTATCGTATAATTAAATTTTAAATAGAGATAATAGGGCGACATAAAAAATGAATAAAGTCATATTTAAAAATACGGAAAAATTTGAATATAATACTTACACATTTTAATATTATATTAAAATTTATATAATATTATAATAACAATATTATTATTATTATTATTATTATTATTAGTGTACTATAATGTAGAATTATTTCATAAAAAAAAAAAAAATACAAATAATAGAAAACAAGAATTAAAATATAAAAAGAAAAAAAAAAATTGAAATAATCGATACTCACCTCTGCATATTTTGTATGTAATACATCGAATGCTTCTGTCTTATGTATAAGATTTCTTAATTTGGTGGGTTTTTTTGGGCAGGTTGCAGGTTCCAAGTCCTTCATTATCTTAAATTAAGATTTTAACAAAGAAATTATGAAATTAATATCTTCTTTTCTTCGTTCTTCATTTAAATAGAAAGAAAAATCAATTCGATTCACTCTTCTGATCTGTGAGATAAAACAGAGGCGCGCAAATTTATATGCACAGTAGAGAAGTCTTTTTTTTCTTCCCCGTTGATGACACGGGAATGAAAAAGGAACGAGTGACTCCTGGGAGGCTGACCAGAGGAATCAGGAGATGAATATGCTTTTCTCAAACAACATTTCACATGCGCCACTTTCGCGTCATCGATTTATTTTCTATCAGTATAAAATAAGTCTCATTTCTTTTCTTTTCTTTTTTTTTTATAACTACTTTTAATTAATATTATTATAAATATAGAACAAAATATTCTGACATTTAAATTGCTTCTCGCAATCTCGAATTATCCAAATTTATACTACCTACATTGTTTAATCTTTCGCAACGTTACGCTAACGCAGCTATAATGCAATATTAAATGAGTTCATTGTAATATTTCAGTTCTTTTTTTCTTTTTTTTTTTTCAATTCTATCAGGTAATCGAAAAATAATATTATTTTTCTTGAGAATTTTATATGCTAATAGATATATATATATACATATTTTTTTTTTCAAAGATTGGATTGTAATAACACAACTGAAGATTACGTTCTTAATGATCGTAAAAAGGGACAATATAATTTGTTTTTTTTTTTTTTTATTACGCTAATAAAATTTTGACTATTCTACGAAATTTTTTTGATGACTAAACTGTTAATAAAATTCTATAGTTATTTTACATAAGTTTATAAAAATTAATCATTAGATTAAAAAAACATACGTTTTAATTTATTACGTTTAAGAATAGGTAATAATAAAAGTTGAAGAGATTTATATATGTAATTTTTTCAAACGATATTAAATATTAATTTAAATATCTTCAGTTTTTCACAATAAAATTTATATTTATAAAATATTCAATTAAATTCTTTCGAAAATGTCATAAATTAAACATTTTTGACAATTTTTTATTCGAATAATAAATATTGTCAATGAAAAAGAGAATATATTAAGTTATTATTTAATAAGTAGAGTATTATTGATTTTCCAAAAATAGAATTAATTACTGTTATATATTATTTCACTTTAATTATTGTCCGGAAATAATTTAATTTAAATAATTGCGTATACACAATAGTAGGTCGGAATGTCGTCAGCAATATGGCGATATCCGACTGAATAATCGTTTACACACTCCTCTGGCATTATATTAAAATAAAATATTTTACTTAAACAATACTTTTATCATTTTATAATTTAACATAATTGTTGGTTATTAAAAAATAAGAAAAATGTAAGGTATATAAAATATAAGATTTTTTGTGTTTTTACTCACAAAGTATAATCGAAAATCGATTTATATACAAATATGAGAGATTTATTATAATTACAATATGAAACAGTTATTTGTACTTCATGATTATGTTATCATACATTTTTTTTTCGCAAATTTAGATTACCATTAAATATTATTGTAGTTTTCAAAAACAGAGTAACTAGAAAAAAATAAGAATACGTTTTTTTTTTTTTTTTGTAAATACGTGTGTAAAAAGAACCTTCAAATGGCGTGTAATATTTAATTATGTATTGCTATTATTTGAACACCAATGCATAAATGCATGATTTATAGGATGTTTATAAAACTAATGTAGAAAAGCAATAAATTTAAAAATATAAATCAATTTTTATAGAATTTTTAACTTAAGTTGAAAATTACTTTTAAAAATTTCATATTGAAAGTATTTAAAATTGCATTTATATTATTTACGACATTATTCATTGTAATTAAGTAATTATACACAACGTAAGCTAAAAAGTATATGTAAAATAATATTTTTTTTATTTAAAATATTAATTAAAAAAGGTTTTATTATATATGATAAATGGAGGGTAACTTTCCAAAATTATTTTTTTTTTTTTCTTTACAATACATTTTTATTATAATAAAATTAATAACGCGAGTATATTTATGCTTAAAAAATCAAATATAAATTAATTCAAATAATGAATGTAAATATAATAAAAAAATAAATGAATACATGAAAAATAAAATAATAGCAGCATGTATTTTTAAATGTTTTAAAATTTTCGAGTTTTAAAATAATTTTGAATATATATAAATATATAGCTTACATAGATTGTTATACTGATTATTTGAGTATAATAAAATCAAGGCAGTGAAAGGTAGCTATGGAAACAAATCAGTATAGATAAATTGTATTAGAATGGTCCCATATTTAGATATACGTATGCATTTACTTATTATTAGTCTTTCCATTACGTACCTACATTTCATTGAAATGTATTAAAAAAAATACAATAATACAAAAATTAGTATACTAATAAAATTGCTATCTAGCTGCCATGTAAAAGATTTAATGGATAAAAATTTTATTTAAAATAGAATGCTTGCTATTTTAGATATCATACTTGTTGAGGGTTAAAAAATATTTTTAAATGTTTACATTTTTCTTTTAGATAGATCTCTTATTTTTTTTTAAATATTAACACAAATTTATATTCATAGCATTTACCACAAACGTTACAAAATTTCTTTGTTTTTATAAGAATAAATAAAAATGATTGAAAATATTCCTGGAAAGCTACCCTACAAACGTGTATTACACAAATTATAAATGATATCTATGAATTCTATAAGTGAAATTGATACAAAATGCATTAATATAAATATGCTTTCTCTTTAATGTGCGTCGATACGTTGCCTTTTATAAATTATTTTTCTGTTCCATATAGAGAAACGTATTAATCAAAATTCTATATCACTTTCTGCTTGATTTTTTTCAAGTTCACTGTGCATTTTACTAGAATTTTTCGAAGGTGACAGTGATAATGATCTATTATGCGGATCTAGTCCAAGTGTCATTTTTAATAATTTTAGAACACTTTTTTTATCTGTATTCTCACCTTCTGCGAAAAAGTATATGAATTAAATTTAACAGTAACAAAAAAATCATTAATTAACATACCTTCACTTCCAGTAAGCTGCTGTTCAAGATTAAGTTTTTCTTGAGCTATTTCATACATGCCTTCTTCTATAGTATCTTCTCCTAAAAGTCTTATTATACGTACGGGTCTACAAATAAATTACATATTGTTTGATTCTAAATATTTTATATGTAATAAATTTAATATAAATAGTATTATTATAAAATACATACTTTTTTTGACCCACTCTATGGCAGCGATCTTCTGCCTGTTTATCATTATATGGATTGAAATCTATATCATGAATTATAACAGTATCAGCAGCTGTTAGATTAATGCCTAGTCCACCAGCTTTTGTAGATAATAAGAATATAAATATACTATTGTCTTCTGTATATTCATTTATAAGAGACTGTCTTTCCGTTACAGGTGTGCTTCCGTCCATTCTACAGTTAGAAAATAAAAATATTCCGGATTTATAAAACAATTCGTTGAATTAGTAATTATTTGTACTATTATTAAGAAAAAAAAAAAAAATACTATAATGAAAAAATGTATTTGCATTTATTATTATTAGTGGCTTTTATAATTTATTATTAACCTTAAATAGGTGTGTCCTCTAATAGTTAAATATTCTTCCAAAATATCTAATACCATTGTAAATTGACTGAAAATCAATACTCTATGATTATTTTCTTTAAAATCCTTTAGGAGTTCATCTAGTTTCGTTAATTTTCCAGATCCGGGAATAAATTCTTGTGGTAATCCAAACCCTCCCAAACTTTTATATACTCGTGTTAATTGATTTATTTGATAATCAGACATCCAGCATAAATCTTCAAATACATATTCTGAATTTTTTTGTTTATATCCAGGTTCTGCAGCTAATTTTTTAGCCATATTCTAAAAAAATATAATGTTATGTAAAATTCATAGAAATAAGGACTAACTATTTACCTTAAGTTGTGTTTCTTGATAATAATCTCGAACTAAAAGAGGATGATTTGCAAGTTTTCTCAGTTGCATCATCATACCAACTCCATTAACTTCGGTGCTTTCATTAGCTTCGGCAGAAAATTTTTCAACTAAATTTTTGTACATACGAGTTTGCTTTTTAGTTAAAGTGCACCGTATCACTTCATCCGTTTTTTCAGGTAAATCGCCTAGTACCTCTGCTTTGAGTCGACGAAGTACAAAAGGACGCATAATTTGTTTCGCATTTTTTACTTGTTGTTGTTCAAACAGGGGCTGCTTATTGTTTTTATCAGATGACATTTTCTAAAATGTATTACACAGCATATAGTCATACCGTTAAAACATTTATTATAATATTTTAAAGATTGAAATAATAATGATTTTTTTTTTATTTTCTATTACTTACGGAATTCTTAGAAAATAAACTTTTTATATCTGCTTGCTTTCCAGCAAACAAAGATGGCATTACAAATATTAAAAGAGACATCAATTCCAGTAAATTGTTTTGTAATGGTGTACCAGTTAAAAGAATACGATGTTTAGCCTATAAAAAAAAAAAAAGAATTTAATTTATATACCATGGAAAATTTAAAAATAGTTAATCAGTTTTGTTTGTTATACATACATTAATTCTAACCAGATTTTCATATCTAATCGTACTCATATTTTTAAGCATATGAGCTTCGTCGAAAACTACATAATGTATTGGCATAACACGAAATAATCTACGTTCTTCTGGAGTACTACTGATCAAATTATAAGTAGTTAATAGGATGTCTACATCATCAAGTTCACCATTTCGCCACGACATTCTCATTTCTTTACGTTCTTCTTGAGAACCATAATATTGAACAACTTTTAGATTAGGTGACCATCTTTCTAATTCATTACTCCAATTTTCTAAAAAAAAAAAAAAAAAACGATGATTAAAAAATATCTTATTAGACATAATTGATAGAAAATTCAATCCATCGTAAAAATTAATTGATTATTACCCATTGTCGAACTTGGAACAACTATTAAATGAGGCCCATCTTTTTCATTAATAAGTCCTGCTTCACTTAAGTATGTAAGAAAAGCTATTACTTGAACAGTTTTTCCTAATCCCATTTCATCTGCAAGTATACCATTTACATTCTGAGCATGCATAACTGCGAGCCAATTTAAACCAATCATTTGATATGGCGCTAATGTTAATTTTGATGACAATCCTCTTGGCTGTTGTTTTATAGTAGATGAACCAGCAGCTACTGCTTTTTCAAGGTTTGTAGACAAACGAATACATTTTTTCATAAGAGATTCTATTACTTGTCGTGTAGCCAATAATTCCTATTTCATAACAATAGTTAAATCACTTTCAAAGTTTGATTTAATGAAGTACTTTTATTAGCACATTTGATATAAAATAAATATACCTGAGTTGAATTTAAGAGTTCTGTATCCAAATACTTATTATTTTGAAATTTGAAAACTAGATCTCTCCAGTTTTCAAATGGTCTTGCTTCTATCACTGCTTCTGCTCTTTTTTGAGAACACTGTGGTATTAGAAGCAATTCCGACAATAGTGCAGTTCGCATGAATTCCAAAACTGCTTTTTTATCATGAGTTAAATCATTTGATATTTCAGCATCTGAATCATCATCGTCGCTAAAAGATTATGCATATATATACATATATATATATGCACATGAAAAGGTTTCTCAATATTTTTTTATTATTTTTTTTTTTTTAAATGTAAAAAATAATCAAAAATACAGAATTCCTATTAAACATTTTATATTTATACCTATTAAATACTTTATCCTTATATTTGATTTCATCTGAATCTACATCAGCATCTTCATCGTGTAATTTTCTTCGCTTTTTGTAGCTGCTTTTACTTGACCCTTTCAAAGTTCGTTTTCTATTCTTTTTAACAATGTTTTCAGCTTCTTCGATGTTCCAATTGACATTATTAAGTACTTCTTGTATATACTAAAAGAAATATGAATTAATAACATATAAATTTATTAAAACCAAAATATTAATGATAATACATACAACAGTATCATTTTGTGGGTATAACGTAGTTAAATATTTGAGTTTTACTTCTTTCTGTTTAGCTTCTGATTCTTTTTCTGATTCTGAATTTGTAACATTTACTTTAATAGGACTTCCAATATCACTATCACTATCTTCAATACGATTAATTGGTTTTCTATGTGGTTGAATATCAGGACTTACTAAATTACTGTCATCGTCAGCTAAAATAAAAAATTATATATATATATATATATTTCTTTTTTTTAATTTATTGAAAAAAAATCATAAATATAATTATACCATGAAAATATATTTGTTTTCTATTTATGAATATGAATATAATAACAAAATGTTAGTTTTATAAAGATAACATAAAAAATAAATAATTATAAAGAAAAAATTGTAAAAATTATAGATAATATATTAAAATTACTTGTATTATGAAATGAGAAATTATTGTAATATGTATGCAGGATGTTTTAAAATATGTGGACACAACTTCAAGAGTAATTGCAGTAGGCTTAAATAAGAAAAGTTCATATAATTATATGCCTGATATGACCTTTTAGAATTCTCCATACATTGAAGTTTCCAACATTTTTTACTTTTGCTTTTATTAAAAATGCTTTCATTAATATTTCAGCGAATGCGATGAAGAACTCTTTCAAAGTCGCTGATTTCCTGGTTCTGCATCTACCAACATTTCACAAACGTTTTTCGAATGAACCTGTATATCGAAACCGTTCATACATTCTTTCGAAAGATTTCCTATTTAATAAACACTTATTAAGAAAATGTTCTGTATATAAACGTCTTGCTAAGACAGCATTGCATTCAGCAAGACAATACATTAAATGCATGTTAGCCATGTCGGTGTCGGTGTTTGTATAACGTGTCATTATCAACGTAAATTATCAAAGAAATGTATAGCTAATTTTTACATGTATTTTTATCACTAAGAAAATATGCTAAACTGATTGAAAAATATTTACTCAGCAAATAAGGAAACTGTAAGTGAGATAAGAAGCTCACTTGTAAGTAGTTGAAGCAAGTAAGTTATTTATTTATATTATTTAACAGGAAGACTAAACAGCTATCATTTGGAAACAAGGTCATATCAGGTATATGATTATATGAATTTTTTTTTATTTTCGTCACTACAACCACCCCTCAGTTGTACCCACGTATTTTGAAACAACCTATATATACGTGTGCATATATATATATATATATATATATATATATATAAATATATAAATACGTGTGTGTATATATTTATATATTTGCAAATGTATATGTATATATGTATAATATTATTTGTAAAATGAAAAATTGAAGTAGATAGAATAAAGAAAATAATTAACGATTATAATTTCTTACACATATTTATTTTTTTCACTTTCTTTTGAAAACGGAATTGCCTCAAATTACCCAAGGGACTAGGACTACTTGTATCAGCTTTAGGTGAATTTGAATCCGACATTGTTTCAAACAAAAGACGAATACTGATAAAAAAACATTTTTATTCGCAACAGAAGAAAGTTAGAAGATTATTAAATATAAGAGCGGATACACTGCCATTTTCAACGATCCGCAAACAACAAAGTGTGCCATCTGTGACCGTCTTACTTGTTTCCGCAAGCACCCTCTTTATCAAGTTATCGAAATTAAGAATATCGCAAAAGTGATTAATTTTTTAGCGGATTATTTAAATTTCCGATAATTCACTTTTTGATATATTTTATTTTTACAGTTATAAAACAATTAACTAAAAACAATACGATCTTTAGATATATGTATTGTTTTTAATTTTTCATTCGATATGTCTACCTTATAATTTATATAGGGTATATTATACAAATATATTCTAACTTGATCTCTCAGTAAACACCGCGCCACCACGTGGTTTGTACAGTAGTTTAGAGATGAGGTTATACTGCTAGTAATATAATGGGAAAATATTTTATAAAATTCTCATTTATTGGGACATTATATAGGTATCTTTTTAAAAAATCTGTTAAATTTAAATATATATACAGTCATGAAAGATAAAATATCTCTCAGTCAATATATACTCTTTCATAAAAATACTACATGTAGTTAAACATTATATGAAAATTATATGAAAAGCAGAATGCAAATGTCAATATGAATATAAGTTTAACTTTACTTTAATTATGTAAATTATGATTTTTAGTCATGTCATTTTGTATATATATATGTACAAATTATTTTCCGTATTAAATAAAAAATAATAATTAGTAAAATCTATTTAAAGAGGATTGCAGAAGCATGCAAATAAAAACATCCTTGATATTGATTCTGTCCAAGGTGCTATTGAAACAAGTCTACTAACTATACATCCAAAACCTGTATTGAAGCCCAGATTACATTTAACTAGCAGGTAATTCTTGTTGTATTGAACCTTCTTGTTTAATATTGTTTATATACTTTTAATATGAAAGTCAAAATTATATCAGTTTTATTGTATTTGTAGAACTGATGCGGGTGTACATGCCTTATATACAGTTGGTCAAATAACGTTAACAAATAAGTATAATACATTATATAATCCTGAAGAAATAATAAGACAACTTAATAACTTTTTAAGAAAAACTTCACATTTCATTAGGTAATAAAACAAATTAACATTTATCATAAATATAAATACTGAACTATTTCTTCTTTGTAGGATATTAGAATGTGTTCCGGTTGTAGAAGAATTCGATGCTAAGAAGATAATTACATCAAAAACATATATATATAGGTTTATGATAGCTAAAAAATATGGTGAACAAAGGCTACCTATATCAGAAATATATCATACTCTCCATTTAAAGTATTGATAATGAAAATACATATAATAAGAAAATTTCCTTAATTCCAATTTTTATATTAAGTATTCATAATTGCTACATTTATTTTACAGAACAGAAACTTTTGACGTAGAAAGAGTGAAACAAGGTACACAACTTTTTATGGGCCTCAAAGATTTTAGAACATTTGCATCACAATCAAACAAATATTCAAACCGAAATTATGTACGCAGCTTAAATAGTTTAACTATAGAAAAAGCACAACCTTTAATGTATTTTGATGAACTATCTAACAATTTTGATTACTGGCATATTGTAATTAGTTCGAAAGGTTTCTTATTTAATCAGGTAATATATTGCAAAATGTGGAATTTTATTATATATTAATTTATAAATTTTGTATTAATATTAATACCTTTTGTATGATATTAAATAGGTTAGACGAATAACATCAGCATTACTTGGATTGGGAACTGGAAAAATAACTGAAAAAGATATAAATACAATGCTACAAGTTCCCTCAACGAAGAATTGGAATTCACGTTTACAAGTTGTCATACCATATGGACTACATTTAGTAAAAGTAGATTATGATCTTGATGAATTAGAAAAATATACAATAAAAGATGAAATTAAGGAATTAAATATTGATCGGTGTATGCAGTCAGTTAATTGAATATTGCATTGCATTTTGTATATTATTAAAATTACTCATTGTACGATAAGATTTTATTTTGCAATGAATTTACAAAATCTAATAAAAAATAAAAGTATGAATTTAAGACCAACTAAAACAGTCATTACAGATAATCTTGGTAGAAGATACGAAGTTGAGAATGGCATAAAAAAAGAATTAACACGAGGTTTACCCTTTGTTATTGATGAAAAGCCTGATATGCAAATTTCTTGTATTATACATGGTTTATTTCTTAGTTCACAGGATCCTGCCGTAGATATAGAAATACTTAAGAAATACAATATAAAACACATTTTGAGTATTGGTATTAATTTAAGTCTTAAATTTGATGGCATAAAATATTATCAGTGTGAATTATTAGATTTGCCAGAATCAGATATATTCTTATCAGTAAAAACATGTATTAATATAATACATAAAAATCGTCATGAAAATATTCTTATACATTGTAATGCAGGAGTGTCCCGCTCACCAACTATTGTTATTTCTTATTTGATGACTTTAGAAAATATGTCATATGATGAAGCATACGAAAAAGTTAAAAGTAAAAGAAATTGTATCAAACCCAATAGCGGATTTGTTGAACAATTAAAAGCATTAAATGTATCAAATTTAATTGAACGAGATTAAGATGTAATATTACATATTGGGAGAGAAAAGAAAAACTCTTATGTAACAATAAATCAGTTATGTAGTATATTCTTACAATAAAGTTCGTGTTTCGACATTATTTATCTATGTGTACAGAGAATGTAATAATTACAATTTTTATATTTATAACTCATTAGAAAAAGTATATTCATGCACAGCTTCTATCAAATTCTTAGCCAAACTAAGTATGGTAAGATTTGCTAATTCTTGCTTTCTTACATTTAACCATGCATTGGGTTGACGTAGGTCGCTATATCAAGTAAGCTTATAAAAAGTACTGTAAATCTAAAAAATATAAGTGAATTTCTGCATACATGATACTTCTATTATCATCTTTGTAATAGCAGTATTATGTACCTGTGTGATACTTGTTATACATTGATTATATTTATTATTATAATTATTATCAATATATGTCTCTTTCTCTCCCTCTGGCGCGCGAGAGCACGCGAGACTTTTTTCTAATATTCAAATTCCTCTAACAATTGAAATGAGCTGTCTTGAAGAAAATAGACAAGGCACTTGAACCGAATATTTTTTTCTTAGCTAGTTGGCCTCAGAAATAGTAGAATGCAGGTTTGCACATGATACATTAAGTGATGAATAAATAAATAAAGTCTTCTAACGAAACGTACTTTGTATCTTCTTTGATCTATAAAATATTGACGATTCTCTTTAACAACGGCGATTCTGCATCTTATATTTCAGTGGCTATAAAAGAGCGCACGTGCGTGTCAAGGCCTTCTAAAGATTGTTCCTCCAACGTACAATATTATTTTTAAAGCTTTCAAGCAAAACCAGTAATAAGTAATGTTATATTCTCCCTCATTAACTTTTTGTATAATATATTAGAATTTAGGGATGCAGAGAACAGCCCTAACAACTAGGTAACAAAGTATGAAATTACAATAAGATCTAGGAACGTTTTCCTTAGAAAGACCTTAAAGCTTCTTGATACGCATGTATTTTTCCATAGTTTCTAATATCATGTGGTTGAAAAATAATTCCACTAAAGTTTAACACAACATAAAGAAGCAATTTATATACAAAAATATAAATAAATTAACAAAATGTTATGCCAGACAAGAGTGAAAAGCTCACTCACACAATCTAAATGAATAAACAATCTGAAAAGTATATAATACACAAAAGACTACTACCTCCTAAGAACCCACAGCCTTAAGTACAACATATCTGTACCTGAAAGGCATATTAACAGAAACAGTTACAAGATTACACATTTCATTGCGTATAAAATCATGTGCTTCCTGTATCTCAATATATATGCATAACGAGGCAACGAAATTATAATGTTTCGCATTGCAGTTACAGATACATAGGACATTGGTGTGTGAATTGTAAATATAAACATCATTGTCAAACGTTATGTAGCAAACCAGTGTCAAAGTCCAATAGAGTGGCCAGGTCGTATGCAGCAACATCAGTAATGGAATAGGGAACCACCCAGAAGGGAGTATATATTTTTATACTGTTTGTCAGAGGAAAATTACCTTAAAATGATTCTCTAGCGACAATTCTTAACGTTTAACACCCCAAGGACCATCAGGGGTTGCAATTGGTACATGAGAATATCCAGCAAATTGTGGAAACTCTTCAACGCTCGCGGTATTTGGAGCATTCTGTTGCTTTTGTTGTTCCCAAGGACCTCCTTTCACGATAAAACCAGAATCACTTTCATTGTTAGTTAAACTTCCTTCATCGTGATGAGGCATGCGAAGATTTTCACGATATTCATTTTCTAATACATCTTGCATCTAAAATTTCAAATATAAATCAGTCTATATCTACTATCATTATTAATTTTATATTTGTAAATAAAAAAGTAAAATGCATACATATTCTTCTTCCAAATTAAGAAGATGATCCTTAGCTTGAGCAACATTTTCTTCTGCCCCCTTTATTGTAACAACGTTAGGATCGGGGTCAGTTTTTCGTGGAAATTTAATATCCACTTTGTATTCGTCCATTATTTTACGAATATTCCTGCCTTTTGAACCAATCAAGCGTGAATGTACAGCAGCATTTATAGATACTTCTTCTTTTGTTAATCGATTCTAAAGAAAAATAAAATCTAATAATTATTTTCCTTTATCAATTTGGTTATTTATCAACATGATTTAGTCTTACCAATTCATTAACTATTTTTGATATATCATCGCGCGCACTATAAGCATTTTTTTCATAGCCAGTAATAGTAATGATATGCTCTTCTGGATCACCTTTCCGAGGGAAATTAATTTGAACGTCGTGATCACTACGTATTTTACTAATAACAGCACCCTTACGGCCTATTATTTTTGGATGATATTCGGGATCAATCTCAATCTAAAATGAAGTAATATATTGGAAATTATATTTTGTTTATAAAATAATCACACAATAAAGATATACAAATAATTGATGATTACACCCCAATATATCAAATACCTTTAATTCAAAGGATTTAAGTGCTCTATCCTGACGATCAGCTTCCAGAGATTTGCACTTGTCTAGGATTGCTTGCTTTGCATTTTCAACACATGATGGTGTTCCAGATATCTGATCAATGATTTATACGTTAATAATAATATCTTTATAAAATAAAATTATAAAAAATAAATTGTATAAATGTATTAGAATTTACCTTTATATAATCAAGTCTTTCTTCTGCAGGTGATAGCATAATACGAACATCATACATATTCATTAATTCTCGTACATCACGACCTTTCTGACCAATGATCGAACGATGAAAATTAAATGGTACTGGTACCTGAAAATAACAAATTTTAATTATGCGATTATCAAATACATTTTTTTTTAAAGAATATTTACAAGATACTAACTTCGATTGTTATAGGTACAAGATCGAGTAGTGCTTGTTTCGCAGCAGCTACATTGTCTGGTTGGCCAGTGATGCGAATTATATCACATGCCGAAATTTCTTCTGAGAGATCTCCATTTTCACCATTAATTTTCTCAGTAAACTGATGTTCTTCAACTAAATTATTTAACATTATATGTAATATGAAATATATTTCTATATAATTGTGCTTATATCAGTTAAAAATAAATATTCAATTATTTTTACCATATGTATCACGATCAGGGAATTTAACTTGCACGTCATATTCAGCTGAAATATTTTGAACTTTGCGACCCTTAGCCCCCATTACGGTACGATGATGTTTTTGAGGAATTATACATTCTACTGTTATCATTGATTCCTATAAAAATAATGTAATATATTTTTCAAACGATCTATTTTTCATTTCAAATACTTTTATTAATAGATAATTGCTTTAAAGAATATGTAAAGTTATATTACAACTTACTAGTTCCTGAACAATTTCTTGCATTCGTTGTTTTGCAGCTTCAATACAATCGTGTGATCCTTTAAGAATTACGCGATCGCTATCGACACCAGCTCTTGGAAAAGAAATTTGTACACCACCACATTCATCAGCAATACGATGTAAAACACCTCCTCTTCTCGCCACAAAATGTCTATGATGTTTGGGATCAATGTGTATTTCACCTTCAGTAATATTATCCTGTGATAATAAGATATATAAGTTAAAAATTGTAAATATATATAATTATTACGAAATATTGAAAAAATCTTACAATTTCACTGATATTTGCTTCTAATTCAGCTTTGGCTTTTTCTACGGCCTCTTTTTTGCCCATTATAGTAATAATTTCTTTATCTACATCGTCTTCAGTTGGAAACATTATACGGGCACCAGTAGATTCTCTTATCTAATACAAAAAAAAAAAAAAATATGAATATATAATAAATGTTATTTTGATTTTGGAATAATATTTATTACATCTGATATTAGCATAAAAATAATACCTTTCTAATATTGGCACCATTTTTTCCAATAAGAAATTTATGATGTTGAACTTTGGCACGAACTTCAACAGAATAACTTGTGAGTTGCATTTCATTAGTGAGTTCAAACAGTTGCTGTTTCGCCTTTTCCACATCCTCTTTTGGACCTCTTATACTCACCTAATTAAAATATAATAATTTTATTTCTTTAACCTTTTTGTATTTATATCGTGGCATATATTTTTGTTACCTTTAATACAAATATACAAATATATGTTATACAAAATTAAATGGTTCGAATAATACTATAACAAAAAAAAACAATTTTTTCTTTTATCTTCTTTTATATTATATTATTATTGTGAAATATTTTTTTTTTTTTTGCAAATTAACTATGATGAGAAATATTTCGTTTGAAATCGTTGTTTTCAAATTATTTGAATAAAAATTTACAAGATATCGAAGAAAACAATACCTTGACAGAAGAAGTTTTCAAATAAATGATAAAAAATCTATTCTATTAATCAACGTGATGTATTCTTCCGAAACCGTTTAATTTTGTATGAAACGTTTGTTTGTATCTTTATTATAAACCTAGAAAATTACATAAAATAATTTTAAAAAGAACTGCTTACACTTCTAGTATTTATTCAAACTTATTTTCTTACCTTATCACTTCCACTTTCAGCAGAAGGAAATTTAATTGTTACACCACCACAATCTTCCATAATAGAATGTATTAGTTTACCGCCAGTTCCAATTAAGAAATTATAAAACTTCGGTGGTATAGTTATTTCATTAATTACAATATTAGCCTAATAAACAGAAATTATATTTATAAATTGTTAATAATATTATTAACAATTTATGTATATTTATATTCTTATAATATATACCATTTCGTCTTGAATCTTTTGTATCATTTCTTTAGCTTTTTCCATATTTTCTTTCTTCCCGGTGATAGTAATAACATCACTTTTTTCACCTTCTGCAGGTAAATCAATTTTCGTTTGTGTTTCTTCTCGTATCTAAATAATATCATGATTTAATATAAAAAAGAATTAAAATTACTTTGTCTTTTTTTCTTGCTTACCTTTTTGATATTAGCACCACCCTTTCCAATAACAAATTTATGACATTGTTTAAAAATGGGAACTTCTAACACATGATTGTTTTCATTAAGTTCTTTTACTAGTTTCATCAGATATTTATGGCACTTATCAACATCTTCTTTGGGTCCCCTAATTTTAACAATATTCCCTTTTTCTCCTTAAAAAAAAAAAAACAAAAACAAAAGAAAATAAGTTACATATAAAAAAATGTTCAATATATAAAATATTACAAGATTAAACAAAAATTATTTATTGTATATTTTTACTAGCAGTTTGCATCTGAAAGCTGATCAGGAATCTGGATTGTTTGAATGGATGGACAAAGGGATGAGCGGTTGGATGTAAGTAAAATTAGTAGCTGTGAAAATATATACCTAGTTTAAATATTTACGGGAAATTGGTATTTACTAGCGGTTATGTGTTGTGAATAAATCAAAAGCACAATATTAAATACCTGGACTAGGAATCATAATTTGTACTTGATTAAATTTGTCTCTAATTTCTTTAATATTATCTCCTTTACTGCCGATAATATCACGATGAAAACGATGATCTATTACAACATCTTTTTCGTTTTCGTTCTCCAATTTCTTAATCATCTCCAACAATTCCTAAATAATAAAAAAGTAATCAAAGATAATAAACAAATTCTAATTAAACAATAATTAATTTAAAAATAATGTGTAGTAAATATAAATACTAACTGTTTTAGCTTTCATTACACCTGCTACGTTGCCTTCAATACGGATTATATTACTACCATCATTTTCAGAAATGTTGATGACAACACCTGTAGCTTCTTTAACACGATTTACTAAAAGATACACATGTATTCAAATATTATATAAATAACGAAATTACATGAAAAAAAGATATGAAATTCTTACCATTACATCCATTTTTACCAATTATATGTTTATAGAATCTAGGATCAACATTTAATTCTGTAAACGTAAGCTTTGACATAAGATCATTAGCCATTAGCTGTAGTTCATTTTGTGCCTTTTCAACTTCTTCTGGAGGACCTTCAATTTTGATTTTATCCTCTTTACCAGTAAATTCTACATTTACTTTAGGCATTTCCTGCGTAATCTTTTTTATGTTTACACCTTTCCTTCCAATTATATACTTGTGAATCCAAACAGGAGCTTCTACCACAGCCGTTCGTACACTGTTAGCCTTTTCGTAAACTTTATCTAGCGCTACATGTCAAAAATAACATTACGTTATCGAGATAAATATACAAATTATATACGTATTTATTAACATAGGAAATGAATCATTATTTTACCTTGCCCTAATTTTTCTTGTGGACCTCTTAGAGTAATAGTTCCTGTTGCCGAATCTGAAGCTGGCATTTCAACACTTACACCAGTTAACTGTAATATTTCAGCTATAGTACTACCGCGAGGTCCAATAACATATTTATGTTGTGATTTGGGAACTTCAACTGAAACTGTTGTACACCTTCTCTCCTAATATAAAAATACAATAAAGATTTATATAAAATCAATAAACATAACAAGACGGTAGTTATTTAATATTTATAAAAAAACATACCATATCCCTATAAATATGTTCTATTTTTTGTTTAGCCAATAAAACACCTTCCTTTTCTCCAGCTATCGTTATTTCATCATTTTGTACAGAAGTCGGAGGAATATTAATACGAGCACCAGTTTCACTCATCATCGCATTTAAATTTTCATTATGCGCTCCATATATGAAAGGATGATAAATTTTTGGCACATTTATCCTTTCAAATGCTTTTCTAGACTAAAATATTAATACATTATATATGAATGTAAATAACATTTTTAAGTATCTATGGATTACATAGCTACCTGTTCATCAGAAATAACTCTAATCTCATGTTCAGCTTTTTCTATTCCTTCTTTAGTTCCAGTAATAGTTATTATGTCTGATTGATCTTGAACACCCGGTACATTAATTTTAGTTGCAGTTGTTTTTTCGAGATCTTTGAGTCTTTGACCTTGTTTTCCTAGAATCCAGCGATGATGATCCTTTGGAATAGCTATTTGTTTACTTGCCTAAAATGAATGAATAATAAAGTAAAATTAGTAAATTATCTATCTAATAATATGAAATGAAATAAGAAATTCATACTTGAGTTTGAAATGTTGTTAAAATTCGTCGTTTTGCTTCCAAAACTTGATTTTGTTTGCCAGTGATCAGGAATGTAAGAGACTGATCTTTGGAAGTTGCTATTTCAATAATGGTATCTGTCTCTTTCATTATTGCTTTACATGTTCGAATTGATTCACGTTCTCCAAATTTATCACTATGATCAAATTTACGTTCCTCTCCTGGTACGCGAAATATCTGAAAAAGAAATTTTTTAAATAATAGTTCAAATAGAAGCATAGAACAGAATTCTTTATGTCACAACATATAGTGTTAGCATCAAAAATAAAAAATACTTAGTTTATAATTAGGTGAAATGGTACCTGGGTTATCGTTATGGGCCCAAGTTGCATATTGTTATTTAATGAGAAACTATTTAGTCTTCCAGAGCTGGAAGCTGATTCAGGGAGAAGTGGGAATGTTTCATCATAGGTTGGTGGCTCATAAGGAGTTCCCTCCTCCATTACTGATTGCTGCTGCATATTGGGATTGTCCTATTTCGTGCCAAGTCCTTACAGTAGCACTACAAAACAAAACAATTTATTAAACGATAAGTCTCACACACAGTTTCATTTTTATAAGTAATAAAGCGAGTAGTTGTATACATAGCGTTACTTTATCATTTGTATATACTTTATTTTATTTAAAAGATATATTTAAAATAATAACATGGAAGAAATTATTATAATATTTTAGTACTAATACAGTATAGTATCAATTAAAAGATAAAAATTATTTCGACATATCTCTGTAATTAATATTTTTTCAATCTCAATTACTTTGGATTTTTTTATAATTGGTTTAATTATATTTAGTTTTACAATGAAATATTGGTAATCAGGAAACATAAATTAATATCCACAGTAATGTTCACATTTATATAGGACATATAAAAATGTCTTATGTTATAATTACTTAACAAAATCGTTAATGTCATAATATATAAACTGTAATCAGATATGATAGATAGTTAAAAGATCATTAAATAACTTAATCTTTAATAAACTTGATAAAATTAAATTGCAAATAAATAGGTTAATTAACATATGTATATGATAAATGAATAATTTTCTATAATGTACTTTCATGGAATTTTCAAACACATTTCTTTTTCAAGGCAAAGAAATTAATTAATATTTAATTGAAAATATTCTTTTAAAGGCAGATTTATTATTATATTAATTATACGATATTAAGTAATATAGGCTATGTATATTATTAGAAAGTAGTTTCTCCAATCAAAAACCGTGAACAAACAATTTAATGACCAGCGAAATTTAATATAAATTTATATAATAATAAAAATGTAAAATATAGCAGCGACCTTAAAAGATAAATTCAAAAAAGATAAGAATAAAAAAGAATAAGAAGAAAAATATAATATTCCGAATGTATACCACGTTTATTATATTGAAATATTACCTTGATAATTTTTGATAAATCTATAGAGATCCATACATAATACGTTATAATTAAGTATTTCTTTTTTGTTAAATGACAAAAGGAAAGATATTTTATAGAGCATATTATTTTTGACTTAAAATAAAAAACAGCATGTTAACGATCAGAGGTTGAAGAACTAACCACCATATGGAATGAAGTATTCACTTGACACGTCACGACTTCACTAACCTCTTCCCATACGTATATTTGAAGAATCTTATTCTGAATCACGAATGACGAAAAAATATCTATTTATTACATAAAACTAAAGTTTTCAATTGACCAATATTAAAATTAGACTGGCTTATGTTCATACATAGAAGAAATAGATAATGTAAAGAAAAAGTCTACTTACTCTACCGTAATCGAAAAATCCGGCCAAGTAATAAATGTGTATTAGCTAGCCAGTTTACCGATAATCTGCCTGGAACATCACAAGATCAATGAATGTTAAATACACGAAACAGTATAATATATATAATTACATTAACGCAATGGTAAATGATTTTTCAGAACAAAAAAGTTGACAACGTTCCTTACCGGTCACGTAAAGTGAAATGTAGTAAAATCGGATAAATTCTCAAATGTTGCCTGCATGTAAAAATTCTTCCATAGTATGAGTAGTAATCTTTTTATGAATTCTGTAGTGCTATTACACTTTTCGACCAATAAGAACGAAGTAATCTTATCGGAGGCCAATTACAATTTACAGATATTTCAATGAACCTATTTAAATTAATTTCAAATATTTATTTAAGTAAGTATCCATTTTTTTTTCTACCAATAACAATGATCAATTAACTTACTCCAACCAATCGCAAGAAAAGGAACACAATACATTCTTATTTCATATTCAATTCTTTTGATTGATTCCATAGGATGCAATTTCTCTAGTTTTTCGAGAATATTATTGGTTAAAATTAAACAAAAAATAATGCACATATAAATGGAACTATACAAGAAGTAATATTCATTTATATGTATATTTTTGTTGTGTGTGAATAACGAAACATTTATTAGAAATATACTTTTTATCTAAACATTTTCCATTATTCTACGTAATATACATACTTATATACATATATATCTAGTTATTTTGTTTATTTTTTGTTTGTTATAATACAAATGTTATTGGTGGAAAAACAAATCGTTGTTAAACTATATAGTTGACACCATCATAGATAACTAGTTAGGGATTTATTAGATCGAAACTTTAATTTCTTCGAGTTTTGACCTTCATTTAGACCTTGACATTACGTTTTAAATTTCAATGGAATTTAATAATTATTCAATTTTTTTTCATTAAGTATTATTAACAACGATTGAACGTAGAAAAAGGTAATTATATAAGTAAACGTATCCCAAAGTTTCCTCTAGCCTACATCATTGTAGTTTTTACTCTTACATTTATTATTATCTTCTTCATCAATTAGTCTTTAGCAGATTTTGAATTATATAAGTTTAGTCATTTATTAAAAATTATTAAAAAGAAAACAATATCTAACATTGCTTAAGCGTGAATTAGATACTTTAATAGATTTTACTATGCAAATTGTCTTATTTGTATTTATTCAATATGTATGTGCAATCAAATGAAAAATATTCTTCCATGACCTCAAAAGATATTTTCTTTAATGCTTATTATTCAAATTCAATAATCATGTTTCGTAATACAATATTTATTGCAATTGACTAAATATATATATGTATATATACATATATAAGTAATACTATTATATTTAGAATATAAGCTTAACATAAGAGTTTAAATGCAAAGATGTAAAAGCCAATCGGTGTCTCCATGCAATGCTTTTATGCATCTACCAAAAATGGCGTCCGTATGTGAGATCTCCGATTGGTTATCTCTCATATGCATGTGCATATATCTCTCTCTCTCTTTTTCTCCCCCTCTTTCTTTCTCTATTCGTTTGTAATGGAACAGCTTGTGTGATGGCCTTAAGTTCCATAATCGCATCGCGAGGGGATTTGTGATATTGTTTCTTGTGAAATTACGAACTTTCACAAACATTTCGTACAATGGCATCTGCTAAGAAAAAGCAAGACGAGAAAAACTTGAAGATATTACGTGAACTGGTTTCTCTTCCCGGAAACAAAGAATGTTTCGACTGCCATCAACGAGGACCGACTTACGTCAACATGACAATCGGTTCGTTCGTTTGTACATCTTGCTCTGGTATGCTGTAAGTACATGTTTCTTAGAAGTTATTATATTCGCTTGGCCCATTATTCCTATGAATTAATATTATTTGATAACGCATTTCATTGTGACTTCTATATCTTTTTGTCCCCTTTGGTTTATCGCTTCTCCTTCCGGATAACGGATTGCGACACCAGCATTTTTCTTCTCCACTATGCTCGGCACTCTATCATTTATTTTTTTCGAATATATCGTTCTCATTATCCCTTTTTCTGATTTTTGTTAGATAATTAAAAGAAATGCTCTTGCCATTGGATGCAAATAAGTCTTAACTCGTTTTCTGAGAAGGATGTAGATAAGGTATATATTCGACATTGACCAAATGTTATCCTCTCAGTTGATAAGTATAGCATCATTGATACAAATGCATAGTTTATAAATGTGCATTATACAGTTTTCTTTGCATAAGTATCAGTAGTTTCCTTTTGTATAAACGAACAAAGATTTAAATGAACTATGTTGTTAAATCTGCATCTAATCTCTTTTGTATCTTTCATCAATTTTTTATGACCCGACAAGGCACTCATTTCTGTATCTTCGAAAAGTATTTAGAAAATAACTAATTACTATATTTATAACTATTAACTAATTTCTTTTTTACGATTGTTTCTTTTTTGTAGATTAGAAAACGTATCATCTAATTATAGAAAATTTTATTTTGAAATATGCATGCGACATATTTAATCTATTAATTTAAATGACCGTCTTCATAACACATTAAAATTGATATCTTGTAAAAAAAGAATAAATAACACAACACTATTAATATTAGCATGGAATGTTAACAATTTATATCTTCTAAAAATATAAACTTTGCAGAAGAAACTGAAGAACACATTATTAAAGTGGCATGTTGCCAGAATGTGTGGGATATACATATATATGTATATATAATGCATCAGTTTGTGCAATGTAAAACAAGATGATGAAATTATGTTTTTAACATTAATTCAAGGTCGATTTTTGTTAATAAGTATTTTGTACTTCTGTACTTTTTCACAGACGGGGTTTAACACCACCACATAGGGTAAAATCAATTACCATGGCAACATTTACCCAAGAGGAAATAGATTTTATAAAAGAACGTGGTAATGAATATTGTGCAAGGACATGGTTGGGTTTAATGAACCCAAATTCACCATTAAATTCAGATATTAAAGACGAACAAAAAATGAAAGATTTGATGAATGCTAAATATGAATTAAAGAGGTATTATTTAGATCCATCTTTAGCAAATCAAAATTCAACTCAACAATCGCAGTCTGTTAAACAAACAAGCATTCCACGCGTTCCTCTTTCTGGAACATCTACCACATTGCCTGTAACAGCACAGAAAATAAAAAATTCGCAAGTTATTAGTACGAATAATTTTACGTCAGACTTTGTAGCTGATTTTAGTAATGTTCCTGAACCTTTTCATACCGCAGTGCCTGTTAATAGGCTGAATCAATCTGTTACACCTCAGCCATTTTTTGCTAATTTTGACAATAATCCTGTCTTCAATACTCCTAAAAGTATGTCTATTTTATATATTTACTTTAATTATAATCAACTTTCTTATCAATAATAATGTTATGAATTATTATTAGATTAATTTTAATAAAGATTATTTAATGTGTAGACACCGATACGTCAACTACACTTAATATGAGTGGAGGAAATTTGTTGACAACAAATATGAATGGAACTAAAGTGCCTCCATCAGAAGATCGTTATGCGGCACTCAAAGACTTAGATTTTTTGATGAAACAATCGCAACAGAAAGAAGAAACAACTAAAGTATTAACGTCGGCATGGAATTCTAATAATTTCAATAGTAAGAGTATTAAATAATTTATACAAATTGTATACAAACAAAAAATGTAATCAATGATTTCGGTTGCAGCAACAAATTCTATATGGAATGCAGATAATCAAACAACGCATGTAATTTCAAATCCATTTACAAGTACTGATGTGTGGCGACCATCTGCTAATGTAATAAATAATAATAATAGTAATAATAATAATAATAATATGCAGCCAGAAAGCTCTCTGTGTAATCCTATTAATCCATTCAAACAAGTGCAATTTCCTGTAAATAATGGTAAGTTTTAATTAAAAAATGTTTTCTATTTTTTTTTTTTAAATAATTATATAATACAAATGGAAAGATATTTATTTGATTAATTTATTGTTATTTTATTTATGTATAATTAATCAATCATTTTGATTGTTTAATTATTAAATTTGTATTTTATGTAATAATTCTTTATAATTCATCATGAGACCTAAGTAGTACCGATAATCAAATAATATATTTTATAATGTTTTTATATTACTTATCTTGCATAAATGAAATTTATCTTAAAATGCAGATTCACAATGGATGGGCGTAGATTCAGCTAATAACAGGGATACTGTTCAATTTAGTCAGTTAACAACACCATTAACAAATAAAGTTTGGCAACCAACTGTTTCAGCATATCACGCGAATCCGTTTATGGCAAGTAATCAGTTTTCTACTTTTCAGCTCTTACATCTTTAAATTTATTCTGCTTATTACATAGATTAGTTTTCCTATGTTTCTATACTGTAAAGTCTAACAATATTGTTTCAGGTGGGCACAGGTGTAAGCAATATGACAAGGAATTCTAAAAATCCTTTCTTATGATTATGCGACTACTAATTTTTATTAGAGCTACGAACAAATAATGAAAAGTACTAAAATATTAAAAAAAAAAAAAACTAGATTAGGAAAATTGTTTATATGTGACCTTATTGACAATTAGCATTATTAGCTTTTATTTCTAGGAGCACCAATCTCTTATTTGTATAACTAAAGTAATACTTTTATTTATGTGACTATAATGTACATGTTTAATAAAAATAAGCTTTGTTACTAAATATATAATACTTACTGAAAAAAACCAGCCCTAATATAAGATTGGTTTTTTGTGGTTTTATATAAATATAATAAATCATTTATTTATAATGTGGTAAAACAATAAAGTACAAAATCTAATAAGGGTATACTCAAAATAAGCAATGGAATGGTAATATATGCATATTTATGTATATATATATATATTACCTGGCACACACTTAAATACGGTTTATTTAAAAACTTGTAATAAATACAAAATCACAAATGAACACGTTGTCTTTGTTGTAATTTAATACCAATAGATGATGTGTAGAGATCCACTTAATAGTTCGTAATTGCACGATAATTGTTATTTGATCATTATTTTTGCAGTCTATATTATGTGTAGTTATATGATATATTATTAATCATAATAACATGGTCGGTGGCATTGTTGTACAATCACATGTGGATATAAGAAGCCTTTTATCAACTATTCAAATGTCACAGCTGCCATATGATATCATTTTTTTTTTCTTCTGCAGAGTTTGGAAGCTCCAACAAGTGTAAGAACTGCTAATGGCAATTACTTAGAATAATAAATTATTTATCAGTATAAATGGAGAAACAATCAAGAATCTCTAATACATGAGTTGACCAATTATGTTAATCATTATGTATAAACATACGAGCTGTATGATATTGATATTACTAGGCTGGCATCGCGTATCGAAGTGATACATTTCAAAGCGCATGAACTTTTGCATGGCACGAATTCATCTAGCAACCATTACTGCTAGGATTGCCTTTTGGTAAAGGGCGCACCAAATATAATTTTTCGCCTTGTTTGTTGGTATAAATAGGTGCTCGTTGATAATGATCTACCAACTGATCTAATGTATGGAACTTTCTCTGGCCAATGCAGTACAGTGCTCCTTCTACGTGTACCCTAAAATGCTTATTGCGTCCTGGAGCTTTTAAGGACACAGAATAATCTCCCATCTAAAATATAAGTAAAAAGAAATTATTTTCAACACTTTTATATTTATTTTTATGATTAATAGAAGAGATATAATGATGAAAATTATTTACATTAGTTTCACTATCTCTGATTAAAAAATCACCATCGTGACCATGCTGGTTGAGCAATGTATCACACTGTGATCTTGTAATATTGCCATAATACCAAGGTTTCCCAACAAGATGCGGTCTATCACCTGGATCTGGTCTTCGTTCAAGAGAATCATTTGCACTAATTTCATTACTCGTTACGCCACGATCGCGATATGGTTGTGTTAGATATTCGCTGAGTTCCTGAAGGTAATTACGTGGTACTAGGCCAATTTGCCCTTGACTATTTCTTGCTTTATACCATTCAGGATCTGCTGGAGGACGATCAAGAATCTCCAAGCGATCACCTTTTTCAAAAGATAGCTCCTGATCATTATTTGAAGAAAATGAATATAATGCAACTACAATATCAAGAACATTTTCTGCCATAGCATATGTATGAAGAGTATCATCGGCATCGCCTTCTTCTTGAGTATAATTTGATGGGAACCAACCAGCCTGAGTACCACTTTGACCTCTCCACCAGCCATCATTGCTTTTCTCAAGTATTAGGATTCTGGTGCCTTTGACAAGTGATAATTCGTCTGCTTGCTGAGCTTGATAGTTATATTTAACGACAGCGGTACCTATTGCTTCACTTGGATCAGCTGGTAAACGTCTAGCCATAATAGGTGATTCTACAGCACGGGAAGGTGAATTGCTAGATGGTAATGTTTTAGAGCCAGAACCCTTTTTAACTTTCTTCTTAATACTGTCAAAAAGGGATGGCTTTTCTTTTTTAACATAATTGCTTGGCACGTAACCAGCTTGTCCTCTAGCACTTTGTACTCTCCACCAGTGCTTGGAATCATCGAGCAATAAATAGCGCTCGTTTTTACGTAGATCCAATTCTTGAGCTCCCTGTGCTCCATAGTCGTACTTGGCGACAACGTAACACACGTCGTCCTGACTTGTTTTGCCTAAAATGTGTTATAGAAATTATTTTAACGCGTAAGCTTATTAAATAGAAATATAATCTAAATTAGCCAAATCAAATTTATTTTTTACAAAATTTATAAAACATTACTATACAACTTACTTAGGATAATGTAATCAAATTAAAAGCATTACCATTAACTACTAATAAATTTAATTATTACCACAAAATAATAAATTTGAATGAATACAGAATAATAAACTGATAAAAAAAATTATTGCTGATATAATTCAAGTGTAAATTAAACATTATAATAAAAATAATATACAAATTTTATTTAAATATATTTACATAAAATGTATTTTGGAAAAAAAAAATATATATATATATATATATATAGTAATTTATATTATATGTAAAGTATTTGTACTAAAGTAAAGCAATAAAAAATAAATATACAAATAAAGCAACGCATACAAGAATAAAAACGTACCATGCTTCATGGCTGCCATGTGCGAAAAGGGGAGAGGGGAGTTATATATATAAGAGTGTGTATGTGTGTATTAAACTGTGCTACGAGTAGTTACTACAGATGTACTACTCTGATTGTTTGTAATTCTGCTTGTACAATGTTGGTGACGTATGTGCAGCAGGCATTCATTCCTCAGCTTTTTTGTTTATTGATGGTAAACTTGACGATCTCTTTGTTCAGACTCCATCGTTCTTGCAGGTAGGGCAAGCAAGCGCATTACCACACTTTGAAGAAAATAAAACAACAATTATTATCTTGAAATTACAAATAAGAAATTACAAAAATGATATAACTCTTTTTTTTATTGAAAATATTATAGCTTTCATTTAGAAATACAACTTATATAATACACACGTTTTCTTCATTAAATATATCTATAAGTATTTTTGTTTTTCATTATAAAGCATGCACCTATACCAATAAATTTCACCTTAGATTTATACATATATATATATATATATATACAGGATGTCATACAACTAGTCGTACAATCGAGCAAGTGAATCTACATGAAAAACTAAATCAACAATGTAACATACAGTTTTTACACATAAGATTTTGTTTTGAAACAAAATAAGTTTAAAAATTTATCAAGTGCATATGCACTTGATCTAGTTTCAGCTCAACAAATTTCACTATCTTCATCTCGGATATTCAGAAGAGCATTTTTGTACTTTTTAATATGTTTACAAACATTGTCAATATGATGATATCTCTTGTATCAGTTCTACTTTTTATGTTTATCAAACAAGACTTTTAATGTTTAAGATTGCAAACTCAGTTAAGTGCATGCGTACTTGACAAATTTTCAAACATATATATCAATAAATTTTATTCTACATTTTCCATTTAATTTTTCATATAGAATTATGTCCTGCTCGCTTATATCGTCAATTATAGCACATCCTATACATTTATTATTAGGTCATTAAGATGAAACGTCCGATTATTTCTCATTCGAAATTGAACATTTCAGACATAATGATCTAATACAAAAATTTATAATATTTTGTAACACAATACCAGTTAAAATAGAAATAATATTTATGATATTTTATATCGTATATACGCATATAGGTATGTTCTTATAATTTCTCAAATAAATATTTCAGCTTAAATAAATTAAATTTACTCTAAAGATGAAAGATTTATAACGTGCATAGACAAGGCAATATTTTACAAATAAAATCTCTAAAAATAAAATCAATATGTTGATATAATAAGCACATTCCTGAATTGATAATGAAAAATAAATAATGAATAATGAAAAGAATAAAACAAACATCAATTGTAGTAAAAATTCGAAATAATGTTTATTATAACAAATCCGATTATCCGATTTAAGTAGGTAAACTTAAATTTAATAACAAAGTATTAACTGTTATATCATAAAATAAATACTAGGCACTTAAATAGAATTGAATTAACACAAATTAAAAATTTGAAAATATACATAGTACATAGAAAATTGTACAGCATGTAATACATAATATTTAAATCGTTTATTTATTAATGGTGATATACATTATAATAAAAATCCAAAATATAAATTAAAAAATTAAAGAAATAGGAAAAATAAATATTTATGAAATATATATTAACAGAGGTCGATATAGATGCAAAACGATAGAAGCATAATAAAAGTTTTTTGTGTATCTATCTATATATATACATATATATAGGGATATATATATATATATATATATAAAACCATAATTTTTATAAATAATAAATTACGTAAAGTTTTAACAATATACAAAATAATATTAGGACGCGTAAAATAGTTGATGAAAAATCGTTAAATAATTGTAATTCTTTTCGTGCGATTTTATCGACTTACCGATTTTTAAACTTGACATATTCTTGTATACAGCTCCTAAAATCGACGTTTGTTACACGGATTGTTTCCCCCACTTCGGCCCACAGCCATGAACAAGAACGAAATACAGCGTATGTAGGAATTAACTTTTGGGGAATGAGAGAAAAGGGAAGGAGAGAGGGGTCGTCGGATAGGAAGACGAGGGTACCAAGGAATCAGGGAATGATTCCGACGACCGTACAAAACTCCATCCACTGAACGATGTTGATCGTTTCTGTTTCTCTATTAACACTGCACCGCATAGGAGAGCAACGACTTTTTCTGTTGAACCATAAAACCTCCTTCTGCGGCTAAAACCTTATACCTTTTAACGGCGGTAGACACAAATATCTAATGCTCTACCGATTCCTCCACTTCAATTAGTTTATGCGGCCCCTCCCGCAAAAAAAGGACAGACCCACCCTCTGTACAGAAACACCAAATCTATATACGAATAGCCAAGATTACTAACTCTTAGTATCCTATTGACAAACGCGATAACAGTGCCGCATAGTGATAACTGTTTGTACTACTACATTCTATTATACATACATAGAGGGTAACCAGATTGCATCGAGTTAATTAGTTATGATTGGACAAGCCCTCTTCGTGACTAAAAATATTTAACCAATAGCGTCGATTTATTTTAGGGAATTATTGTTAAGATTTCAAAATATTACTTTAATATTTTATATTCTTTTACAAGAAATTGATATTTTTATATATTATTTTCAGAAATTATTATAAATATTGCTTTAATTTTTATATCTATAAAGAAGTTTATTAAAATAAAAAGTGTTTGAATCGGATACTCATGGTGGCGCTAATTTCAATCAGTAACATGATCTATTGATATGAGTGCGCATATTTTTCGATTATGTGATTGAGTTGCGTGCAATTACGCATTTGTTTGTAGGAATCTGTGAATAACACGTGTGTTTGTTGTGTTGTGAACTGTTTTAAATATAAATCTATTTAACATGCCACAAGGCAAATTAAAAGTTAAAACTAAACTTCCGCCAGCGGTTAAGACTAAAATAAATAAACAAAAAAAGGGACCTGTGCAACGTCGTGGAAGTAAGTTTTAAATTTGATTTTTACGTTCTATTCAAACAATTGATATTCTTTTTGTAATATTTGATTATTTAATAATGTTAGTTTAAAAAAAAATAAAACATTGTATGCAGTTTAGAATCCGTTTTTTTTTTTCTTTCAAGATGCACCTATTCAACCTAAAAAGGCAAAAGTTAAAGAAGCACAAAAATTAAAAAAGATAATTTCGAACACTGTAAATAATGCTATAGAAGATGAACTTAGAGAAAGGGCATTGGAAGGAAAAAAGTCTCTCGTAAAAAAGGATAAAACAATTAAATCAAAGACCTAATCGTTACTTATACAATATGTATATTTAATGTAATTTATTATCTAAACGTTAATTGCAAATTTATGTGATGCAATTAATGAATTCATTTAATATTTTGTTATATGCCTTAAGTTGTAATTTGATACAACATTTGTATGTATAAAAATAGATTAACATAATTTAAAGTTCAAATTATAATAATAGATTGATAAGAATAACAATGTAATATCAATAAATACTTATATTTTTAATAGCAATTAAAAAATATTCATTTCATTTATTAATCATATATATCATCTTTAACAGAAACGTTAAACCACATCAATGAATTTTCTAATTCAAAACTTGTAAGTTTTGTCAAAACTAGATTTGAATAATAGATCCTTTTATGAGCCATTCATTTGACAATTAGATTAACACAATAAACTGTAGAGAAAATTGATAAAATAATATGCATTGTTGTCATACCATTTATTATTGAACGATTATATGAAAATGATTTTCAGTTAATAGTGTTAAATCTAATTATTAAGGAAATTAATTTTAAATATTAAAAGTTACGTATTAATGAAGTGCTTTTATAATAAAATTTGAAAGAATTCAAAAACGAAGGAATTAATCAATTTGGTCTATGAACGGCTGATATAAGAAAACCGCCATAGAAGGAAATTATGTTTTATGTTAGATAAATACTTATAAATAGATGTAAAATAATGAAATTTTTTGTTAAGGAAAAAAAAAATGAATTTTTTTTCCCGGTCTTTTTACATATAATATAATATATTTTGTTTTACTTTTTTGAATTCAAATATTATTGAGAAACAACCTGTAATAAATAAATAATATAGATTATATAAATAATTCATTATACTTTTTTCACATACATATAGATATATATATATATAAAATATGATTTACCACCAGGAGATGGCCACTTTGTCGATTTTTACTTATCGCTGACTCATTTCCCATCTTGAATTCAATAATGCCTTCCTTACCATTTATTAACTTATGGAAAGTTCTAAAAATAATTTATAAAATATTACTTTTTTGTTTTACAATATGTATACATAGAAAAATTTGCATATATATATATATATATATTTTTTTTTTTATTATACTTACGTATCTGTATTAATTATTTTTAAAATCTTTTGCTTGTTTGTAATATAAATTAATTTTGTAACTGCCTCTATTATATATGGTACTTCTAATATTAAATCACCCTATAATAAATATGTCAAAATTTATTAGTAATGTTCACATTTTGTAATAAATGTACTTCTTCTACTTTTTAAAATATTATAATTAGTATTTAAAATAAAATTGTTTTTTTTTTTATGTAATAATATAACAAACCTTGTCTTTCTTAAGATCAGGGGATATTCGCAAAATTAAGAGATTATCCGATTCTCCGGTAACAACGACTTCATCTATATGATCATAAGGTAACCGATGCTTTAGTTTTAATGTTTTTTTCATTTCTAATATATATACTGCTTGTTTAGTTAACAGCAGAATTCTATCTCGAGTTTTGTAACCATGTCGATCATATTTGGTTACTGGGGCTGCATACTAAAATAAAAATATATTTATTATTAAATGAATGTTATTTAATAACGAAAAAGTATTAATATTTATATTACTTCATACCTCTATTCTTTCATTAATTGAAATGATCGAATTAACAAGGTTCTTTATTAATGTTTTCTGCTCATCGTCAAGCCTGCTATTTCTAAATCTTGGACCTAAACTTTTCTCATATGACTTTTTTTTATCCTTGAATAAAGTTTCAGCCAGAATCTTTAATTCAAATTGTGTTTTTTCTTTAGCTGTTAAGGCTAATCTATAGTTTCGTGCCTTCCATCTTTTATGTATTAATCTTAAATGTTCTGAAGCCTAATTTATAATTAAAAATTATATAGTGCTAATATTACTACTTGTTTGTGTTATCATAAAAAATACTTACTTGTTTGCAAGAATAAGGACATGGAGGCCATTGATTATTTAGAACACCGCTAGGAAGGTTCTGGGAAAGGTTAATAAGCCATTGTGATTTTGCTAATTCTATAAAAATCATATTTTCTGCAGTTGGTGGACCAGTTCTTGTAAGATATCCTTTAACAAATCTATTTCACATGATATCATTTAATATTTATAATAAGTATATAAATTATTAATATAATTTAGTTTATTATTATTTTTTGTTAATTACCTGCATATAGTCTTTATAGCTTGACGTCTTCTTTTTGCTTCACGTTTTGCAAGCCATCTACGAATATATTTCTGTAATACTATTACAGCTTCTCTTGTTTTTAAATATTGTCGTCGTGTAAGTATACACTTCCATTTTCTTTGAATGATTGCAGCAATATCATGCTTTTTTAATTGAAATGCATCTTCTGTTTCAAATAATGTCTTGGGGAATCTTATAAACAACTTTGTACTGAAATGTGAAAAATATTGTAATTTGCACATAAACAATTATAATACGTTAAATCAAAGTGATATGATTTTTCTTACTTGCCCATTCTATATTCATTAGATTCATATCCAAGATAACAGATGAGCGTTTGTACTCCATCTTTAGCTGAACCTTTGTAATGCGGCCAAGTCTCTGGGCAAAGAGACTTATAACGATTCAAAAATTGTGCATATAATTTTCTATAAGCAAAACCAGCACGTCTTACTCGTAAATTTTCCATTAAACCGAGATATTTGACTTGATGTAATACAATCTTATCATCGAAACGACCTATCAAAAGAAACAAATATAATTATAAAGGACATATCTCTATCCATATATATACATACATACACACATTCCTGTTCTTATTATTATTATTATACATACTAGACATTTTGAAATCATTAGGCTTAATGCATCTGATGTAAGAAGGCTCTTTCCCTGTTAATATTTCCATAAGATTATTTAAACTATTCTTAAATTGAGTTATAGCAGTTTCTGGGCGCTTTCTACTAGTTAAATCTTTCAGATTAAATGTAGTCTAAAAAATAGATAATTATTTTATAATATGTTTAAATAGATTTTTTCATTTTTTATAATATATATTACAATATATTTAGAATATATACGAACCTTTGTAATTATATTTTTTGTACGAGACATTACTTCCCGTAAATTTCTAAATAATAAATCATTATTTTTTTCAAGAAATCCACGTACATTATATGTAACTTCTCCAGCATAATGTATTAAACGAAATTCCTAGAAAAATAATAAAAGATTTTAAACAATTATCTTATCTAAAAAAAAAAATAATTATTCAATTAAAAATCTTCATACATCTCGACCCATTATCTTCTGTGTCTTAAGGTCTGCTTTTATATGACTAATATAATGTGTATGATTATGTAAATTTTTGTTCAATTTCTCAAGAAAACTTATATCTGTTGGATCGCCAGGGCGTAAACATTCTTCATCCATGAAAGCTATGATTCCTAAAATCATATCAATAATGGAATAAGTAATCATAAATAAATATGTAGATATAATATCAAATATTAAACAGGTAATAATACACACCTTTATGTGTTTCTTCTATTAAATCACATATAACTTTGTTATTAAAATATTGAATATGTTCCCACTCAATACCTTCTCTCGAATATTCTTCTTGCTCCGATTTTAAAGTTAGTTGGATAAATAATTGTTGTAGTTTTTCATTGCAAAAATTAATGCAAAATTGCTCAAAGCTATATTAAAAAAAAAAAAAAAACAACACACAATTTTTAAATATAGAATATAATATAATTTTACTTATTAAGTGCAGAGTTAAATAAGATATGGAATTAATTAATCAGTTTTTATCCGTTGTTTGTATACCTGTTTTTTTGAAAAATTTCGAATCCATAAATATCAAGTATTCCCATGACCACATATTTTTTATGACCCATAGGTCGTTGTAATGACTTATTTAATCTATTGACAAGCCATGTAAATAATCTATCATATATAGCTTTTGCTAATGCATCACGAGCATATATTGCTAATTCTCTATTTAATGGAGAGGTTACAACATCACCTTGTGCATCTATAGTACGATGAGTTAAAGCCTTGGTCAATTCTTTTGTACTACAACCTAACAACTATTTGACAAAAATGTGTGTGATATATTTAATATTTATAATAACTATTATATATTTATTCTTAGATACTTACAGTACAAATTGAACTGACAGGACTAAAGGGTACTATTTTAGCAATTTCATTTTCTTCTGTAAAACCAATATTTCCCAGATGCAAGACAGATGCAACTATGGAAAATAAGCAATTTTGTTCTTCATCCGTCATTTCAATAGTTTGTAAAGCATTTACTACCTCATGATATTGATTGGTATCATTGATAGTATCTACCGAACCACCCTCTGCCTATTTTTTGGTAATAAAATGGAATATTGTGAAAATAACAAATAAATTATTTTAGATATAAGTACACATAATAAAATTGACATACCCCATTACTTAAATAAACGTAAGTATTCAAATCACGTTTGAGAAAAAGTTTGTTAAGAGTTTCTTCATCAGCTCCAGCCAAAAGTTGATAAAATATATGAAAATTACGTTCACCTGGAAATTGATGTACCACACGTGATTTCTCCAATAAATAATTTAAAATATTACCACCAATTGGGTCTCCCTAAAATTCGTTAAAAATTTTCGATAACTTCTCTATAATTCTTCTCTCAATATATATTTTTTTTTAAATTACGTTAAAACACATTTTTTTCTACGTACACGACTGTTAAACTGCATATCCATATATTTACCAAAACGTGACGAATTATCGTTACGATTGGTTTTTGCATTACCAAATGCTTCAAGTACTGGATTACTACCGATTAATTTTCTATTTACTTCTTCAACTTCCTTTTTATGTCTAGTTGAAGCTGCTATAAATTCTAATATTTTTTTCGATGCTTCTGTTTTCCCAGAGCCAGATTCACCTATAATATAAATTATTAATTTAATATTTAAAATTAGTACATAATAATAATATTCATATTATATTGCAAATTAATCAAAAAATTGCAAATGTAAAATAATTTATACACGATACCCGAAATAAGGATGCATTGGTCATAATTCTCTTGAATGAGAGATTGATAAGCAGTATCAGCTAATGCAAAACTGAAATTAAATAATATTAAAGATTATACTAAAAAATAAATAATTGTACATTATATTTAATTAAAATTATTCTTACATATGCGGTGGGGCTTCAAAAAAATGTCTTTTATGATAGAATTGTATACTGTCGATATTGTAAATAGGAAGATTTTTATAAGGATTGACAGAAATCAATACTTGTCCGATGTACGTCTGAAAATGCATAAAAAAAAAAAAACAAATTAATTAATTAATGTTTAAAAAAATTTCTTAATTTTTCATTTCTTTCTAATTTACAATAATTTGAATTAAAAAAATATTTGTTTTTTAAATTTACAACCGATGTATATGACAAAATGAAAAGAGAATAATTGAATTTACTAGAAACTCACATAGATAAGATCTTCCTTAAATCTTTTGCGAAGATTATCAATAAATGCAGATTCACTTTGAAAGTCCTCGAGAAGAATAAAATCTTGAAGACCAACACGATCACGTTCATGTAATACTCGTTCCATACTTTTGGATGATAACCAATGTGTTGTAGACATGGCTGGTTTTTTATCATTAATTGATGTACCCATTGTACCTTTTTTCCTAATAAAACATATTATTTATCTATGAGAGAACATTTCAGCAATTTAATTAATTCAAAAAAAAAAAAAAGAAAATTCGAACACACTTGAATGTAATATAATAAATACTATGGTAAAATTGAAAACAATATAAATTATATTACAGTTTTTGAAATAATTATATTTAAATATATATATATATTAAAAATAATGTATATATATATACTAAAATAGTTATTTAATTTTTTTTTTTACAAAGAATATATAATAAATTATTGAAGCATATGAGCTTCTGTTCGACCTCGTGAAATTACCAGCGATAATGTTACCGATTAGATATCGTTACAACTAAAAGAATACTTTGATACTGCTAATAGTATTTTTGTAAAAATCGATTAGATAATATCGTTATATCAACAATATTTCGTATCAATATATCAAAAAAATTGTCACGTTAGAAAACGCAAATTTCATTATTTCTATATATTCGTTTACTCTTATATGTTTTAATTATAAATAAATAAAAATTATTATAAAAAGACAAATATTAAAATAAAGATAACAAATTATGTTAAATTTTAGATAAAAAAATTTCGCTCACTCGTTCATCACTGTTTATCGTAATAAAGTTTCGATTAATTACAGTATACACAATCTAATGTAAGTAATTTCTTGAATGCCACATATACAGTAAATTATTAGTGGTTTGCATAGTTGGCAATTGTCATACGTACTGTTTATGTGCGTTATTGCACTAACGTAAGTTAACATTGGCTTCGAATAGATAAGATAGAGGAATACGTGGAGGTGCGACCGCTCACCTCTTAAGAGTGAATTTCGATCGATATTTGTCAACTTTATTTAATAATCGGTTTCATATTACTTTGATAGTAATCCGCGTTTAATCGAAACGTTTATAAACATTAATTGTTTAATAACAACAATTTACGAAGAAAATCATCGAAATGGGATTATATGTAGTTACCTTTCTTTAATTCACCGGTTTGAATTTGTTTATGAGTATATTGTTGAATTCTAACGAACCTTCTCAACACGATAATCCTCACTGATCGAAATACTCATGACCATTTTCTTAAGATTAACTTCTTAACTACAACAATGATACGATGCACATTTTTATTTCATTGTCAGACTTATCTCGTCCCCTCTCTCTTGTCGCTCTTCAATTTTTTTTACCCTGGTAACAAGAGTCATTGAATTATTTTTCTTTTTTTTTTTATTTCTTTTCTTCTTTTTTTTATATCGTCCGACATACCGTCGTAAACAACAGTGCTAATTTTTTCATGATTCATTTATTGTTAAATCCATTTTCCGACGCTAGCCTTGCGTAACTCGTACAAAAGATAATTTGAATTACGAGACAATTTGAATTGCGTTTAAGTATCAATCGATCTCAATAAGATCGAAATAGCGATTATCGAAAGTAATGATAATCGCTATTTCGATTTTTCTCGTTTGAATAAATCATCTATTCAAATTTATATTTTGTCGTCATACAAGTGATACTTCTATTCTTTATGAAATATTTAATAAATTAATTACAACTTTCTATATTATCGTAAAAATAATATTATATATATTTTATTTCTTTCATGCGGGTTTAAGTTAGATAAAATAATTATCAGGAATCGTAAATTACTTCGCGGTACAGTTAATTGGTGAAACGTAACACTCGTACCTTTAAATTATTATTTTTTCTTTTATAGAAAAAGACTACGATAAATGTTTTTAAAATTGTAGATAATAATGCTTTACGATAAGGTTACAGTTTTTTTATTTAATTGTTTCGTAATATTTCTTCTCTCGATATTATTAACCACAGGCAACGAGGGTATATATGTATATATATATATTTATATCGAAAGATTTACAAACTATAAATTAACAATACCAATTAATGGTAAATTATATAAAGATAACCTCCTTTTTTATTTTTTTAGTATATAATACCGAAGATGTAGATTTATCCAAATGTAAACTTACACAGCTTGGAACGGAATATCGAGGTTCGAAAATGGTAACCAGCAGTAATGTTCGTTGTCAATATTGGCAAACAGATCAGCCACTTCATAAGGTTATTTTATATTTGGTTTTATTAATAACTCTTAATTATTGACGTATGAGTATGAAATATTATCAGGTATATATTATTCATGATCGTTACATTATTGTATTCGTTTATACTTTCGTACAGAAATACGTTGGTCAAAATTCATCTTTTATATATTCAATCAGTATTATTTATTATTWTTACGTCGATTTAATATTTACAATTAGGTTGATCCTAATATAACGGATGCAGATTTCCCTGAGAAATCTATGAAAGCTGCGAAAAATTATTGTCGTAATCCTACTAATGATCCACGGGGTCCTTGGTGTTATACATTAGATCCTAGTCTTATAGACGATGAATGCGAAATACCTCTTTGCAATTTTGGCGGTAAGTAGAATAGCAAAGTTAATAATCACAATTTTAATACATTTTTTTAAATAAAATATGATCGTTGAATGTTTATAAGTGTTTTGATATAATTTAATAATTTTTATAACAACTATTATAAATATTAATACACGTATTATCATTTATTGTATCAGTACAAAATAATACAGAAATAATAGCGGGAAAATCAAATATTTTGAACGTACTTAACTGATATATCATTTTAAAATACCTATAATGGTTTTTTTTTTTTTTAATAACTATAGAAGATAATTTTAATTTTTCGAACAAACAATATATCTGTTTTTTTTGTTTACCTTTATATGATTATGATAAATATGTATATATTATATGCTTGTTATATTTATTTTTTTATGGTCTAATTGTAAGATTGCAGAATTTCTGGTATAGGAGCTGAGTATGCTGGAGATCGTAAAGTTAGTTCTTCAGGTAAAAAATGTAAATCATGGACAGAACGATACAAAGTTTCTAATGAAAAGGTATAATTGTAATAAATTCATATCATACAAATTATATAATATTAGATAAATAATATATTTTTTAGAGTCCAGTATTTGCCAATAAAAATTTTCCAGATGAATCAGTGAAAAAGGCTAATCGTTTTTGTAGAAATCCTGATGATAATATTGGTGGTCCATGGTGTTATGTACGTGATGAAACTTACGAAACAATTGAAAAAGAATATTGTGATATTCCATTTTGCGATGATAAGGGTAAAATCACTTATAATTGAAAATTACAGAAAGTTGTAAATATCATTATACAATACCATTTAATAAAATTGAATTGTATTTTAGATTGTTTAGTATATGTCAGAAATACATCAAGATATTCAATTCTGACAAATTTAAACTTTACTTTTACAACCATAACATTTTGGATTAAATTATGGAATCCAAATGATGAATATAATGTATGCGAAAGCATGTATATGTAATAGGTGCATTTTATTTTTGAAACTTATTTATATTATTATTGTTTAGGGAGAATTTAAAATTCTATTAAGTGTTCTTCCAATTCCTACATTCGCAAGTAAAATTGCTGAAGATTGGCACGCAGGTGTTGAGTTAATGTTCTCAAATTTTGGTTCTGGTCAAACATATCCTGATGCTAATGTTTGTATAATCTTTGTTGTATTATAATATTAAATATATATGTCAGAGTATTTTTTATAGATAGATGATTTTGAAGATACACCAAGTATATTACTCGGTACAAAATGGACTGGTATATGGATTACATGGGCAGGAGGTTTCATATCTATAGGAATAGATGGATCATCTAAGCCCCTTTTTATTGGGGAATATAAAAAAAAAAATACTATCTCAGACCTCTTTTCCAATTACTTGTTATTTTATGGAATCGTAGGCACAAATGTACTATGGAGTTCAGAATTTTGTCAAATTGGTACATTGATTACAATGTTAAAATCAAACTTGAAATATTCAAAAGGTATTATTTTTATTATATATTTGTAGATTGTGAAGTTCATGTAACCATTGGAATGGAATTTGCAAAAGTTTGGCCAATGCAAAAAACCAATAATACTTATGATATTCATTTTAATGTGCGAGCGAATCGTAATATTGCTATACAAATCTATCAAAATCCTGTTAATATTTACCCATGTTTTACTGTAAGTAATTACTCTTATATATCAAATATTGTTAAGTAAACATCATATATTAACAATCAAGGAATATAAATGTTTTAGATAATCATAGATAATGTTACATCATTAATATATCAGAAAAGTAAATTGTCAATGAAACAATATTTGAAACAAGTTTCAAGTAAAGGATTATTAAATATTTGGAAATGGAAACAATTTTCTATTAGGTAGTAACACTTTTAATAATGAAAGTAAAAGTAATCAAATTAATAAGTTCTTTCATTAATATAGTATTTTAGGTTCACATTTACGATTATTTTATCAACAAACATATGGCGATGAAGAATTATTATACGTGAATCATGATCTGTTTAATACATTAAGATGGTTCAGTATAGGAACTGAGTATAATTTAGCTTACTGGACAATTTTTTGCATACCAGATGGTTTTGTATATTATCAAATTAAAATTTTTTTTTTTAAGTGCTTATTATATTTAAGAATCGTATACATTTTGACAGAATCACATGTAGTAGAAGATCCATGGCCACCCAACTGTATATCTGATCTTATGGATTATGCTTATAAAGGTGATCAGTGGTTTAGTGCAAGTGATGTACCTTGTATACCATGGATTTCAAAAGAAGTACGATATATATATATATATATATATATATATATATATATATATATATGTGTATAACTCTATATTATTTATATAATATCTACTTCATTAGTTATGACAATACAAAATCTATGATTTATATTATATTATGATAGGTACCAAAAGAAGAAAAAATTGATAGTAATTTTGTTGATGGCTATATTTTAAAAGCATTGAATAAATGCAGAAATCCTAGTCGTAGTCCAGAAGGTCCTTATTGTTATGTAATGAATGATCCATATTCTTCAAGCGTTTCAAAACAGTATTGTTCAATACGAAAATGCCTATCTTCAGGTAATTATATTTTGGACTTTGCTAACAGTAATATAATATAGTTCATCTTTCTTTATTGGCATTTATAATCTCTTCATTTAATAGAATGTAAAATGGCTGGTACAGCAAATGATTATGTAGGATCTTTATCAACAACACGTTCGAATAGAACTTGTGCTAAATGGGTAGCTGATTACGAACTTGTAGAAACGAAAGTATACGCACAAGATACACTTGAGACTACTACACAAGACCTTTTTCAAAATCCGAGACGTTACATGACACAACAAGAATTACTTTTGAAAATGGATCCGCGAAGAAAGCCTCAACTTATCAAATATTTAAGACAAAAAGATTCGATTAATCGAACAACGTTTAATGAAACTTTGTATCCAGAACATAGTGCAAAAAAGGCTAGTAACTATTGTAGGAATCCTTCTCGTAGTATCGCTGGTACATGGTGTTATACGACGGATCCTTTGGTACCACAAGATCTCTGTGATGTTAGAGATTGCAAAATGCTAGGTAGAGTAGTAAAAATAAAAAATAATCTGCGAAAACAATATTATTCTATATTTTGAAAGTGTATTTGTTTCTATCATTATTATCATTTCTTTAGAAGAATGTATATTTCTTGTCCATGGACATGGTATCGGTAGACGTCTATATATTTTTCCTGAATATCGTTCTGAGGGCCTACATTTTTCTCTGAAAGCTTGGGAACCTGATCAATTGGATTCTATTACAATTGTTTTTACTGCAGATGATGGTTTTAAATCACGATATATTCTTAAAATTGGAGCTTTGGATAACGAGAAAATACTTTTATATTATCAGTCTGAAAATGAAGGTAATTTGTTAATTTTTTATCGAAATTATGTTCAAAGTTCTTAACAATTTAAAAATTAATCTAAATGTGTAAATAATATTTCTATTTTTTACATTACATGAAATTTATTTAGCTATTAACTTAGTTAAGAAGAAAACATTACCGCATCTATTGTATTTTGGAAAATGGAGCAGTTTTGTTATTCGTGTACCACGAGGAAATGTTTTACTTTATTATGAAGGATCATCAAATCCTATATTTGAATGGAAACATCCAGAACCATCGAAAGTATTTTTGCCTGTTTATTATTATTATAATAGTGAACAAAAACATGCTGTAGGCGTTGCTTTTGATTGCAATTCTAGTTGGTATATTTCTTAATATTTGTATTACATTAATTAATTTATTATTACTGTACTGATTGTTATTGTTTTGAAGGATGTCAAATAGAAAAAACAGAAACAAATGAACTTACAAGAATATTACCATTTTCAATATGGAATAAAAATAAAGTGACAAATATCCATACATTAACACTTATGATACGTGCTAAAGGTGTTGTTACAATTCCATTATTTTTATTTCCTGCAACACCTAAGTAAGAATAAAAATAAAATTTATTGTTATTTTTGGAACAATGACTGATTATGTTTTATAACTATATGTTATTATATAGCTATCACTCCTTATCTCTTTCTGAATCTGGACCATGGATATTCTTTCAAGAGAATAATTATCCCATTGTCAAAATATTTCATAAGCAATTAATGTCAAATCCATTATTTACAACAAATTCATGGACAAATATAACTATAAGGTAAATTATACAAACAAATTAAATTCTCAAACATCTTAATGTCATTTTATTTATAATTATAGATGGTTTTATAATATTATTGAATTAATATGTAATGATACATTGGTATTTCACTATGAACATAGCATCCCTCTGCTATTTTATTTTTTTTCACTCACTGTTAACAATGATGGATGGGCTATTTGGTCAGCAAATTGCATTCCAGCTGGTATACATTATTTTATATTCTATAAATATGTAATATGAAATGAGAAAAGAAAAGTGAATCATTTGTTTTAAATTGAATATAGATATAGATGGATCTGCTATTGATGGTGGCTGGTCTGAATGGGGTCCATGGTCATGTAGTGCTAGTTGTGATGGTGGTGTTGGAACAAGAACACGTTTATGCAATTCTCCGGAGCCTAATATTAGAGGGGAACCTTGTATTGGTCCTAGTAGTATGACAGGACGATGCAATTTGATTAAATGTGGAGACTTAACAGAGGGTATTTTTAAATATTTATATAAACTATGATATATAATGTTTATATTTTTTAATATATTAAATATACACTATATATAAATATTTGTTTATATAGACAGTATTATGTTAATACAAAGAAGAATTAGAAGAAAGCATACTTCTTTAATTGTTAAAGAATATGGAACTATTGTAATTCAATCAGATCGTGACATTATTCAATTGATATCAAATATATCTATAGATCCTGAGATACAATGGTCGCATAACGGAATATTTATTAAAGAAAGTGATAGAATTAAAATAAAAGAATTTAATGTTGGTATGTTTATTTTTTGTTGAATATGTAATAGATATTTATAAATTGAAATAATATGAATATATTATTTCAGTGATAAAGAATGCTCTACTGATTGATTCTGGTGTTTATACAATTACTTTACAAAGAATTGATCAGTCATATCTCATATTGAAAATTGTTGCTTTAGCTGTTATACCAAGTACAGAAAGTATTACTATACGTGAAACTTTGCCTTTATCTGTAATTTGTAATTGCCTTATTTTGGGTTATGTGTATTCTGATCTCAAAATATCTTGGAAAATAAATGAAAATATTTGGAAAGATTATGGCATTACATTACCTATGGCAGTAAATATCGATTATATCAAGGCAATAAATAAATCACACCAAGGAATGTGGAAATGCATTGTAGAGCAAAATGATTTAAATTTTAAATGGATAACTAATATAATTGTTGTTAAAGGTAAAAATGTAGTATTTGAACTTGCTTATGTAAAATAATGAAATAAGTTGAGGCACTGTAATTACCTTTAATATGAAATGTTGAAGTTATTGGTTCACCAAATTGGCGCACTTACTTAATGGAAGATAAGCTGACCAGTCCAATATTTGGTTGGATGCCAAGTGAAAATTTTGTTGCTATTTCAGCATTAATAATCTTTTTATTATTAATTGGTTGTATAATTATAGGTTCAATCTTTTTAATAAGGCAAGTGTAATTTTTTTTAATATAATTGTCACAATAATAACATTATATACGTAATAATAATTGAATGTTAATACTATACATAGGCTTCAAGAAAGTCGAAAGATCAAAGTTCAAGTCAGAAAAACGAACAATAGAAATCGTTATAAACAGCTCCCAACTAAGAACAATCAAGAAGAATAATACATTTTATCATATATTTAGAATTTTAATCATTTATCATCATTCTATTTACATATTCATAAATAAGAAAATTTAATCTTATTGTGTTAGAGCGAATGCAATGTTAAGGAAACAACAAAATTTGTATTTTGTAAAAATGAGAATCTAAAGTATCAACTAATCCAATTCCAGGACATTGCGTATTTATTCATTGAATGAATAATGAATGACGTTGTCGAGGTATTCGATACACCTAAGAATACGAGTGAGAATTTCACAGCACACACTCTTCGACAATTTTGCCGTCATTTCCACTACCGATCTATCTGTATCCCCTTCTTTATTTCTTTCTATTTCTTTTTTTTCTCTTACTTCTTATTGCCCCACTCTTTCTTTTTTCTTTCCCTCTCTCTTTCTCTTTCTTACGGCACATTCTCTCTTCGCGCACGTGTCTATCTTCCTTGCATGTATACGAAAACGTGTTCGTCGGCCTCTGGTACATATCCTGATTACTAATTTACGAAGCCGTGGACTACTTCCACGCTTGGTATGACACCGAATTCCATATTCCAGTCTAATGGAGAGTTGAGACGAACAAACCTGATGATCCTTAGAATCTATGAATAGTACAAGAAGCTGTACTATCATATCATTGATAGAACACTACTAATTGCACTTGTTTCTTGCTCTATACATTAAGGATATTATCATACACTATTTAGTACTACTTTCTAATCTCTTTTCTGACATCTTTTTAATGTCAAGGTTTTCTAAGGTCGATTCATTTATTATTTGTACAGCTTATTAATTAAGAAGATCAATTCGTGCGTAAATAAAATTTAATACACGAAAATACTTCAATTATATTTGAATAATTTTAACGAGTACAATTAATTTTTGCTATTTTATTTTGAAAATATTATTTAAATTATTTAAAAAGTATACTATTTTGTTGCTCATTATAGAAAAAATGAATGATGATGAGATCAATAGGAACTAGATTATTAAATTTATCTAGAAAATCTAATGTTTAAGCATTGAAAACAACGGGTACGAGTTGTATGATCTATCGAGGAAGCTGCTTGATATTTACAGTTAGCTGCTAACTCGACTCTCACGAATTGCTTTCATTAGTGATTCTCCAGAGAAGAGAAAGAGAAAGAGAAAGAGAGAACGTTCAAATTTCGTTTTATTCAAAATGTGAATTTATTGTGAAATACGAAAAAGAAATATTCCTATCTATTTTCATTTCGTTTCTTATTTATTTATCAATGAAAAATTATATATATATATATATATATATATAATAGATGAAAAATTGTAGTCTTTGTAATATATGTTTATTTTATATAAATAATTTTATATAATTTTCAGTCACACAAATTATAAGTATAACAATTTAAGAAAACGAGATGAAGAGTCTAACAATAAATAATATAACTCATATATGGAGAAAGAAGAAAAAATAACAGGATAACGGTACAAGATAATAGTCCATTAATTAATTTGATTATATCGTCATAGAATTTGTTTTCCCTTCGAATAAATCTCGCTTTCGAAATACAATACATTCTCTCAAGGAAGAGAGAAAACATAATGGAGTGCGTGAAAAAGACGATGGAATATAATACTAAGCACCCGAAGGAGGCACCACCAAGAAGGAGGACGAAGAAGGAGAACGAAAGAGGTGGAGGCACAAGTTAGTATAAAAGGGTCGAACCACAGTATCTCGTCTGTTTCAATACTCTCTACGAGTCGTGCGGTAGATCACACGTGTCATTGATCGGGACGATCATCCGCACACGCGACGTTCACGGCTTCCACATAGAGGAAGTTGAAAAGGTGGACTAGAAGGGAGAGTGAAAGAGAATTAAATAAGAAAAGAGAGGTGAGTCGAACGGAATAAAGCAGTTCTGTATAATTATCCTGGAAATTACTTCGATCGGGCGATGATAAGAAACTACATCAAAGATATGCGAGAGGCAAAGTTTTTTTGGGGTGGTTCGAATCAAGTGATACTGTGTGCACCGTCAATAAAGTGAAACAGCATATATATATACTTGATCTTTGTGAATAATATTATTAAATTTTTAATAGAGTATATACATTATTAATCATATAATTCAAACAACGATGCCATTATTCGGTCATCAATTTTAATTTCGTGTGTAATAATTGTGCGAAGATACATTCTTTGTCAATGAGAGTTAAATGTTTATTAATGTATAGTAATGTATGATTTTTTTGCAGAATAATGAAACTAGTGGCAGTGCTTGCATTGCTATGCTGTCTTGCCATAGGAGCATTGACATCACCAGTGCCGAAAATCAGCGATAGCAAAACATCAATTTCGAATACTCTTGTCTCAGGAAGACAAGCGCAAGCACCACCGGTAGCTGCAGATGATGATGATGATGACGACGACGATGATGATGACGTCGATTTAGATATTACAGGAGATGATGATGACGATGATGACGAAGAAGATGATGACGATGACGATGATGACGATTACTTGGAGCGTTTCATCGAAGATATTTTAGGAGGTAAAATAAAACGCACCGTGTGCTACATTTTTCAAGATGAAAAAATAAGTATAGCGCATAATAATATTTCTGATATTTGTTGAATAATCTGATTTGATCTAAAATCCTGTACTGGAATTATGGTAAAAATCGTAAAAGAAACTTCACCGTTACGTAAACATCGGAAACTCACGCGAATAGTATGTTCGATGGAGTCTGTCGACTGTTCACGGCTCACATCAGTAGTAACGGTACGAGGCGCATCGAACTTGTCCGAATTAACATACATCGACAGCGATCTCAGTTCAGAAAGAATTTCTACGTGCTACTTTTTTCTTATCGACCTACATTCGAGAAGTTGTTCTTAGGAAGCGCAAGCACGTTCGAATTTCGATCGTTTTTTTGCAATTCCTATAATTGAAGAATGTTGTATATAGATATTTTTTTAGATAAAATAATTATTTTTTTTTGAGACAGAAATACGCGCGATTATCGCATGTAGGTCGACTATTAATATATTTCTCATCTAATGTAATTTATGAGGCTAAGAAAACTTGTTTAATCGTAGGCGAGGATGATGATGATGATGATGATGAGGAAGTAAGTCAACCGGCTTCACAAGTAACACCTGTAGCAGCCTCACCGATACAGGCAGCACCAGCACAATCACTACCAGCGGCAGTTCAAGCTGACTTAAATGCTGCTGCAGCATCTGCAGATAATATAGCCGAGGAAGCAGCAATTGGGGGTGAACCCACATCGGCCGACGGAGACGCTTACGATGAAGTTGATGAAACTGCGGACATTGTGCCAGAAGGTCAAGCTGTTAGCCAAGATTCTGGACTCGAAGGTGCAGATTCTATTGTGAATCCTGTCGTCCAGTCAGCTAATTCTCAAGTTGCTACGGCACAAGGTGACGACGATGACGATGACGACGACGACGATGACGATGACGTCGACCTCGATATAACGGAAGACGACGACGAAGACGACGAAGACGATGAAGATGATGACGATGACGACGACGATGACGACGACGACGAGGATGCCATTGCGGACATCACCAGCGCCAGACATGCACGTGAGTTCAAGGGCAAGACCAAGAAACACATTAGCAGACACAAGAGTGCACGCTTATCGCGCAAACGACCAGTAGCATCTTCTTTTTCGGCTCGCTCGTCTTCCTCATCGTCTAATGTTTCCTCTTCCTCATCCTCTGTTTCTTCTTCTACAACTTCATCCTCTACCATCTCTCAACCATCAAAACGTTCCGAATCATTCTATTTATCTTCTCCATCTTCTTCTTCGACCATTTTGAGGATCATTTAAAATGACACGAGGAAAAAGAGCGATTTTTTAGTGGCAAATGTGAAACATGACTCATACGAATGTGTCTAGGTATATCCGGTTTTCTCGATAAATCGAAATTAATGAAACAAAGTCGTTTAGTTTTTATTCGAAGAGAAAATATCGTTGAAATGCTCCGAACTTTTCACGAACCGGTTCATATCACGATTATAAATTATCTGTTATTCTTGCTTCGATAAAATACGTTAGAAACACTCTTAGGAATAGTATTTATTTTTATTTATTGATCATAAAATATTTTTTTCTAAATCATTCGCTTGTGAAACGTCATGATACTCGCTTGTTCTCTGTTATTTTATGCCTTTTCTTTTCTTTTTTTTTATATTCATGGCTTTTTAAAAATTCCAACGTAATGGGTACTGGGAGAAAGAGTTCAAATGATTAATATGTAAATAAATGCCAATATTTTAAGGTCGTAAAGCGCTTTCTGCGTAGTTTCTTGCAGTAATATAAGATCAACAAAAAGGTGGAGGCGCCCTTGAATTTCACGCTTGTCATTTTAATGCACATTTCTCAGGACCTAAGTCGGGTTTTTTACGACCATACGAATTACTTAAATTCATTACTTATGGTAAATGTGTGTTTATTAGTCATTAGACATTATCAAATCGTGGAATATATTACGCTAAAGATAAACAGAAAAATTCATTCAGAACTGAAATGAATAGGGTTAAAATACTTTGCATTGGTGACGTCACGTCACGTACTTGTTTGATATTTTTCATAGATCAATTGTCTTATAAATATATTTACAAATGAGATTGTGAAGAAGAGGGACAGCGATTCAATGATGCCATTAATCTGGATTGGAGAGAAAACAATATCATCATATATCACAAAAAAGAATGTAACAGCAGGAGAATTATTGTTTTTTTCTATTGTTTAAGTATTTATTAATGATTAAAAATAGATTCATAAAAAAAAGTGAAATCAATGATGATATCTTCTATTCAATAATGCAAGCACATACACAATTATAATAATTCATAATCAAACTAAGTTTCTGTAGTAAGAAATATTGTTCAATTCTAATATAGCAAAATACACGATAATTTATTATTTTTACAAAATTATGTGTCCCACCTTTTATTTCTTCACTCTGCCATCCGCATTTAAAAAACAATTTAATAATAAGGAATAATACTTTCTTTATGAAATCAAGAAGTATGTTCATTTTCGAACATATTTCTGAGTGTATTGAAACAATGCCATTGTATTACGTGACGTGTCGAACCATCGCTTTTATTTAATTTACATAAATCTTTATAATTCTGATTTAAATTGCCGAAAATCTATGCTTGCCCTTTTTACACGTATGCAAAAATTCACTATCCTTTTGGAAATTATATTGCTTGTGTAGTAGTATTGTAGTGGGTGACTGGATTGTTGCTTGAAATTATTGCTTTATAATAATTTTTATCTTTTTTTTTTTTAAACACGAATAGAAAATTACACATTTGATACTACTAATTAATTCTACTAATGAAGCTTCTTCGAATGTAAAATTTTACAATTAATTTAACAGCTAAAATCGATTCGTGGCAAGAAGCAAGCTTAATGAATTTGCAACTAGCAAATTCATCTAAAACACAAACAAACGTAGCAAATAGGAAAATTTTACATACTAAAAGTATCAAAGATTCATGACCAGTTATCGGCTTCATCAATTAACTTTCTACGTGATTCCGAAACTGAGTATAACAAAGATGTGACTGTATTGAAATTTTTTTTCCAACTTTCACGAAGCAGCCCGATGACCCAAAAGAGAATCAGGTCAGTGACCCGGAGTATAACACTCTCTACCAAGACACGATTGTCTGATTACGACCCTGACCCACACCTAGTCGCGACTTCCTCCTCGCCATGTTTGTGCTACTTATTCGTTTTTTTTCTCGAATGGAGAAAAAGATTATTTGTATCGTATGCGTGTAAGTTTATCGTGAGAGAAATACTTACATCAATAATATTTGGTTTTATCGGATATATCTCGAAAATTAATATTATTAGCTATGTAATTTATCGTAATTAATGTTAACGAGAAATATAAAAAGAGAATAAGGAGCTAAAGATTAATGCGGTTAATCGTTAGTAATCAAATGGACGTTTTGATGGATCTTTACAAATTACGTACCTACATTTCACATCGTTGAGGTGTTGCATGATCTCGCGAAATTGAGGGGTAAAAAGAAGGTCACTGATGAATAACTACGTCAATGTTAGTGTAATACGTAAGAACGTTTGAATTTAAGACGGCCTTGAATAAATGGGGCTTCGTTGAATTTTTCTTTAATCTTGATCTCTTCGTTATGACGAGGTCGAAGAAAGTGACTTTATGTAGGTGCAACGACCGGGGAGAGTTTTTAAGCGGGCACAAGAAAGACGAACGAGTATACACTGTCGCGAGTAGATAGGTCGATAGGTGAGATGAAAGAAGGGAGACCAGTTTAGCCTCCCCGAAGGACTCCGATTTACCGTTATACCCATCGACGATTCAACGATGCTCACTTCGAAGTAGGTTTCGATCGTCACCGTCACTTCCTTCCAAGGTAGCTAGAAGAGAATGTGCTGACGGTTTCCCTTCATTAAAAAGCAAGCCTGGTAGAAGCGCGTTCTCGCAATGCATTCGGCGGATATGCCTCTTTTCTGGTCAATGACCTCATAGAAGTACTCCGGAAAGATGACCTCATAAAAGTACAGTCAAGGCCACCCTCTCGATACTTCTAACAACATCCGCATTCCACTAAATTCTTTCACTATTCTCCATCGACTTTAACTTATATGATTTCCTTATATTTTAGTGTAAACATTTTTCATACGATTAAACATATTTTTGTTAAATACGGAACAAGATTAGACGAAACTAGTCAGATAAATCATTCAGATTATTGTTTCTTTTTATTTCAAATAAGTAAAAAAAATATTTTTCATACAAAATTTTAGATGATTTGGAGTCGGAACCCAGCAGCTATGTACCGGCCATCTATGTCGCGAAATACAATCACTTTGTGGACAACATCCTCGAAAGGATTAATAAAATTTTACGCACTAATTATGATCCAGTAACGGTCAAATTAACTAACACGAACTCGAACTCGAAGTCGAATAAAAAGAAAAACAAATCCAAGAGTAAGAAGAATAAAAATGGTTCGAAAAAGAGTGCTTCTGGATCAGTCATGCATATCTCCGAAAATATAAATAACGAAGAGTCAAATGACGTACAGGTATCGTCTTTAATAGAAACTTTCAGTTCTATTTTTATTTTTTATTTCTTTGAGAACAACTATATGTTTATATAAAATTGATAAAATTTATCTTCTACTTAGAAAATGACAGATTCTCACAAAAACTCATCTATAGCTACAACTTTAATGGATGTAGAACAACCAACAACTACGTCAACTCTAGAATCATATAACACTGCCATTATACAAAATCGGATGAGAAATGGTAAAAGAAAATCATCTAATTCGCAAAATAAAAAATCTAATCGTAATAAAACGAAAAATCGTAACAAAACAAAAAATACTACTAACAGTAGTAACAAAAGTAAAGTAAGTATTTTTAAAAATTTGTTCAACCTACTTGTTCGCCAATAAGGATCATAATAATATAAAAATGGCGTCATTATTTAGGCTAAAGCAAGAGCAATTTTATACGGGCTCGCCTCGCTTCAAAGATCAGGAGATGTTTCTGTAAATATGATGAGCGATCATACAACAATCAAAACAAAATTCACTTTGGGACCTTTAGTACTTAAAGTCGAAAAAGAGTTTGGTAGAGCTGCAAAGAAAGAACTTAGAAGTGCAACTGCTACCACAGCAGGAATGTCTGGTAAATTAAGTCTTCGTGTGATGCACGGAGGTGCTGCCACGTTGCATTCTATTCGTGTTTTACAACCCAAACAGGTTAATATTTAAATTAATTTATTAATGATATATAAAAACAAAACAATGTGTAATTAATCTCAATAATTTTATTCGCAATTAGGTTCGCGTTGAAAGTGCGGACGATCATGATAGAACAAGAGAATTCGTTTGGAAAAGATCGTCTCATATTGCTCATTTAGTATCTCAAAAACTTTTAACAGCTACAAGATCGATGTTACGACCTCCACCTGTTCCAGCACTTGCTGCTTAAATTGTTTTTGTACCTGATCCAAATGAAATCATTATAAGTGCCATAACAATGGATTCAATTCATCAGTTTGCGTTACTCCATTTTGTGGTACACGCTCTTTGTTTTTGAATCACGAATTAATCGATTCAAATCAATGAAGAATTATCTGCTTATTCTTTCTACACCCTTATGTAACAGAAAAGAAAACCAAGTATATTTTCAAAGAAGTTATTATTTCTTTGAAAAAAAATGACAAAAAGAAAGTATAAGTAATATGATTTCATTTTGGATCAACATTTATTTTCTAACGTCTATATGTACCTATTTATTTATTTTATTTATTTTAAATAGTACCAATTTAAGATTGCAATTATTTTTAATATTACAAAAACTTCCGGTTTTAGAATGGATGTTTAGGCGAAAAAATAAAAAATAGTAAACTAAAATAAAACTTAATTAATAAATTAAATTATGCATTAAAACATATTAAATATTAAGTATGAACTTCTCAATTTCTCTTCTATTTACGTATTTTAGTCTTATGATTTCTGGCAGTTTTCTGGGTGTGAACAAGTTTCACATTTCTTACGTACTTCGACGTTTTTAAAGCATAACAAATCAATCGGTGATGGTTTATGTTCTTTGTCTCCCATCCAGTATTTTTTAATTGATGCAGGATCCTCACCTAAATCATATTGTAAATGCATTGCCTAACGAAAAAAAAAATATGAATAGGTAAAAAATTTCATTTTTCATTAATTTATCTTTAACATAAAAATGTTTATATTTACATCAAATAATTGAAGCCAAGCTATATGAGAACAATGAACAACAAATGAGTAAACAGCTTTTTCAAGGTATACGTCGTAAATTATTTCCATTGCCGAAGAAATGATTTCGTTTAAAATAGAATTTACAATGAAAGTATGATTTTCTTCTTCAAATATTTCCCGCCATTTAACTTCGGGTATTTGGAGATGAACAATTGCTTGAAGCTCATTATAAGAAATTTCATTAGCTTTATTTAATCCTCGCAAATTTTTATTTAATCTCTCTTTCGTCATTATTTGCTCATTTATTTTAAATTAATAAATGTTTTGTTAATCAACATAAAATTATAGACTTCCATGATCATGAAATAACATAGGTGTAACATTCGATTTCATAATTCGTACTTCACGTGCAGTTAATTGGACGCGCATTATTTCAAATTACAAAGAATGTTGTCCTTCTATTGATTGTACGTTATCAATGAATAAGTGTAGTAATGAATAAAATAAAATAAAATAAAATTATAGTTTTCACTGGAGTCATATTAATATATATCTTAATAGAAAGATAAGATTGTAGGATTTATCCTACGTTCAGAAAGGGAAATGAACTTAGGTATACGTATATTGGTGGAGACATAGTAACTTTTTATTGCGTCTGCTCAGATCGACTTCCGTTGTTCTATTAATTGGTGCCCAGCTAGCCAAAAGTGGTTAGGGTAAATTCCCTAGCACATCTTGTTGCTAAAACGGTTGGCAGCGACGACCGCTGCGCTATCTGTCGGAGTGAGTAGGGAGTTACGCTTTGGTCCCTAGAAGATGTTATTCATGGAAACATTGCCAAAAGAGATCAATGATTATGTTATTTATTTATGTATTTATTTCAAAAATATTTATACTAATTAAAATTTTATGTTAAAAAATTGCTCAATAACAGCATTTGTTTCATGCTTCGATGTATACGATTTGAAACTTCAAGTTAGTAATTTGTGTTTCATTGTATATCGAACTTTATTTCTTATTAACGAATGGTGCTGGACAAGGATTTTACGCCGCAGCAGTGTTTTGTTCGAAGAAATGGAATTGTCAGATGATGGGAGAGATATTAAAAACTTTGAAGACGCACGAATTAATGTAAACGAAGATTGTCGTATCTGTTTACAAAAGTCCAACGAAGTATGTCAACTGTTTCCAAACAGCAAAGGTTTTTCTCAAAAACTAATGGCAATTGCTGGTGTGCAGGTTAGAATCGTTGCATCGTTAATTTAAATATGTTGATTTATTCTAAAATTATCTTCATTTATTTTTACTTTTATATATCTCTTGCAAATTTCAAAAAGAGGATAAAATTTAAACTTGTATATGAAATCATTAGACACTTGAATTAAAAACGCTTATATATAGATAAAGTATTTTAATTCTATCTTTTCTTTATTTGATGTGTATATATATGTGTGTGCGTCCTTTCGTAAAGGAGAGGCTTGTGTGTATTCAATAAAAATTGTATTATTTTATTTACATTTTTACGGTTATTAAATTCATAAGAGATGGATTAGTTTTTTATTAAGAATAATGGAACCTTAAAATATGTATACCAGAATAATGAATTCTTTACGTCTTACGTATTTATTGTTTTACATTGTAAAACATTCATTCCTTTTTAAATATATTTTACATGTGTATAATACATATATAGAAGATTAAAGCAACTTTGGCAGGTAAAAGACAACTTACATTAGTTATATATATATTGAATCGAGAAAAAGTTTTTTCTTATTTGACACACAAATGAAACAAGTCTTTTTTCATATTTTCAATAAAGTCTTTTTCAAATAATTTAAAACTATTTTGTGATCGATATTTAGTTCATGACTGTTCATATCTTGGTCTTGTTCAAATTTTTCCATTATTTCATCGACTTTTTCTATGATTTGTCGATCAAAGTAAGGTGCATCTTTGACATCTAAATTTCCAGATTTACAACGCTTAAACTAGTTTTATGCCACATATACAGATACTGCATCATGTTCTTAAATATTACACATTTTGTTAACAGTTTATTACTATTTGGAAAATACGAAAAAACTTTTTCTTTAATCTAATACATATAGAATCATAGTTCATTTGTAAAATATAATTATTTTATTTATTATAGGTAGAAGAAGGAGATGGATTGCCATCGGTAATATGTTTCGATTGTTCTCAACTTCTTGACATATCCTACAATTTTCAAAGTCAAATACAAAAGACAGATACAAAATTACGTGAAATATTGAAACTTGGATCATGTACAACAAAAGATACTAAAAATGAATTAAAAGTTGAAGATCATTTTTCTGATATCATAGCAGATGCGATATTACAAAGAAAAATTACAAATAATCTTGACAATGATAATAAAGATGGTGAGGATGATCATAGTGGTAATAATGAGTGCAGTAGTAATATCCATGAGTCATCTATAGAAATTGATGTAAAAAATTTTACTAATAATGAACATGACTTCTCTTCCGAAATAATTAATGATAATATAGATTCCAATGACAAGTGCAATTCTGTAATTGAACTAGAAAATAAACAAGAACTATACAAAGTTGTAGAAGATATAAAATTACCTAAAAATTGTGAAAACATTACAGATAAGTTAAATAGTGTAACATGTCATACATCTAATTTAATAACAGAAATAACATGTATTAAAGAAGAAATATCTTGTGAAGAAACTGTATCAGAAAGTAATAAATCCATCGACCAAAGTACTGTAAGACAAGAACAAATATTCCAACTTGAAAGAAAAAATGAATTAGAAAAGTTAAACTATAATACGCTTATGAAAAGTTCATCCAAAATTATTAATATTCAAGAAGAAAGAAAATCTACCTATAATTGTAGTGATGATGAGGAAAAACCTTTAATAAGCAGAACTACAAGACAAAAATGTACGCAATGCGTTAAATCTTTTAGTACACGTTTAGCTTTACAAAGACACATGACAGTACATAAACATAAAGCAGAATTACGTTATGTTTGTTATATATGTGATAAACAATTTTCAAGTATTACTAAATTAAAATGTCACATTAATAGTAGACATCATGATGTACGTTTTAATAATAAGAAAAAAGAGAGAGAAAATAGTGACAATAAGGATGTACATTTAAAAGCAAGGGATCTTGATAATAATTGTAATAATTCTATGGATAATACTAAAACGGAAAAAAAAAATTATAAATTTATATGTAAAGTTTGTTCCAAACAATTTACATATCAAAAATCTTTTTTGACACACGCTAAAAGTCATCCAGAATACAATCCTGAAGATTTAAATGATTTTTCTAGTGAAACTGGTACCCAGTTGAATGAAATCAAAAATAAATCTGTACAAAAACAAAATGAATCAGACGATGGAAATAATGACGATATTGATGACATTGATAACGATGATGACAATGATAATGATAATTTACCTATGGAAAGTCCTCAGTGTACACAATGTGGAAAATTATTTGCAACTAAAAGAAATCTTAAAAGGCATATTTCTACTCACAGTGGTTTAAAACACAATTGCTCGACTTGTGGAAAAGTCTTTTCAAGAATAGATAAATTAAAAGACCACGAACAATCAAAGCATAAGGAATATGAATTATTTGGAAACTCTGAAGAAGAGAATGAAGCTGACACAGATAATGAAAATAAAGTTAATGATGGTTCTAATGAACGAAAAAAGGTAATATCAAAAGTAAACGATTCCTGTGAAAGTTAATTACAATATTTCTATGCTTAATAATAAGAAATGTAAACAGATTTCTTTACATAATTATCTCATTGAAATTAATTTGATACCTAATTGTTTACAGGGTAGGCATAATAGACCACATAAATGCGCTCTCTGTCCAAAAGCATTTGCTCAACAGCAATCTTTAGCTAATCATATAGAAAGACATAAACGTACTAAAGATAGTCAAAAGCGATTTTTATGCGAAGTTTGTAGCAAATGTTTTGCACAAAGTGGTTCACTGGTTGCACATATGCGTACTCATACTGGCATTAAACCATATGTATGTAATGTCTGCGGTAGAGCTTTCACTAAAAGCACATATCTACAATTACATTCAAGAACTCATAGTGGAGAAAAGCCTTATATTTGTCAATATTGTAGTAAAGCATTTGCACGTGCCAATACTTTAGCCAGGCATATAACGATGCATACGGGAGAAGCTAAGTATCACTGCCAGATTTGTACTAAGTCTTTCAGACGATTAACGTCTTTAAATGAACACACATACACGCATACGGGTCAAAGACCATATGCATGTAAAATATGTACAAAAAGATATAACAATGCTGGTTCTTTGTATGCGCATACAAAGAAATGTAAAGCTCAGCAATTGACTAATAACTCTACAACAACTTATACTGTTGCAATGGATAATACATTACAACAAAGTAGTGGGCCCACATCACAGGTTTTAATTTATTCCCAAAGAAAATTATTAGAGGATGCTACTGTTGGTCAAATAACACCAACTCCGCAATACATGATTGCTAATGTACATAATCAAAAAGCCTTATCTACAAATATTATGCAACCATTTACGGTTGAGGATTCAAATGTATGTACAGTCAATTCTAAACAGTTTAAAAATCCCTATTATTCTATATATCCAAATGTATAAGATACTTTACTAAAGTATACTTAGTAAAAATTGTATAATTATATATTAATCTAACGAATCATCTATTTTTAAGATGTGAATAAAAATTAAAGTCTGATTGTAGAACATTAGAATGCAGCAGTATTTGACAAAAGAAACGAAGACTTATTAAAGTGTTAAGAAATTAATTTTATCGACTAGATCAAATAAAATCAACTTTCGTAAACATCTTTGAATAAGATTCAAGTTTTAAAATATTAATAGAAATTCAGGTTTACGTACTCAGTCATAATAAAATAAAATAAATCTTTTTAACATTTTCAAAATATGCTGTATTGAATTTTGAAGAACTTCAGCTTGCGTACATCACAAATTTTAAATCATCCGCGTTTACACATCCTTATTTTAAATTACACATCATAAAGTAATTACATAGTTCATTTTTCAACAAAATTCTTTTTATTATTACATATGGTTTTTCTATATTTTGTTTTTCTTTCTATGAATATATAAATACATACATGAATACGCACAAGGATGTGCATAAATACAAATAGATAATTTTTAATTTAAAACTTATTAAAAAATTTTTAATTAGGATTTAAAAAAAGCTTATTATTTAAATAAATTATTTATTTAGATGTATATATTTGTTTGATTTACTATTCATGAATAAAAGATGTTTATTGGAGATTAGAAAATATTAGAATTTCTTCGAATGTGAGGAATGTTTTATTTTTTAGCATTTTTAAAATGCCCAATAATATTAGTTACTATTTATTTTCATAGAATTCATGAGATGTAGCCTTAAAATAGAACGAATACGACAAAATTGTAGTAGCTTCAGGAAATATTTTTGAACGCCATCTTGCCTCTTAACTGCTAAATAGTTATTCAGTGAATGCGCTTGTCATAAGTGGATTGTGTTATTTTCTTCTCTATTTGAGTTGTAATTCTGTCATTGCGTTAAATTTTAAGTAATCAAAAAAGGTGAGGGAATGCGAACACTGCAATAAAAAAAAAAAAAATAGTTCATTTTGCAAGTTAATAAGAAAATTTTTTGCTTGCTCACGCACGAATGAGAAAGGCTGTGGCATATCATGGAACGTAAAGTTCGTTCTTTGGTGCAGCCTATTCTAATTTTTTCTAAATCTTTCATTTAACAATAATGATGGACTATAAGTCCTCGTAAAGAAGTTAATCATTTTCTTTATGAGGAATCATTTTTTTTTTTGGTTATATATTAGATATCAGTATTCGTTTGAAATGTAATTTTGTTATTCGGAAAATATTAAACATTAGGGAAATAAATCTGGCATCTCATAAATCATCTAGTAAATTCGAATAGAGACAAGAAATAAATCGTGTTTCGGTCTACGATTATGCACAAATAATAGTGTGTAGCAGACTATTGTGCGCGAACGATGACGTTTTTTCTTGAAGAAATACGCATAGAGGATTGTTTCCTGTTTGTATGACGTTTGCTGCTTTCATAAGTCTATTGGATCAACACTAATTACGGTAGCAGCAGCCGAACGAAGTATCGAAACACGCGAGTGACACTTTATAGTGACAGGTTGTAAAGAGAAGAACCTTTCTTTTTTTATTTGATACTAAGTACGTTCTACATTAATATTTCAGGTATAGCATGATAACCTTCAAATGTAGGTAAACGTAAAAATTGCTTTAACGAAAAATATATAAATATATATATATATTTATTTAATTCTATTACGAATACTACAATCTTTTTTGGCTATTATTTATTAATTTTGAGTATTTTATTATATCATTCATTCGTTTCTCTCAATTCATGACGCATTCTATCATCATTTCACATTATTTATTTCTTTTTATTCACTCTATAAAACGACAATCAATACTTACATGGTCAATATTTATAATACTGTTAGTTTAATCGTGAAACCTTGTATTAAATCTCAACTGCATTAGTCCAATGTAATTTTATATTCTTTTCCAAGAAATTTCATTTTCTCATCATTTCAAAAGATTTAAATTTAACAAATATATACGTATATTTAATTAGTAAAATACTTTTATTAAAGCTTATATTAAAAAAGAATATCTATTTAATAAACACTTAAAAATAGTTTTGAGGTTCAGTTTGTATACTTACTTGGTAATCAAAGTATTTCTTAATTGACTTTGTTGTAACCAAATAAATTTATATTATGTTCTATATTAAGTGTTAATAAAATTATATTTTAGACATTTTTTATAATATAATTTTTTGTTGCATGCATTAAAGAAAACATAATTTTTCAATGACCTTTTATTATATATATATATACATATACATATATATGATGATAATATTCATTCATGAGGTAGTTTAAAAGATAAGATAAGATGGAAACAACTGTAACACATAAGTGATGAAAAATTTGTCTTATTTCAGAAAGGAAGCAGTTTTATAACGGAACAGTCTAATTTAATTATCCTATCAATGTAAGTAAATTCTTAATTACTAAAATAGTAGTTTGAATGTAAGTTAGTTTATTCGTAATAAAAACAGGGGCTGGTGATATACTGATTTCTTTTCTATCTCTACTAAATATACAATCTATCAAGGAATTAAGTAAGTTTTCATGCTCTTAACATAAGTTTAAAAGCTTTCGTATTGGTAAACAGTTAACAAAATTAAATGTTATTACGCGTATGATCGAAATTTGAATATTTTTACAAAATTTCTATATACTTATATATATTTATCATTTGTAATATATTTATTAATTAGTCTGTTTAAATATATAATTTTGCCTAAAATTCTAATAGACAGCGTGAATAACATAATATAACTTATACGATTGCTATAACATTAATAAAATTATATCGGTGACAATTGTAACAATATATAATTTTGGTTATATGTTTAAAAAAAAAAAAAAAATACTACATTTGCATAATCGCTTCAAATGTTATTCCAAATATTTAACATTTTTTGAAAACTACAATATGTATATATCTATATATACACAATTTCTTGTTATGCAAAAGAATTCTTTTGTTGATAAGTAGAGATAGCAAAAATGATCCTGTTTGATTATTTATAAATGTATTCTATTTATTTCATTTTAATGAGAACAAAATATTTAATCATTTCATCAAAGTATTGTTATAGCATGTGTCATATTTTATTATAATATATTAAGCATTTTTTGAAAATATTTTTTCTATTTATTTAATTATACTATATAGTATTTCTTTAGTATAAGTAGACAAGAATTATAGTGGAGAGATTATGAATGTAGTACAAACAGAACTATCTGACCAGTTGATACGTATTTCTATTTAATGTAGATGATATATTTTATATAAAATAAAGCCAAAGAGAGTGTACCCGTAGCTATAATTTACATTTAATATATTAATAAACATAGGATATGCCTATTTAAACATTTGCAAAATTGAATGCTAATAGGAGTAAGTAATACAAAATGCAGTTTCTTAAAAAGAAACTAAATTCTTCTTTATTTGTATATTATTTCTTTTTTCTAATGCTTTTTTTTCAGGAAATGCACGATCATAAAGTATATTTGTTCAATATATATATTTCTCATTATTATACTTATTTTTATTTATGATGTTCAGTATAATGGAGTAGGAGACATTTAATTTTATATATATATATATATATATATCTGCAATATTTATTTGCATAATAATAATTTCTTATTTCAAATCAAAGATACGGATATATTATTATTTCTTCAAGTGTTTAAATATGGAATAACATTGGATTGCTTGTGAAATACAATTTATGTATTAAATAATGTCATATTTATTTATGAAGTCATCTGATAGTTTAGGGTTTTATTCTGATTTGGAGATATTGGGAGTTTTCTATATTTCTGGACAACACGTAGTTTCATCAACACCAGCGGCGAAACTTGACATGCCAACAATGGCTATGCAAAAGGTAAATTTTTGAAACAGTTTTAACCATTGATTTAACAAGTGTTCGCACTTTAACAATCAGTGCAATATGAATTTAAATAATTAGTAAAAATATATCTGAAATAATGTTAACTTATTTTAAGTACTCATATGAATAATAAACAATGATATTAGTTAAAAGTATTTTACAAGGTATTGTGATCTGTTTTCTAATGTCCAGTATATATAATTATAATGTTATATGATAAATAATAAAAGTAGATAATTAATATATAAATTATGCAAGTTATTATTGCTATTACTATTAAATATTATTTCTATGTAAAAGGATTATAACAACAATACTGATTTGGTTACTAATTGTTAAGTTTTTCGAATGAAACTTGTCTAATAAGGCATTATTTAAAAAATATTGTATGACAATTCCTATATTTATCGACACATATTAAATATAAATAAACAAACATGTATCAGGTATTTGTTAGGTTTCTGTATTATTTCGTATCTGATATAGATAGAGAGTGTTTTGTTAAATTAAAGCTTATTATATTAAAAAAATCTCCTAAAATTTATTTAATTTGCCTATCTTACTCCTAACTGAACTAAATTTTTATAGAAATATGTTGAACAAATGTAACTTCAATTGTATTATATTATGTAGGTGGTAGTGCTTTATATAACCTTAATTTTGTAAGGTATAAATACTTTAATTAATTTTAAGCTTAATTTTTCTTCACTTATCAGCATGGCTTTTGTATATAACAAATGACCATATTTATTATCAATAGTTTTATATCTTTTTAAAAATTGTAATTCGTCTAACTCATATATATATATACATATATAATAATATTTTTATATTTCATAGATTATATTTTTATTTTATTTATATATCAAATTGTTTTTTAATTCTATTATTAAATTTGTATCTAGATTTACAGAGATATAACTACCACTTATTTACAAATTCATGAAGATGTAATAATAAGTATGAGCTATTCGAAAAAATCATAAAATTTTATTATTAATTGATAAGCAATAATACTAATTTTTAGATGAGAAGACAAGGCCAGGATGTTATGCAAATGAACTTAGCAGGTATTAGACGAGATATTGTAAACCTTGCTCATAATTATAGCAGTGCACAGGTAATTTGTTGCCTTTATCTTTTTTTTTTTTCTTCTAAATATTGAATAGTTAATGTTATATCGTGTTAACAGATTATCTGATACTAATATGAATCGTGTTAATTACTTTACAGAAAGCCGTAAGAAAAGCTACCAGTAATGATCCTTGGGGTCCAAGTAGTACTCTTATGGCAGAAATAGCTGATTTGACATATAATGTTGTGGCCTTTACTGAAATTATGCAAATGTTATGGAAAAGACTTAATGATCATGGTAAAAATTGGAGACATGTTTACAAAGCTTTGGTACTTTTAGAGTACCTTATCAAAACTGGTACAGAAAAAGTTGCACAACAATGTAAGGAAAATATTTTTGCCATTCAAACATTGAAAGGTAATCATACAAAAAACAATTATTATATAGATATTTAGTTCGGTTTTATTAGTTTTATTTTTATATTTGAATTATTAATAATTTTATATATTTTCTTAAAAGATTTCCAACATATGGAAGGACATAAAGATCAAGGTATTAATGTACGAGAGAAAGCGAAACAATTGGTGGCCTTATTAAAAGATGATGAAAGATTAAAAAATGAAAGAGCTAGAGCATTGAAGGCCAAAGAGAGATTTGCTCAAACAGTTAGTGGTTTTGGAAGTGATGGTTTAGATACAATGTCACCTGTAAGCAGCGATGTAAGTTTTACTTATTATTAAATTATTATAATATTATAATAATAAATAAATGAACAAACAAACAAATAAATACATAATAATACATTGTTTCAGTTTCAAGATTGGGAGCCTTGCAATTTGACCGAATCAGCATCACGACGTAAGAGGAAATTTGTATTTGTCATGAATTATATTTTGAAATCAGTTTTGTTGAATTTCAAGTAAATTTTATTAAAGAAATTTTCAAAGAATCGTTTAAATTTCATAAAAGATAAATTTGTTATATTCTATACATATCTAACAATATTTGGATATCTTTGAAATAGCTGAATTAGAAGCAGCTAGACCGCAAACAGTAGGCGAAGAAGAACTACAACTGCAACTAGCACTTGCTATGTCAAGAGAAGAAGCAGAACAAGAGGAACAACGACGGCGAAGTGATGACGTTCGACTACAATTAGCACTTAGTCAAAGCCAGCAGGACTTCAAGTATGTATAAATAATCTATTAAATGTTTATGATGTATGTGAAAAAGAAAATATTTTATAAAATAACATTCGTCATTTTCAGAGCACCACAAACTGAAAAGCAAAGTCATATGCTTGATTTACTGGATGTAAATCTAGGCGAAGCAAGCAGCTCTTCTGCGCAGAATGATCCTTGGAGTATTCCAGTTACAGCTCCACCTCCAAGACCTCAGGTATTTCATTCTATTATACATACAGTAATACTATAAAGCACTATACATTTATTTAAAAGGAAAAGTGATATTTATTAAAGATAAGTTTGTTCCCAAATAAGTTTGTTCTTTTAAGTTAAATTATATTGTTTGATTGTGGTAAAGAACCAAATAATTGCTTCCTATTTCATACAAATTTTATGTATATATAGTTTACTTATTATTTAAATACATTAACCTGAGTTCTTGTTATATATGTATATATCTTTATTGCATGGTAATGCAAATCACGTAATTTTTGCATGTTGCACATCAGTCCTTGGATTTGTCTCAATTTCGTAAATGTAAGGTACGTTTGACGAAAATAAATAGACTGATGTAATAGATCTTAATACATACAAAAAAAAAAAAATAAATAAAAAGAAAATAAAAGAATAGAAAAGAAAGATTATTATTTGTTTTTATTTGATTTTATAGACTCAAAATGATCCTTGGAGTATACCAACAACAAGCAATAATTCACCTGCGATAGATCCATGGGCTCCTGTCACATCTCAAAAGCAGGGTAAGTTTTTGATAATATATTGATTTTTATTTTATATTTATACCATTGATTAGTTATTATGATTATTCATTTTAGCTGTTATTAATGATCCATGGAAAGCACCTACTCCATCTCCATCAGCAATAGTTACTCCTCGTTCGGCAGATCCTTGGTCGCCAGCACCAACTGCTAATGAACTTGAGGCATCCAAAATTGAAGTAATATTTTATTATTTTTTGATTGTCATAAAAAACAGTACTATTTTATTAAATAACAATAAAATGATATTTAGGTTCGCCAGGATAAAATAATATCTTCATCTCCAACCTTCAATAATCCAACTTTAACAGAAAATATTAGTTTTACGGCGCAATCACCACAAAACATCGGTTTTAATTTACCAAATCCTACAAATGTTGCCTTTGGTACTATGAGCAACGGCTTTAAGGATCCTGGCTCTACTTTTAGCAATTTTCCTTCTCAAACTCATGGCAGTTCGGCTACAAGTCCATTGAGCGAGCTTGATGAATTTGATGTGATCAGTCAGAGGAACAAACTTGGAAGTGGTTCACAAACTACAAACAATGGTAATTATATAATTATATTATTGACATTATAAATAGTTTTTACATTTTCGTAATGTATGAATTATATTTTAGGGACTACATTATCTTCAGATCCATTTGATTTAGGTGGTATTGGTGAATCTTTACCTCAGAGCACTGGTGCAATTAAGAAAACACCACAATCTTTTCTTGGTGAAAATTCTGCTCTTGTAAACTTGGATAATCTTGTCAGCACTTCTACAATTAAAACAGTTACTCCAACACCAACAGGTAATAACATATTTGAACAATGTGTATTCATAAACGTGTTCCTTTAAAATTATTCCTATTATTGCTTTTATTATAATGCATACGCAAATATGTTTTCAGGTAATTGAAATCATGAAAAATTAATATTTTACTTCATAACACATTCTATGTCTGCAAAATAGCATTTCATTGGAACTAAATTCGTGAGTATTAACAAACTGACGAATGATCGCACGAGTGCATGATTCAAGTTTGTTATCATGTTAATATGAGTTTACTATGTTTGCATTTTTATATATAATTTATATAATTAATTTTGTAGATGACAATTTTCGCGATTTTCAATTTCCTTGGGTTTATAAGAATTTAATTAATTTTATAATCAAACGATAATCGATGTTTTTTTTTTTTTTGCATGCATTTTTTATAACAGCAATGTTTTATTTATAATATAAAACTAATTTATATATTAGCAGACTTGAAAGTGTTATAAATATTAATTGATATTATAAAGCACATTGTGATAATATTTAAAATTATTAACGCTTTAAATTTTATATTTATCAATCTTAATTTTGTAGTAAATGTTTAGTATCATAGGAATCTATCATATCTTATCTGTATTAATATTTTATATTTTCATTTAATATGATCTAATTACAGTGCCCGTATCATATTCAGCGAATCCATTTGCGACAACAACAGCACCATCTCATGCTCCAACTAACCAGATTCGACAGGACCCTTGGGCTGTAAATACTAATGCTAAAGCTAATCCATTTTTATCGTAGCCTGATGAAAATTATTGAAAAGTTAGCTGAAACCGCTATTACTGCAGCGAATATAATAGTATTTGAGATTTTATTAGTAACCCTGTACGGTATAAGTTTCAAATTAGAGTAAATTATGATTTGAGTTGCAGATGCAGAATATAGAAGGAGCGAATAATAAAAACAATTTTATTCTTAATGACTAAAGCTATTATCAAAATGTTTTAAGTAAAAGAACAAATTATTGAAAAATTTGTATTATTACTGTTTATATTTATTTATAATGCTTTTCATAGCATCATCTCGTGTAATTAATTAACTTAGTTATAAATGATTTTATTATGGCTATATCATTTGATATATACTATTTCAGAAAATATTTTGGAGTGGTAGGAAAAACAAAATATAACATTTTAACTTGAAACGCTTATAAGCTCCCAAGGTAACAACTAGATTTTATACATACTCTTTTCATATATAGAATATTTTTTAAGTATGAATCCATTCTCAGACAAAAATTACTCACCGATATATTCTTTCGGTAAAGATGTAAAATAATAATGATATCGAGATCATTTCATTTATTTTGTATTTATATACGTGTTTTCTATAGTAAATGAGATCGTGAGACTGTAATCGTAATTTGCAAAAATAGATTATATCGAACAGGGTTCAGTTTAAGCCAGTCTTGAATGTTATATGGATTATAATCTACGAAATTCATATTTTGGCTTGCTTTTTAGCAATAAGAAAAATTAAGAATACAAATAGTGCCTGTGTTAAAAAGATTTGTGCGCATTTGTTGTTAAATATGATCACATCCGTGTGCTATAATAATTTTGTACAATGTCTAATAATTTACGCAGTACTTTTCACAAATAATCAAATTATCATCATGTTCTGTAATCGTGGCAATATAAATCAGTTTTTATATTTTTCAACTTTATACACTTTAATTATTGACTAAATATACAAATAAAATATACTGTTTATGATTTTAGTATGATGATAATGGCATACATCTGTTTTGTGCAAAGTAGTTTTACAAAAACTAAAATTAATAATTACTGCTATTGAAAGTAAAACGTTTCAGCAACCAGTTGCAGATGATTATTAAATTGTCAGGCAATTTCATAACTGCAAGAATTTGCAAATTTGTTAAGATGAGGATATATATATATATATATATTTATTCATTTATTTGTCTTACGATGTGATGTAATTTGCGTTTTCTTGTGTATTAAAATATTTACTGTTGTACCTTAATTCATGTAAAACAAATTATAAATATGTTATGCTACACCGTTCCACGATCAAATTATTTTCTTAAAAGCTCTGTATAAGTATTATCATTAATATTAATGTGGAAGTTTTTTTAAATACTTAATCTCATATGTTTTTGCAGAAGAATTTGCTGAGTTGCATTAAAAATAGATTATTTATTTTTCTTATAATAATTTAGTTGCGTCACAATAGTATATGGTGAATTCAATATTGTTATTTAATTTAAATAAGAGATAAAATGTGAAAGTGTTTTTATTAATATCTGTATATAGTCATAGATTGTTTTTCTCTTTTATGGTATTAATCGAATATTAATTCAATATACTTTTAAAAATGGCATTCCTCCTTTGTGTGAACTTAGCATTTCTTTTTCAAAAACTACGATAAGACATTTCCGGACTTTTACACAAAGATAAATATTTTTATTGAAACTGTATATTACAAATTGGCAAAGTATACTAATTAAACAATTATATTATAAGTGACTTATTTTAAATAAGTCAGAAATACTTGCATGTTGCACCGACTTCTGACTGTTAATTCAATACTATTGTGCTATTCAATATTAAGTAAATCAATTTTTAATAGTCTCGTGCAGTTTTAAACAAATTTGCTTGTACCATAGAATTTGTATATTTAATATCTATTTTTTCAGAAGTTCGCTAGAAGATGAAGTATTTGGAAAATGCTTTAAAAATTATTTGTTGGAATAACAAATAAAGAATACGATTTTTTGTATACAATATTAAAAATATTTTGTATTGAATAGGCTTGCTTTGATTATTACATTTATATGTCTATTATATGTATTAATAAATTAATTTATATCTCTTCATATTTATGATGAAGTTCATAAAACGTGATATGTGAAAAGTATTTGTGTCATTCTTGCTATATCAAACAATTCGAATACAACTTCATTTTTTATGCGAACACTGGATTATTTTTTCATTTTAGAGCTATTGTAAGTTCAAATAACTTCAAAGAAAACTTATTAAAAAAAAAATATATATATATTATATATTTTTTAGTAGATTATTATATTATTAATATTATAAAATGAATATGTGTAAAAAATTTTTAAGTTTTCTCAATAAATATATAATTTCAACTTTTTTTTTTCTTATTTTCTTTGCAAAAAAATTTTTATTCAATGTTTAACAAGAACTTCATTTCTACAAGTCAATTTAATTTAACAATAATATGTTATACAATAGCATAATATTGTTTGTATAATATTAATATTGTATAATAAGTTTGTATAATATTAAATAAAATAAAAATATAATGCATTTAATATCATAATATTATAAATAAATCTTATTGAATATAAATATAAGTATAAAAGGGTATTAAATTTTTAATAAAATTCAAATAAGTATTAAATTTTTTGTAAATAATTTACATGTAATAAATGAACAGATATAATTCTGTTTTATATTGCACAAATAAAATATTTTAAGTAGAAATGTCCATAGAAGAAGAATTTAATATTGGTGGTATAAAAAAAGCTTTTACTTGGCTATGTAATCGTGCTACTTCAAGATCTTCTCGTTCTAATTTTCTAATTAATTGAGCAAATTGTACAGTACCTATATACAAGAGAACATGATAAATAACGTATTTATATATTATCTATTATTAATCAATACTTTTGACAAAAAACCTTCTCGTCCTTCTGAAAATCCATAATTTTTAATAACGTCCATTTGTATTTGAACAACAATTGGAAAAACAAACTGCATCATGTTTAACATATTATCGCCAGTATTCTCTTTAATTTCGGCAATTTTTTGAGAATTTTCTGGTGCATCTAAAGCTTTTAAAATATCAGTCAATGCAGCTGCAATAAAAAATTAACAAATAATATATTAAAAAATATTTGTATTATTAAAATTAGTAATAATATTCAAATACCTTTAGCAGTTTCTGCTGTGAAATCAGGTATACTTGTCATCGTGAAAAATTATATATATATATATACAACAAATATTTTTTATCTATTCTGTACTTCCAAAATAAACATTTACAATTCACTGTATAAATAACAACAAAGAAATAAATATCTTCCGAGAAAATAGGCTACTACAAGTACAATTATTGTGAGAAATTATCTACAGTCGGTAACAATGTTCAATTTGATGATATAGAAATATTAACGACCTCTATATTCAAATTCTTACATTCATTTTAATAGTTTTTTTTCGAAATTAAAAAATCTTAAAAATATTATGCTACATTTCTTTAATTTAATTGTTCAATTCTTTGCTTGTTCTTTGTCATTCATAAACGATAAAATAAATAAATGTTTTAAAAACAAAAATGCAATATTAACAATTTAGAAAATATATTTAATCATAATTTATTGATTCGAGCATAAATATAAAATATTTACACTTCTTTTCTTATTCTTCTTATTCTTCAAAATGTTATATTTGTATTTTTAAACAAAATTTTTAAATTAAAATGTTTATTCATTTTTTTATAATTTATAAATCGATACAAAATAATATATATATATATGAGTAATATTATATTACACTGTATATATTTATAATACAAAGATCACTTACCGATAAATATTCCGCAAAGTACATGTATATGTGTGTTTGTCCTGTAATCCTTTCGTACAAACACAAATAAAACAACAATTGCACATTTATATTGAATTTGATTGAAGATAACATATATCTAAAAATCATATATATTTTTGTATTTGTACATATTTGATATTATTTATGTATACATAAAATATGTATATATATGCACATGCTATGCTAGTTAATTGTAGGACTGAACGACCTCATTTCTTTGCATACGGATTCTATCGCAAGTAGTACTCGTCGAATCAGTGACAAACTTCTCATTGAGGAGAACGAATTTTTCCACGTTTTATTCAAATTTAATTGAATTATAAAAGTAAAATATCTGAATAAAATGTATGTTCGATTTAAATATTCTTTGTTAAATTTATAATAACATAACGGTAAAGTATAAAATATTGAATCTTGCATGTGTTTTAATGATACATTTTATTGATTTTATTATTTACATTATTTAATATAATTTTATCTGAATTAATTAGAGTCTTTAAATTTATCAATGCAGGATCATTGATTCTATAATAGAATTGAGTAATATTTCTTATTTTCGATATTTTTTGTTCAAAATTCGGATAATCCTTTGGGAAAATCCTAAAGAGAAATATATATACATATATATATATATATATATATAAATTGCAAAAATCTTCGGATATTTTTCAATTCATTGAATTATCTCGTTTACATTAGAGCGCAGGTATTGCATCGCGCAAACTCCGCCCTTGCAGCATCCAGACCATCATCCAGAGATTTGCCCTCAGTGCCAAAGGTCCACACATTGCAAGTGGAACGGAGAAATACAAAAGTGTACTTCTGTGTGTTTTTAACAGGTAAAATCATACGGTTTGCCTTTAAATTGATGATGATTTCAGAAGTTTACGAAAGATAAAGGACGAGCATCGCTCTGTCCTGTTGATCTCTTTGAAGTGGACGTGAGAGACAAGAGCTACTTTCCTAATGGCAGATCACGATAATATTTACGACGACGAGGTAATTAATTATCTTAAATCAAGTACTCTAATTTAATTATTTTCTCATTGCTTTATTTCAATGATCAATCAGAATCATTCAAAACTTAAGTTACTTAACGTTCGATAAGACAAGAGATATTTGCGATTTTTTTTATATTATAGTAATGTTACTGAATTTCATATTATTTTTTATTAAAGCTTTTTTTTTTTTTTAGCATGAAACAATTTACATTTTTATAATTAATGTTACCCTTCGTAAAGAATCTAGAATTTTTGATATCTTTTCATTTAACATATATAAATAATTGCTTTTTAATAATAACAGATCGCGCTAAAAGTCAAATATTTTAGTAAAAGAATTCAATGAAGTTGATGAATGAAATCTTAATGTAAAATCTAAATGAATTCGCGTTTCATCAGAGAGAGAAGGTCACACTTCTTTTGATCTTTTAAAAAAAGTCATAAATACACGAATATAAATACACATTCGTATATCTACACGTACAGATATCTATGATGAAAAGTATAAATGAAAAAGATTTTGTTATAAAAAAAAAATGACTCGCGCGATCATTTAAACTTTTAGTATAGATACTAAACTAAAATTGATTTAATATAATATAAAATAATTTAAATTATATTTTTATATTAATATAAATTAAAAAAAAAAAAAACAAAAAAAAACAAAAAGAAACATTTGAATTTTCATTCGATTCATTTCGTTCAAATTGGAAATTTTATATTTGGAAAATAATTTTTCCCAAATTCCATATTCTCTGTGGTGACAACAAGTGCATATTTATGCGTGAGTTGACTGACGTACAATTCTGTACTGGCCCTTCTTCTTCTATCGATTAAGCTACAGCAGCTGACTAACATACATACTAAACTCAACTGAACTCTAACTTGATATTTTTCCTTATGAATATTATATTATACATTTATTATTTTCTCGAAAGATAAGAATCGCAATCACACCTGTTAGTACGTAAGCAATAAATCAATAAAGCTATAATTGTCTACCTCTTTTGTCTACTTCTATATTTAATATGAATAATTTAAGAAAATTTCCTTGCCATTATAAAATAATATTATAAAAAAATTCATCAAACAAAAGTGTAAATATATTTATCTTGGATATTTCAAATAAAATAATTATTAAAATCTTCGATTGTTACACTTGTGTAAATTTTCGTTTAACAATAGAAATATTAGTAAGAGCCTTTGTCATAGGAGCTAGTGTCGGCTAATCCAAATCAAAGGAATTGGCGTGGGATTTTAATAGCTTTGCTCGTGATCGTTGCGGTTTTAGCCCTTATTGTCACGTCAGTTGCTTTACTCACACCACCTGATGAAGGGCCCAGAGTTCGTGGTTCACGTTTACAACTCACCGAGGTTGTATATCCGTTCATTTCTATTCATGATTGTATAGAAGAATATTTATAAATTTCAAATTATTATTTTATAGCTTCTTTCGGGTGAATTGTCTCCGTTGCTCTTTAATGGATCTTGGGTGAGCAATCGTCATATATGCTATAGGGATTTTTCAGGTGGTATTTCTTTAATGGATGCATCTGATGCGAATTTAGCATCGCGTAGGTTGATGTCAAAAGAAACATTTGTAAGTTTCAATGAAAAACTAAAATATTATCATTATAAATCAAATCAAATCTATATTTATATAAATATTTCCTTTTAATCGTTAAACACTTACATTACAGAGAAGATTAAATCCTGCCAAATTCTCGCTATCACCGGACCACAATTATTTGTTACTTGCTCAAAATATGAAAAAATTATTTAGATATTCTTATTTAGCTCAATATATAGTCTATGATGTGGAAACACAGTTAGTATAAGTTATATATATATATATATTAAACGTCTTTACATTATTATAATTATATTTTGATCGATAAATTATCAAAGACTCTCTTATTACAGAGATATAATACCATTGACACCTCATCCCGAAAAGGAAAATCATCCATATCTGTTGTTAGCTAAATGGACACCTCGTGGCCATGGACTCGTTATGGTACAAGATTATGATATTTATTATAGAACGGGTCCTTTGAGTAACAGGGGTTATCGCATAACTGATACTGCAATACCTGGAATTCTATCTAATGGTCTACCAGATTGGTTATACGAAGGCAAATCTTTTTCCATTTAATCTAATCATAAATGTCAATTTTGATTATTATGAACGGAGAATTCAAATTTCAATGTTTCTATTTATAGAAGAAATTTTACATAGCGCCGAAGCAATCTGGATGTCACCCGATGGTCATATGATGCTTTATGCATCATTTAATGATTCGTTAGTTGAAGAAATGCATATTCCTTGGTTTGGAGAAGAAAACAGTTCTTTGTATCCTGATATACGATCTTTGAGATATCCTAAGGTATACTAGTCTTCTTCAAGAGTTATAGCATGTATTATTTTTTAATAGCAACGTTGAAATAATTTTTGGATTAAAATAGTTTATATCGAATTAATTAATGTTTGTTTTTTTTTTAATGATTATTATCACACATGTCATCCTTTGTGAAATATTCTTCTTACATTATACCGTTAAAATGCAAATAGAATAAAATGATAATTTACAGCCAGGAACTCCAAATCCTTTTGTGAATCTATATGTCGCTGATCTTGTTGATCTAAAGAATATTCAGACGAGAGTAGTGAAACCACCCCTTGTCATCGAACACGTGTGAGTTTACTTATCAGCGATTTAGAACAATTTTTTACAAATTTTATACAGTTTTTTTTTTTAATAATATTTATACTTAGAATCTTCTTTATTTTTTCTATAACAATATTTTCATCCATAATGAAAACTTAATATATTCATATAATGTGTTTATAAATTTTCATGGCAAACACATGGTAATGTTTCATTTCATTTATTATAGAGATCATTATTTTACTACTGCTTCCTGGGTATCAGTAACGGAAATTTGTATATCGTGGTTAACCAGAACTCAGGAACTCTCAGTCGTAACAATTTGTAAAAGTCCTAGGTGGCATTGTCAGGTTTGTAATTGTTTAAATTGTATTTAATATTAAAAGAAACTTAACATATATGTCTAAATAATACAACATTTTGATAGGAGATACAAAGAATAGAAAGTTATAAACCCGGATGGGTTGACACACCACCAGAGGCACCACTATTCTCAACTAATGGCAGCAGTTACATATCGATCAGTCCTGTATCAGATGGACATGCTGGGTTTTTTAAGCATATTGTACTAGTAAATGTACTTCGAAAGACACAGACATCCTTGACACATGGACGATTAGAAGTTGTTAAAATATTAGGGTGGAATAAAGTCAATAATACCATGTATGTGAACGAAGAGTATAGAATATACTAACAGCTACGCATTTAAAATAATTTAAAATCTACTTAATTCTTTCAGATATTTCATAGGTATACCACCAATGCGTCCTGGGCAAAGACACTTATATCGGATCAGTTCACTTATACCTCAGGATATTTCGCCGCATCCTGCAATTTGCATCACGTGTAACGCTCAGTTTACTAAAATAAATAACAATCAAAGCAGCTACCACACAACATTTTCGGATCGTCGTAATGGATGGATGGGAAATAATTTGCACGAGGAATATGATGTACAAACGGAAAGTCCTGAAGATAAGGAACAACGACGTGCAAAAGAAAAAGCGAAAAAGCAGAAATCAAAAGCTTCGCACGCTTCTAGTGAGTACACAACACTTGTTGCGATTTTCATAACGCGTGCGTTCTATATTACTTCTTCATTATCACAGTGTATTGTATTCTTCAATAATTGTCATGCATTTTTCTAATGTTAATTATAGAAGTAACTTAAGTTATGGAAAAGTAGAATTAACTATCATAGTTAGTACTCTGCTGCACACATTTACACATAACATATATCCACGGACATATAGAATATACAGGGTGTATCACTTCACACGATTATTAATTATATTAATCATACTAGCTTCCTTATTTCGATTATTTATTTCATTCATTATACAAATACTTTTTAATTATTAATTAACACAATTTATTAATAGAAATTACACAATAGTCTCATACGAATATCAATTAATTGTAAGTTTTGTTTTCTTTATTTTGTATTATTTGAAAAATTCTCTACTGAATATACTTACCAAACAAATCCAATAGAACAACAATACTGCTCTGTAACTCTTGCATACTACTTTGCATGAATGCTTCTACCCTGATTTATTGGTTTTTGATTATTTATGTCACGATAATTGTTGATTTTTCATCCACTGTATACAACCCTTTTTTAAGGATTTTTATCTCAGGAATCCGCCATTTGAAGCTGACATACTAGCTGCGGTACACCCAATATATTCTACATTAGCATGCTTCGAACATCTGGAATATTTTGAATGATGGGTAAGCTGCTCTATAATGCATCGAATAGTGGAATAAAAGAATGCAGACTACTATTCTAATTAAGGAGCAATCGCACTTCTTGCTTATGACAGTCCATAGATATATGTATAAAATTCAATTTTTATTGCACTATTGCTATTCAATTTCTCTTTCTATCTATTTTCTATTTCGTGTCAGTGCGTGATCTATAAGTATAGTAGGATTCCTTTTCTTAAGAGGGAAGCGACGAAGCCAGTCCCGAATAGTTATGCATAAAAACGCAAGTTAAATTATCGAAACGAATCAAATCAAATTAATATTATTTTACGTATATTTTTTCAGATTTGGAGGAACCACCTTGTCAATATCATCACGCCATTTTTCCATCTTACGGATTGGACTACTTCGTTCTAGAATGTCTTGGTCCTGGGATACCTACGATCTCACTTTATAAAATTGATACGCCAATGCCACGATTGTTGACTGTTCTACAGAATAATACAGCGTTACGCGTTAGTATTCTCTATTATTGCTCTTTTTCAATATTTACCGATATTTACTGTTATGTATATATAAATAATTTTGTTAGGAAAAAATATCTAAGATCGCTCTCCCGCAAGTGAAAACGTTCCCGGTACAGATAAGTGGTGGTTACAATGCACAAGTAAGATTACATTTACCACCTGGTTTGCGAGAAGACGAAATCACGCGTTATCCTCTAGTTGTACAGGTGTATGTATATCAAATAAGCATAAAGGATAAATAATATCGCATGCCGATATATTTGTATTTATAAATGTGTAGATATGGAGCACCAGGGTCTCAGTTGGTGACGGAGATGTTTAAAATCGATTGGAATACATATTTAGCCAGTCAGAAAAATTTTATTGTAGCTCAGATAGATGGTCGAGGTAGCGGAGGTCAAGGATACGAACTACTTCATGAAGTTTATTATAGACTTGGTACTGCCGAAGTAGCTGATCAATTAGAAGTTACGGAGTAGGTTTCGAATTTTTATATCTAATTTTTGTAAAAATGTTTTTATCATTTTTTTCAATTGTATTTTAAATCTTTGTTTTAGATATTTGAGAGATTCGTTACACTTTATAGACAAACGGTGCGTCGCAATTTGGGGTTGGAGTTATGGTGGTTTTGTTGCAACATTAGCTCTAGCTCATCCCGGACAAACCGTTTTTCATTGTGGAATAAGCGTGGCACCTATCGTTTCATGGAAACTCCATGGTATAAATAAAATATTCGACAATATTTGCTTTTGTATTTTTTTTTATTACGATTAAAATATACACAATGTTTATTTTATTTATAAAGAAACTTTATTATTATCTATTAACGTATATCATAAGAGATTACTAAATCTGGCGCTGTTTCGTAAATAAATTTATTACAGATTCTGCTTATACCGAGAGATACATGGGATTACCAAACTTTACTTCTAATTATCAAGGTTACGTTGATTCTGATGTTTACAACAAAATCGAGTATCTACGTAATAAAATGTTTTATTTAGTCCACGGAACTGCGGACGATAACGTTCAATTTCAACAATCCATGGCACTTGCGCGTCACCTTGCGAAAAAGGCCATTCTCTTTCGACAACAGGTATTTTCACAACCTTTCGACCGTAAAGGCATTCTTTGTTTTTTTCACCGATAATTTCGTATCGTATACCAGTCGATATCTGTTGATTATCTGATTGCTATTGACAGTAATTACAATGCAACAAGAAGCTGATCGGACATGATATGGAAAGAAAAAATCGTGGATTCTTATATTTGAGTATCAAATATGTACATACATAAAATTTAAAAGTAAGTTCTTTAAATATCGCCTATTGCATATTTATTGCATGGTGGTTACGCTTTTTGCAGTCAACTTTCTTTTATACAAGTAATAAAGCACATAGCCGGAGTCATGTGTGAAAAACCTACTTATTACTATATACTTTAAACAGTATTTACGAGATTAAAATGATTATAGAAATCAAAGTCTACATATGCAATCAATAGCTTTGACATAGAATCACGGAATCTAAATCAGCAATAAATTGATAGTAAAATGACATTAAATGAAAAGGAAATATTTTCGTAATATACATACGGTATCTATATAGACATGATGAAGTCATAAAAGAAGTATAAAGAATACGTATTTAAGTTTGTATATATAGATATGTATATTAAATTGATCATAAAATTGATGTAATATTGAATGAGAACTCGATAGATATCGGCTGTCGCTTAAAAAATAACTTCTATAAACATTAACCTTTAGATACGTTCTACTTTGTATATCGCACGTGTTATTTATAAACTGTATAACTCTGGAAAAGAAATTATTCACCGATGAAAATGTGTGAATAAAAATTATTTTTCATTAGATCCTACTTTGTTACGTGTGATATAAACAAGTTGACGTATCTAGAATTATAGTCCAAATGTACAAAATGTTCTGTTATTTTTTCTTTTTCTTTACTACATTAGGTGTATCCAGATGTGAGTCATACTTTAACGGGTGTAAAAAAACACTTATACTTATCCATGGCTCAGTTTTTGGAAGATTGCTTCCAAAAGCAAATACCTTCAGATACGAAAGCAGGACTTGGCAGTGGTGGTTCCGGTGCTTAAAAAAAAGAAATATACATAGGTACTTACATGATAAGTTGTAAAAAAAAAAAAAAAAAATGAGTGCAATCTATATACATACATTTTCCAAAATCTGTTCAGTTCGACAGAATAATTACAAAAGAAAAGATAAAATTATCGTATAATTTTATACTTTGCATCGATATATTGTGTAACAAAAAAAAAACAAGAAAAAAAAGAAGAAAAACTCTAAGAACAAATTAATTACAATCAATGCGCTTAGATAATAACAACGTAAAAATTGCATTTGGCTTTAAGCCTACCAAAGTGTTCGTCTCGATTGCACAAACTGTCCGTCTCGATTGCACAAACTGTCCTTCATTTGTCTTATTAAATTTATTGGTTATTGAGTACATTAACTTATATTATTTATCGTTAGCAAAAGTCGAATTCTAAATTCTTATGCGATATTCTAGGTAACAATAAATAGCAAATAATGGAATACAAATTGACTTAAGCACCTCGTCAAGGTTGTTTGTAACACTAACTTTTTGAACAATAAAACGTTATTTGCTCAACGATTTGCCTTCCATTGTTTAGTTTTTCTTTAAAAATATATTTATTTTTGATAATGTTTGAGAAATATATATGCACCGAAAATCGAATATAATTAATATAAATAATATAAGTGCGCAGATTACGTTAATAAAATATTCATTACCTTTTCACTATGCGACTAGTGACTAATATACTGTCATAAAAAGTCACAAGTCTGGAATCGATTCAATGAATTTTTTATTCGAACATCTTCCAAGATGCAATAACATATGATTCTTTAGATTCGTTGGTTTACTGAATCCACGATTACAAATTTGACACCTAAATGGCCATAATCCGTTATGAACGTACATATGACTCTTTAAATCTCCAGGAGTTGGGAAAGATTTAGAGCATTGCAAACATTTGTGCGGTTTCTCCTGTAATGTAGAATTTTTAATTATTAATATTGGATAATATTGGTTGTCCTTGAACTGATTATCGTTAAACATATGCTTTTTTTAAATTACTTTTTAAAATTAAGTAACTCTTTCTATTCATTTATTTATAATTATATTTTTATTTAACATTTGTATATTATTCTTTGTGTCATCAATATTCATTTCAATAAATTATTATAATTAGGATATTTTAGATATTAAGCTCTTACCTTGATGTGAGTCATCCTATGATAATAAAGATTCGAAGATGCCGTAAATTTTTTGCCACATACGAGACATTGATGAGGTTTTTCACCGCTATGAATACGCTTGTGTGTATTTAGAGAACTTGATGTCGAGAAACCTTTACTGCATACCATACAAACATGTGGTTTCTCTCCTTTAAATGAACACATGAATATTGTAAAATATAATTTAATACTTATTATATGTTGATTACTATTACTAGTAATGTAATGAAAAAAAATAATGATTATTTATTCTCCCAATACATCAGATATATATATCGTTTATATTGATGTTCTTACCAGTATGCGTTCTAGTGTGCCTTTTCAAAAGTGATGGACGATCGAAAGATTTACCACATACTTCGCATGGCAAAAGTACTTTGTCACCTCTCTTTATAGTGGTTAAAATACTACAATCAAGATGATCACCAACTAATGATAATGTAGATGATGATGATTCCTCGGAGGTTGATTCATATTCATCAGGTTCATAATAAGAGTGCTGTATCGATGGTGATATGTGTTGAGAAAGTAATGCCATGGATAAATCCAAAGGTGATTCTAAGACATTGAAAATTGCCAAATATTTTTCATTTAATTTTGAAAACATTGAAATGTCTTGCGGAAAAAAGTTTGCAAAGAAATGTTGAACCCACCATCTACGATACTATCGATCAAACATCTGTAAAGTGCAGATCTCATACACATATCGTGAGAAATAAAAATAAAATCTGGATATGTTACTGGTGGAAACCAAGCTATTAATTCAGTATCTGGTTGAACATCTTTGATAACTTCAAAGATCGGCTCACCTAAAATAACGTTACGAATCATTGAGCAATTTTAAGAAGATATAATTATTATTTATGAACGTTTAAAGAAATGGTAATGAATGAACGCATGACTTACCCTTTACCTTCGTTCCAATAAGATTAACTTGTTCGTCATCTGCTTGAATGATATGAAGAAACCTTATCCAGTTACACTGACGCTTGTTAAGATTGTAGTTCGAAAAGACTTCGTCATAGCAACCGTACTCGCGTCTGATCTAAAAGCGGATCGCTTTAATAGGCAGCTAGCAGCTCGTCATAGTACGCTAAGAGGGTAGCGAATGTAATCGCACGGGAAAAACGACATCAAAGACTTATCAACGTTTCTTCCAATTGCAGTATGAGAAATATTTAAAAATGCTCGAATAATAACTGCAGTTGTTTCGATTCATTATAAAAGAATTAATTCGAAAGATATAACTACAAACGTACTAAAATATGTTATTCGGATGTGTGCATAATTACATTACATTAATAATCTGTCTTTATAGAGAATGAAACGATGCAAAAAAAAAAAGATCAAAAGGCAGACGTATACTTACGTCGTTGTCATCGAGAAGAGAGTACAGATCAATTTTATCGAACCTAATTGATCCCTGAAACGGATAGATAAGTGTGCCCAATGGAATGAAGACATTAGACCACACCGATATTCGTAGATTTGTAACAAACGAGTCCGAATCATTTTTATAAACATTTTTACATGCGGACTGATCACTGGCAAGAACTAACGAGAACTCTTTCGGTATCAGTACGCAAGTTTCCATAACAGAAAACCCACTAAATATGTACTGAAGAATTTCACTACTGTTTTAATTTCTACCGTAAACACTTCACGAAGAAGTTCTTCACGCGCAAAGAGTGATTTCCTGTTTTATAGAAAACGAAAAATAGAAAATATCTTCCAACCAGACGAATTCTTTTTACTTTAACTGGATTAATTATGATAACTCGTAAGATTTACGCTGGTATTTTGATTATTCTACATATACATATATACAAGATCGTTGATGGATCAACATAATCAGCAATTTTTTAAAATAATCTGTGTTTATTGAGTAAAATCATCAAATAATTAATTAATATTATTCAATTTGTTATTCACTGTAACTCGAAATAATTTTAATTCTTTTTAATATTTATCTATTTTGGAATCACTATACTAAATCGTTTTAACTACAATAAAATGTTAGACTCGTAGAAACTCGGATGACGTTAGAAGCGCGAAGAATCAGGTCGTTCGTTATGTTAGGTGCAAGACCCTTGGTTGACTGGCTGAGATTAACCAACTGATCTTGACCTTGCGACGGCTTACCAGCATTTGCTACCGAATGGGTAGCCCTTCCCCTTCTCCATTTCTTTTCCCACCCATCGTTCGTCCTGGCCCCTTTGGTCCAGATCAGCGGCGTAGTCGCGAATTAGTCTTCGCAAATGTCTTCATTTTTGTAAGCTTTTTGGTAATCCTTAGAATTCTTACATGCATACCATTTTTATCTAACAAAAAGATACAACGTTTAACAAAATGATTAAAAAGTTATATATCTACCAAGTTCTAACGCAACCGTAATGCAATGTAACTTTGATCATGAACAGGTATTCGTGGAGACTTCAACGCCTACATATTTTCCGTACAACATGTTATACATGGGTAGAAAGATGACACTGTAGACAAAAAAATCGCTGATATAAGGAACTTGTTAGAAGAAATATCTGCGTATGTAGTAGATAGTTGGAATGTTATCGTTCACCGAGTTGTAGTTGATACGAAATTAATTCCATGTATACAACTTATGTTAAAATGGTAAGAAACTTATTATTAAATACAATATCATAATACATCGCGTTGTCAATTAAAGATCTTTGAAAAATTAATCTTGAAATTATTTAAAAAGAACTTAGTCTCATAATAAGATGTAAAAGAGAAGATGAATTAAAAGTTATACGTAACAAGTATGAAAAGTAATTGTATCAAATTTTCTAAGAAAGTCGGATGATGAAGACTACGCCGTTGGAGTTTTGCCCCACTATGTTCGTTGAGCCGCAAGTGTGGCATGATTGTAGAGTGAATGTAAGTATCCTTCGCCGACACAAGGAAGCCGGCCGGTCCTCCTCGTGGTCTTCTTCGTCTTTCCAGCATCATCTACAGTACCGCTTAAAAGAGAACACACGTGCGTGAATGGGCACCTGTCTCTGCCTGCTTCTGCCCATCTCTCTCTTCGTGATTATCCGCTTCACCTTGCCTCCCTACCGATTCCAGTTAACAGGGCCGTTTCTTTTCTCTCTTTTCGTTACTCCTCTTTCAAGTTTGTCCTACCAACGTCTTCGCCAACCTGCCTCGCCTTGCCAACGTTCTATCATCCTTTCTCACTCTTTCTTTTTATTTTTCTCTTACTCTTTATCTGCCCACCCTTCAGCTCCTTTCTCTTTCCCCACCCTTATACATCTCTCTTTTCTTTCTTCCTCTTCGTTCTGCTCGTTATCGAGTCCGTAGCGCATTCTTTTATTCATCCATCAGGGTGGCTTCGGCAGTTGTAATAGGGTGAAAACTGCTGAAGATCGCATAAATAAAGAAGCGCGCCGAATATTTACTACGACTCTCTCCCCTTCACCAATGTATGCACGCGAGTGCAACTTTTAACTCTTTTTCTTTTCGTTATTTCCTTTCCTTATTTTTTTCTTCTCTTGTAACTTTTATTTTTTTCTCTCTTTCTTTCCTTCCTCTTTTCCTTTTTCTTCGCGTACAGCGAACAGCTTTAAGTGTGTAAGGCCTGAGAGCGAGTCTTCGCATCCTTGCTTCTTCGTCGCATTTATTATGGCAAAGAATACGTTCCCGAAACGGTATATATGTATTTACGAAACTTACTCTCCTGTCAAAATTTTATTCTTTTCTCTATATATATATATATATATATATATATATATATATATANATATATATTAACGTTCGATCATACAAAGATTACGATAACAACGGCTATACCCTAGATCTTATAGATATCTTTTAACTTATCCGATTAAATTTGATCGTCTTTCAATGTTATCAATTTGGTATGCCGATATTAAAACATTTTTGAAATGTATAAGTATAATAGCAATATCTAAAAATATTTTCTTTTAATTTGGGTTAAAATCTGTACACATTTTTCTTCTCCTTCTTCTTCTTCTTCTTTTTCTTCTTCTTCTTGATAGAACTGCGTCCTATTTTGTATAGTTAAGCCTTAACATTTTCCTAGATGTAAATAATATTTTTATAATTTGTTCGTTGATACGAAATAAAAGTAATAAAATATTATTGAACATTATAAATGAGCATGTATTTTCAATGAAAACCATAATGCACATCTTAAGATTTTCCTTAGAAACTTGCATATCAGCAAATATCAATGTCGAAAATCGTCCATGTACATAATCTTTAGTACCATCGACGCTCGTTTATCTGTACGTCACAACTACTCACAGATATTATAAATTATTGTAGAAGATTCCTTGTACAAGTAGATATTCGTATTCACATCGATCGTAAGCATAATATTTAATTTTGTATATTCATTAAAATAAAAGATTATACAACAATTGTTCCAATTCTTGAAGTCTTTCATTGCCATGGTTCAATGCTTGCACTTCTTATTTTATAGATGAAATGTTTACAAATTGTCTTGTTATTTTAATATTTCATAGATACTCATATCAATTATCAATTTTAAAACTATCTTTTAATTCTGATTATTCAGCAATGAATAATTTGTATACATATATATATATATACTAGATACATAAAATATACGAAAGTCTAAATAATAATACGATTTAAATTCAGCTAAATGTACCGTACTATCAATTATGACAACAATTAATATCAGTGCGATCAATATTTAATCAACTCTTAACTTATTTTTTTTTACAACACTTAACTGTGTAAAGAAAACCGTAAGCTTATATATCGTATGACGAACGACCTGATTCACAGAAGAGCCAATTTCATGATCGTAAATATCACATCTGATAAATGCAAGTATAAATATGATCGTGAAGACTCCTTTATTCGTAAAACAAAATGGCTTATAGGATCTTCATCTTCGTTCTCACAGTCCACGCAACTGGTAACTAATGATTCCGATTAAATCTAATTAATAATAATAAATCTTATGTACATATAAAAGTGTATAAGTGTATTAAGAAACAGCGATCGCGATTGATAAAAAAAAATTTTAGCAAAATAGAAACTTTATCGTGACTTATAAGGGAATTTATGAATTGATAAGTAGAAAATTCTATTTTAATAAACTGTTTATTATCATAAACTACATTTTCCTATTTAAATTATAATATTTATCAAATTTAATATATTTAATTGACTTTATCTATATATCGAGATTTAAATATATTTTATATAACATATATGTACATATATTTATTAAATACGAAAAATAACTGTTTTCTTTTAAAGTTAGTGCTATACCACTCTCTAGTAGAGTAATCGGAGGAAAGGATGCTGATGACAATGCATTTCCTTATCACGTATCCATACGATTATACGGATTTCATATTTGTGGAGGATCAATTATTACTGATCAATGGATTTTGACAGCAGCTCATTGTCTTAATACTCGTAATATTAGGAATACATTTGTAGTAGCTGGCAGTAATAGTGTTCTATCAGGTAAAATAATCTTTTTTTAGATCTTTTCTATACACGTATTATAAGTAACATTTATGTTAATATTTAATCAACATTATTTTCATTTTCAATGTTTATTGTAATTTTTAATTTGTAGGTGGCATTGCATACGATGTGAAAGAAATGATCGTTCATTCGGAGTATCAAATAGGACCTATTTTAAATGACATTGGTCTTTTAAAAATTGTTGGTAGATTTAAATATTCTAACGCAATCAGACCCATTCGACTCCCAGATGAAGACATCGATGAGACGGATCGTACTGCAATATTCACTGGTTGGGGAGATACCACGGTAACGGCGATCATCACAAATCAAAAATACAAACATTGAAAATATCATTGAACTTTATTTATCAGTTATTGAACCATAATATCTCACTTTGGCGATTACTGTTTAAATAAATAAAACATTTATTTTACATAAGAATATTGAATTTTTAGAGAACGGGTGGAAGCACAAATTGGATGCAACTAATAAGTTTAAAAATTGTTGAATTCTCGAAATGCAAGATGATATATCCATCAATTACAAGGGCCAATATTTGTACAGATAATAGCTATACATATGGTGTTTGCTATGTAAGTATTTTCAATCATTATTGTATACTTTTTTTTTTTATTAATTTACTTCACAAAATACATATCGTATGTATAAAAATAATTTGAGAGAATGAACATTAGAATTAAATTTTTACAAAACTTTTAAATAGCGTATAATTTCTTTTATCAATCATTAAAATCATAATAATTTACTTTTAGGGTGATTCTGGTAGTCCGCTTGTCTTAGATGGTGTGCAAATAGGTTTAGCCTCTTGGGTTACACCGTGTGCTAAAGGATTTCCAGATGTTCACACAAAAATTTACAGTTATATAGATTGGATTAAATCACATATTAGTTAACTTCATATTAGTGAAATAGAATTCTTAACAGTTGATATTGTTGCAACATATAAGACAATTAGAATAATGAAATTCTGCACGAACTGATTAAAAATAAGCCATATAATAATTACTTTAATCTTTTTATAAGATTATCATCATTTACAATATACATATACATCATTTAAGATAATCATCATTGATAAGCATAATAATTAAATGATCGAAACTCGATCGTGCCTAGATATTTGTCAATTTTCATCGATAGGATAGCAATAATCGAAAATATTATAACAGGTGTTTGCTAATCCATTTTTATCTCATATCATGTATAATCATAAGCGTATTTAAATCTTTAGTGATAATAAAGTTTTATTAACAATAAAAACAATATATTTTCTTTAGTTTCTTCCAATAAATACTAGTTTAGTATATAAATCTTAATGGATATGATATTAAAGGTTGCTTTTTGACTCTATGCGATAAATACTTTCAATTATTTGCACTAGTTAGAAAAATTCGCATAGATACGATCGTGAGTCCATCAAGTAGTGTATGACCTAAATAAAACAGCGCATGCCCCGTCATTTACAAGGACAGTTTCGAGGGCGTGTTTTCATCCCCCGGCTGTTCCAAGACTTGGCTTGAGGTCTCGTGCCGTTTATAACATTTTGTCAGAGAGTGAAAGAGAGAGAGGGAGAGTGAGAGAGAGATAGTGAGAGTAAGAGTGAAAGAGTGAAAGAGAGAAATAGAAAAGAAAAAGAGAAAAAGATGAAAAAAGTTAACTAATGAAAATGACAATTAAACCTGCTGTGTGACTCCCTTCATATTTCGCTACTAACAAAGACAAAAAGAAAATCGATAGAGGAGTGCTACGTTCCCTTCTGTCGTGTCAACCTAACTCGAATCTCGACTGTCATCCATGGTTAAAGGAAAAATCCAATGAACGTGGCACAAGATCTGATTGGAAAATCCTCATTTTGACTTTAATGCAATACCAACAAATTAAAAAAAAAAAATTTAGAAAAACACCAATGAAGTTCATCGAATTTTGTAAATTATAAAATAACATAAGGAAGTTTTTATTGACATTGTAGAAAGGAGAAAAAAACAATGAAAAAGAAACAAGTGCATTCAGAGTGTATTTACGACTAAAGGATCACCAAATATCACGAGTTCATTTAGTGTTTCTTTCTATATTATTAATACTATATATAATGATAATGGAAATGATGATGACAAAGAAAATGATAATGATGATGATGATGATAATTTACCAATTTGTCCTTTTCCGTAAAACTTAAATAATATTACAAGATTTAAGTCGTATCTTTTTGTGTGCTTAATCGAAGAACAATCAAAGTATTCTTCTTCATATCGTACAAACAAGTGAAAATAAAATTGAAATTCGCATGCTTACAAATCCTGTGTTAACATTGCTTAAATATTATAATTATATATATATAATATTATATATAATTATATAATATTAATATAATATATATATATATATCAATATTTTTTTGAATAAAATCAACGATACGATTAAAAATGGATTAGAAATGAACATCGTGCAAGCAAAAATTTAATGTTTACATTGTAAACAAACCATATAGAAAAGTGCGTAAGATAATATTAAAAATTGAGAATATTAACGAAGTCTATATGAGCTGCTGTCCCTTCATGTAAGTATTAAAAAAAAGTATTAAAATCATAGTATTATACATCGCGTGTTATTTCGTATAATATACCATATATTTATAAAATATATATTATCATAAATTTATTATCGTATGATCGCTTTA